TATACACGCTCACAGACCACGTCGAGGGAGTGCCTAAGATTGAAACTCTGCTGGATCCCACAACAACAGAGAAGATGTACCAGTAAGTGGAATGAGGCAGCAGAGCATGCAATATTGCCACAGAGAATAACCCAAGATGTTTCTTAGGCCGGAGAATTTGAAGGATGGAGGCGACCAAACTGTGGCCATTCTGTGCTCCTCGGGAACAACTGGCCTGCCCAAGGCCGTTTGCATTTCCAACAGTAACCTCATACAAGACACCATGTAAGTTGGAGAACACTTTCAATCGCCTCCAAGGAACGATGCTCACTCTATTCGTACGCAGGTTGGTCAACAGCGAATCGGTGATATTTATAGCCAGCTGTCTGGACTGGATCACGGGGCTGTGGGCATTCGTCTTTAGCACTGTGTTTGGTGTCACCCGCATCATTACGAACAAATCCTTTTCGCCTGAATACTTTGTGTATTTGGTGAAAAAGTACAAGATTAACTATGCCGTGCTGCCGCCACGCCACTTGTCTGCCCTGATCAGTTGTCCGGATGCCACGCAGGAAGCTTTGGCGCCGCTAACGCATCTCAGTTATGGCGGGGGCTTGGCTTCCACAACCACGCTGCAGCGGGCCCAGGAGCTGTGCAGTCGCGCCATGCTCAACTCCGGCTATGGAATGACAGAGGTGGGAGCCATCACAATCAATATTGGAATCAGCAACATCTCCTCGGCGGGCCGAATCGTTCCAGGGGTCAAGATACGCATCGTCGACGAGGATGGCAAGAACATGACATACAATCAGGCTGGGGAGATCTATGTGCACACGGGTCAGGCCTGGAATGGGTACTACGGCAACCCAGTGGAGACACGCCGCATGCAGGACTTTGAGGGCTGGTTCCACACCGGCGATCTGGGCTACTTCGATGAGCAGAACTTCCTCTACATAGTGGATCGCAAAAAGGAGATCCTGAAGTACCAGGGCCTCCACTACTGGCCCACTGAGATCGAGAGTGTCATTTCGGAGCTGCCGCAGGTGCAGGACGTGTGCGTGGTTGGCATCTACGATGAGCTGCAAGGAGATGCAGCCGGCGCCTTGGTGGTCAAGGCCAAGGGTGCTGTTGTCACAGCAAAGGATATTTCGGATCACGTGGCCAAGCGGCTACCCGCAGTGCAAAAGCAACTGCGAGCCGGAGTGCAATTCACGGACAAGCTGCCGGCCAATGTCAATGGCAAGACGTTGCGCAAGACGGCACGCGACGTTTTTGTGGCCCAAAACGGGACCGGCAAGTGAGATCTGAACGATCCAACAAGTACATATATGTATATCTATATTTTGTAATCATAAGTGTGTGAGATAAGTTAAACGATTCATATTCAAGTTGGAGTGCTTTAGTAATGAGCACTCGCCGACACGCGGAGTGACTTTTGGCCAGCAATAAAGTGTTCCTGAAACAGAAAACAGAAACAATCCATCCTTTTCCTTTGTTGGGCCTGCATTCGTGTAGGCTAAGAGAAGCTACGCTATCTCAACTAGCTTTCGCCTTGCGGAATTAGAGTATTAAACAAGAAACAACAAAAGCTTCAGATCATTTACAAATGGTTTAAATAAATACGTTTTGGATGGGCTTTACAGAGAGATATTAACAAAGTTTGATAAGTCTTATCTCGGACTCCAAAGATTAATCTTGCAAACGGACTTGGTTGTCGGAGACTTAATCTTTTTTCCACCTGTGACCCATAATATTTATAATATAAACTACCAGTACCAGCTAGCCTAATCTTATAATAATCTGCATATAAACAGTCTACTCTATCCATTTTATACCTTGTTGATTTTTAAATATTTAATAGCAATACTAGTGGCTATAGTTCCAAGTTCTCAAGTGTGAAAATGCTGAGATTGCAGCCAAAGATAGCCGGCTGTGTAGACTTGACAGACACATTTGGAAATGTGAAATTAAATAAGGAATGTCTTCAAATATATATGTATGTACTTGCAATAAGCTCATCCTAAAAGTAGTTTAAAGTCACCTCATTCAAAGACTACTCAGTACATAAGAATATCGGGAATATTTCCATTGAGAATTCTTCAAATTTTGTTGTATATTTTTAGGGCGGAATGGCTTAAGACTTAAATTAAATCGTTAGATTTCAAATGGGGCTTATGGTTGTAGTAGACAGAAGCCAGAGATCTCTCTAGAAGCAATACCGGCAATGTCGGGCGAAGTCAAAAAGCATTTTGGATGTTTAAATACACTTTAAACCTATGAAAAAACATTATCGCTCGAATGTCGTAAGAGAGAGAGAGAGAGAGAGAGAGAGCTTTTTCCAACATAGAAAATAGTGTCAGAAGTCTGCTCCATCAATGCGGGTTAGCTCTGAATTAAAAAGAAGCTGACTGGCGATGACCTGCAACTTCTTTGTTATTCGATTTGGACTGATAAGATATAACAAACTGCTGAACAACGACTATGTGCACATTTGATTATATCTGTGAGTAGTAGGTATTACGGATAAATATATTTTAGACTCTGTAGACTGAGAGCTTTTTTGCCCAACTATACGCAAGAATTTGTAGCAAAAGCTGATGCAGGGTATCATGTAGTCGGGGGCCTGGTGCAACGAGATTTGTCTTGTGATGGACTATCGACTTCAGGCACTGATACAGAGCTCTGTCGTTTGCAGTGTGAGAGCTCTGGTTCCCTATAAGTAGGGAACACAACCGAGAAGGCGCAGAGTCGACAAAGGCTGCGCTGCGGAAGGGAGCACGTTCTAGGAGCTGCACAAATATGGCACAAATACCCACAACATACGATGAGAAGGAGAGAATTTGGAGTGGACCCAAGCGCAGTCCCACATATCACTATGACACGTCCATCGGTAAAATTATATTCAACACCATGAGGACTTGGCCCAGGAACGTGTGTCAGGTGAGTTGTAGATAGCTTCGTCCCGAAGAGTTACAGCTACAGCTTATTATTTCACTTTCCAGATCAACGACATTGATGGAGTCACAGTCACCTTCGAACAGGGTCTAACCTGGGCCATTCGGATCGCCCAGCACTTTAAGAAGCGTGGACTCAATAACGCCAATGTTGTCGGAATTGTTGCTAAAAACTGTACCTATTTAATGCCCGTGGGTTTGGCGTGTCTAATGAATGGAACACCATTCCACTCGGTCAATCCGGATCAAGACGAAGGTTCGTCGAGAGGTGCCATCGAGAGACACACAAATCTGAGAGTAATCTGGCAATCCAATCTGTTTACGCAGCTACCATATCCCATGTGTTCGCGATAACCAAACCGACTCTGATATTCTGCGATGGAAATGTCCACAAGCAGGTTCAAGCGGCTACTGTGGGATGGCAGCCGGAGATCTACACGCTCACACAGCCCGTGGCGGGAGTGCCAAAGATTGAGGATCTGCTGGGTCCCACAGCTACCGAAATGACATACCAGTGAGTGGAAGCGACTGGCGCGAGGAAATATTTATCATATACCAAATAACGGGTATCTCCCGTTTGCAGGCCAGAGCCATTGAAGGAGGGAGGAGACCAGACCATGGCCATTCTGTGCTCCTCGGGCACAACAGGCTTGCCCAAGGCCGTTTGCATTTCCAACAATGTTCTGACGCTGGAGAACCCGTGAGTCTCTGCTACATCTGCTGTTTACGTTCAATTGTTTGATTAATGTACGTCGCAGCCTGATTAACAGCGAAGTGACCGTATTATCATCGAGTGGCCTGGACTGGGTCACCGGCTTGGTGTCGTTTATCTTCAGCACTGTGTTTGGTGCCACCCGAATCATTACCAGCAAGCCCTTCACCCCGGAGTACTTTGTGCAGCTGGTGAAGAAGTACAATGTCGACTTCGCCGTGTTGCCGCCTCGCCATCTCTCTGCCCTGATAAGTTATCCGGGCGCCACGCCGGAGAATCTGGCACCCTTGAAGAGCGTGGCCTATGTCGGGGGTTCGGTGTCGCTGGCCACCCTGCAGCGGACCCAAGAGCTGTGCAAGAACGCGATGCTGAACACTGGCTACGGATTGACGGAGACCCTAAGCATAACGAATAATACTGGCATTAGCCATATAGCATCGGTGGGCAAACCGGTGCCGGGCGTCAGAATGCGCATTGTGGACGAGGACGGAAAGAACTTGACATACAATCAGGTTGGAGAGATCCTTGCGCACAAAGGACAGGCATGGAATGGCTACTTCGGGAACCCCGAGGCTACACTTCAGATGCAGGACTCGGAGGGCTGGTTCCACACCGGCGATCTGGGCTACTTCGATGAGCAGAACTTCCTCTACATAGTGGATCGCAAAAAGGAGATCCTGAAGTACCAGGGCCTCCACTACTGGCCCACTGAGATCGAGAGTGTCATTTCGGAGCTGCCGCAGGTGCAGGACGTGTGCGTGGTTGGCATCTACGATGAGCTGGAGGGAGATGCTGCTGGCGCCTTGGTGGTCAAGGCCAAGGGTGCTGTTGTCACAGCAAAGGATATTTCGGATCACGTGGCCAAGCGGCTACCCGCAGTGCAAAAGCAACTGCACGCCGGAGTGCAATTCACGGACAAGCTGCCGGCCAATGTCAATGGCAAGACGTTGCGGAAGGCGTCACGGGAGCTATTTATTGCCCAAAACGGAACTGGCAAGTGAGATCTGTACATACGAGTATGTATGCAGAATGTAAATATTTAATAAGTGTTTGTGTGTGTCAATGGCGTGGCGAAACAAGCAATTATTCCCGATGAAGAAGGAAGCATTGGATTGTTGGAATCATTTGAATCAGAACCATTGATTCAAAAGATTAAAGTACCCGTTCTTCTGGGACATATACTATACTATAGACCCACTTTCTCACTCATTGATGATAATATAGTCGCCGTTTATGAATGGGGACCTCCTTATCGCACGAGTATCAAGCAAACCTTGATAACGCGAGTGGCTTATCGTTCCACACGCTGCGGTCATTGGTAATTCGTAAAGAGCATCTGCAGTGCTTTGCTTTAATTGTATATTATGATTAGCCCCTGAGTTATTTATTGTTATTGATCTGTGTTAATTCTAGTTCTAAATCCAAATCCTTGGCCTGCTACGGTAGCCGATATGAAGGAGGAGGAGGAAGAGTAGCGTCATGGAGCGGGTGCTCTGGCTGGCAGCGCCAGCTGTCACATCGGTTGGCATTGGCTGCTCCGTGGGCTCCATTTCCATTTCGGGGATTTCTCCCAGACTCGACCTTGTTATCTGCTCCACCTGTTGCCGTATGACGCTGCCGCTGCCCGTACGGACCTCCACTTTGGGCAGGGGAAAGCAGTAGACACGCTCAACCTCCAATACCAGTGGCGTGGCACTGTCCGAGGCCAGAGACGTCTCTGTGACGGTCAGGGGCACGCATATGGTGGGCTCCTCGGCCGCGTTCCGCTCCTCGAAGGGTATCCCCACGCGGGTTATATTCAGCGGCCGCTGCGGCACCAGCGTCTCCGGCACACTCAGCTCGCTGTGCATCTGGGCGGAGTTGAGGGAGTCCTCGTAGTACTTGTAGTCATCCAGGGAATCTCCAACGCTATCGTCGCGTCGGTCAATGCTCATGCCAAGATTGGCATCGACGCGCTCCGGTTCGGTGCTCGCGCTGTTGGCGCTGTTGGCGCTGTTGGCGGAGCTGTCGATGAAATCGGTGGGCCAGTTGAGCGAGACCGTTGTTGACCTCGTGGCTTGAGTGGGCGCCGGAGAGTGCACCACGGATGACTGCGGCAGGCTCGAGCTCGAGGAGCTGGTTGCCGATGGAGCCGGCACTGTGGTGTCATACGGATAGGGATACGGCAGAGGCATCCAGTTGTCGTCCGTGGTGGATTGGGAAGGACGTCGTCCCTCCCCCGTTGTCGTCTCCACAGATTCATTGATTTGCTTGGCCATGGCCCTGAGCAGCGGATCGGTGGCATTCATCTTCACCACTTCGAACTGGTGCGGCGACTGCTGGGAGGTTATGCGCCGTCGGCCGTGCTTCTCCGGCGAGCGCTCGAAGCTGGCGGGACGCGCTAACTCTGGACCCTGATAGTCTCCAGGAGCGATGGGTACCAGCTGTTCCTCGATGGATCTGGACGGCTTCGTGTCAGTGCCTGTAACGGAGCGACTTAGGGTTTGATCACACCGAACGACAGGGATTCCCACTTACCTTCCGCTGGCATTCCCATCAGCATGGCCTCCAAACGGCCGTAGACTCGCTCCTTGGGCTGCTGCTCCGCGTCTGCCTCGTAGGGATTCTCTGGATGTTCCGGCTTCCAGTTGCCGTACACCACCGACGCCTCCTGCCTGGGCGTGGCTGGCCTGGCACTCTCCTCCCGCAGCAGCGGAATGTGAGTGTGCACCGTGGAGCTCACGGGCACTGATCCGGCGAGGCTGGGCCAGCTCCGTAGCATTGGGTCTGGGCCAGGAATCTGCGCTTGCATATCCGAAATGCGTATCCGTCCCCGGGGACGGGGCGGCGGTCCCTGCAGCTGCTGGCCGCTAATCAGGTGACAGCCACCGATAGCCACCAGCCACAGAATCCACCCGAGCGACTGAGTAATCATCTTTAGATCTTCAGATCTTCAGATCTGGGTGTTGTATTTTTCTTTATTTTCGTTTTCGATTTCTGTTTCTGTTTATATTCTCGCGGCCTTTTGGTGTGCCACTTCTGCTGATTGCTGGAGAGACTATACCTACTCGAATATATGTATGTATGTATGTATGTATATGTATTTTACAGTTAGCTTTATTGTTTCATTCTCGTTTTCAGCGGCCACAATAACAATCCATTGTGCGCGTGCTTTAACGGAGCTTCGATGTCAATTCGATATTCGCACGCACTTCTGGCTCTTGTTGCTGCTCTCCTCGCCTCCACTTCTCTCCATTTCTTTTCACTCCGCTACACACTACACACTCCCGCACTCCACACTCCACTCCACTCCCCACTACACACCCCACACTTGTGGTGGTACCGCTAGCTCTTCGCGGCTTAACGCTCCCGCGAATTCGATTTCGGCTTTCAACCACTCCTCACCACACACCTGTCTGCCGCTGCTAGATTCTCCAGGTTGCTCCCAAGATCTCTGGTTTGCGTTCCCCGTTGACGATGATTCGTGATCTGCACGCGACGGCTTCTAAACGGCAACTGATGTTGGCCAAATCAATTCACTGCCCAAGCGCTGCAGCGTGCTGCTCACAAGAAAGATTCTTTCTAATCACAGGCCATAGAAATTTTTCCTTTGTTAAATTTCGTATTTTTTTTTTTTCATTTTAATTATGCGCAAGAGCGTTGAAACTTAATGGCGAATAAACAGTCTTTGGATTGTTGCTTTTGGGGTCTATGCTCGCTCTGCCAAGCCATGGCGGTGAAAATGCAGCGGAATTGATTTATTTGTTGCTGGACTCTTCAAATTTCTAAGCCCAAGCCAAACTACAGTATGGGTCGCAATAATAAAGGTACATAATGCTAAGAGTACCATAATACCAGCCAGCCAAGATGATTGCTTATGCTTTGACATTTCGACCATAAAAGACGAATTACAGAACTATAACTATAATTTTTAATTACACCCAAGCGACTTTTACTTTTTCTATTTCTTGATCTTATCTTAGTGGTTTGAACACTGAACATTGAATCGAACATTTGATTAGCTAAAACCAAAATAAGACCTAAAGCGAGTGCCTGGTAATTATTTGCAAATATAAGAGAATTTGAAAGCTCTCATTTAGCTTTTGCCTTATAACAGAAGAACCTTCAAAGACTCCTAAATAATTGTACCAAGTTCTATGCAACTTGATTTAATAAGAATAAAAAAGTAATGAACTCTTCAGAAACATATTTAAAAATTGAAACAAATTTACATACAAAAGCTAGCCAAAACTCTTTTGTTTAATGGTATTTAAGAACTTGCTGGCCACACCATAATGCTGTTGACCGCAGGTGTATGCTTACACTTATGCAAATATGTGGCCAAGTCATTTGCCGTTTCGTGGCACAAAAGTTTTAGCTGGTTTTTGCCCGTTTTGTGTTTGTTCTTTCAGCCTGATGACAGCTATTTTTGGGTTCTTGTTTGGCTAAGGGCCACTTTTGACCAAGGGCCAACGGTAAAATAGTTTTGGGCCATGAGCTGATAGAAATAATTGGCAGATTGAGTGGAAAGACTGCCTGGAGTTGAGCCACTAACCTATTCATGGACCACTACGGACGGCTCGTGGACCCGATTCCCCCATCATACCCATACCCATTACCATTACCATTACCAATCCCGCAAACTGTCATAATTATGCAACCAGCAGACAGCAACCAGTCGGAGGCTCTCGACAGAAAATATCCATGCATATACAGCAGCAGCAGCAGCAGCAGCAGCAGCAACGAAGAGTCGTCGGCAGTCGATGTAGAAATATGGAAAATTGGAAAAGCTCAAACGGCGCTGCATGGAATGGGATCAACAAACTGACAGAGCGGAGGAAACTCGATCTGCGCAAAACAGACAGTAAAACAGCAACAACAACAAAAGATAACAATAAATAAGGAAAATTACAACAAAAAAAATAAAAAATAAAAAATAATAATAATAATGAAGACCCATAAACGCTGTGTCACGTCTGTCTGAGCATTATGGACACCAGACGGAGGAGGAGCAGGAGGAGCATCATCAAGTCGATTCGGCATAATGGAAACGTTAGTTTTTCTTTTATTGTTTCAAAGCGGCGGCAAAACTTTCACACTCGTTAACAAAAATTAAAATTTATTGAGTGGCTGGCCCTATGTGAGTGCGTCGTGCGTTTGTGTGAGTGAGTGCCTGTGTGTGTGTGTCTGTGAGTGGAACTTATTTAGTTATGCAAATTTCATGTTAGTCTATATAGATTTTCAATCGAAGAATAATGGTTCCGGATTACAGATTACAGTTTCCAGTTTCCAGTTTCCAGATGCAACGTTTTAGAAGAATTTGCAAATGAAATCACAGTCTTATTATTGTTGATGTTGTTGTTGTTGTTGTTGTTGTTGAGGGGAAAAGTATAGCAAAGTTCACGTTTCCAGGATGATCGGTTCGGTGGGGGTGGGGAGGGAAATGGAGTGGGGGGATTACTGATTCTCGAGCAGACCAATATATTGGCCATTCTGATTGGCAATGCGACGCTCCTCCAGCTTCCGGGCAAAGTCTGGGTCCGTTTTGGCCCGCTGCTCGAGTCTCTCCTGCTGCAGCTTGATGCCGGCATAGATCTGGTCCAGCCCCTTCTGGATCTCCTCGGGTATGGCGGGCGGTGTGGGTATATGGTCGCCTGTGGCACGGAATCCGTTCTCATCGGCCGTGTACTGAACATTCACCAGCTGGCCCTCCGGCGACTGGTACGAGTACTGGCCATGCTGCACCAGGACCCCGTTCGGATTCGTGTCAAAGTCCTTGAGGAAGCCCGTCTCCTCGTGGATGATGTTGTTGCCCGTCTCGTACTCCGTCTTGTAGCTGCCGTCCTCGCTCTGCTCCTTGTTGTACTTGAGAATGGGTATCCATGTGCTCGTCTCGCGCAGATCCTCGTGGCGGTGATGGTCGGCCTTCTCGTCCCGCGGGATATTATTGGCGCTGTGATGCTGATTATGGTGCTGGTGCTGGTGCTGGTGCTGTCCGTGGCAGGACAGGGCAAGCATCGCGATGAGTATCTGCAAACGATAGTTGCAGTTTAAGTTCACAGTTCACACAAATCACAACGAGGGCAGGCATGGAATGGGATGTGATGGGATGGCATGGAATGGGGGGCACTTACAAGCACTTTCATTTTGTTGGATTGGGAGTGAGTCTCTGTCTATTATCCACCGATTTGTATTGGTATTTATTTATTTTATTTGGACCGATTTGTCGCCCGTTTGGCTGGCACTACGACTGGCAAGTGAAAGCAACTCCGTTAGACACTGTGCCAAGCGCGGCCCTATTTAAGCCTTATATAGGCGAATCGCTCCGACTCTGGCCTCGCCTCCTCCTGCACACCTGGCCTCGTCCATTACCCACACAGCAGTGTGGTGGCGGTGCTGGTGCCACGGCAGAGCGAGAGAGCCTCACGCACACAGCGGCAGATGCAGATGCAGATGCAGCGGCTGCAGATGGAGATGGAGAGGCTGCATTTGGCCATAGTTGCTTTTGCTGCAGCTCTCTTTGTCGCTGTTGCTGCTGCTGCTGCTCTGCTGCTCCGCTGCTCTGCTGCTATAGTTGTACGATCCAACCGATGGGCAATTGTTGTTTGTAGGCTCAATGACGCTTAAATGTTAAAAATCAATTCACTGTCGCTCTCATTGGAGCCTGTACCAGAGTTTTCCAGCACTTGGCAAGGTAACTTTATTCAGAGTTTTCACTTAAAAGCATAACACATAAACGGATAGAAAGGATAGTTATCTATCTGGTAGTTAAACGGGTAGAAATGGATTGTGTTTTTTGTTTTAAGGAAGAAATGTGAGGAGTCCACTCGGCTCTCGAGTCCCTGCCTAGAGATGCCACAACTCTGGCCCACACCTAAGGGGGTTTTCGGTTGCATGTATTTGGATTGTGTGGCATGTACAACCAGACAGACAGACAGACATATGTACATGTGTACGAGGCACAGCTCAAATGTCTGCGGATTGTCTGTCCATTTGTGCGCTCGTCCGGTCGTTCATCTTCGTAATGCCGTTATTTAGAAACAAGCCAGAACGAGTTTTTGCTTTAGTTGTTGCCTTTGCCAAATGCAGATTACTCTGCGCGGATGGCTCTCTCGCTCTCTGCAGCTCTTGCCCCATGATATATGCATCTGAAATGCAGCAGCGATTCGGCAGCTTCGGATACGAAATTCTTGTAATTGCAGACGATTCGTGGATGGATCATCGGATGCCATCGGATGCCATCCGTGAGGAGAGTGACGCACTAACACTAACACTAACACCACAACGGACACAACGGCGAACTGAAGCGAAAATTGTTGTAACACTCAAGTGTTTTCGCCGGTGAGGCAAGGTGAGGCAAGACGATAATTGAGTTCAATACGGGGGGCATGCATCGGGGTCGGTCTTGGTATTCTCTTGTCTTCGCAAATGTTAATTAGTTGCCATACAATTGGGTTAATCTGCAACCATTTGTGGGGAAGAGAATCCAAATCAGCAGCAATGCGAGGAAAAAAGATTAATTTAACAATCATCGAGTTCCAACACTTGCAACACAATGCCGCTGCGAGTTGAACAACCCACCGCCAGAGAGCCGGCAAAAACCCGAAAAAAAAACATGAGCGAAAATTCAGTTTTGGATACCTCCAAAGCTGAAGATACCCTAAAGATCCAATACAAAATGCAACTGCCTTAAGTTGGTAAATTAAATGCAAGCTTTGGGGGTAAAGTTATAGTACCCTTCGGCGAGGGTATAAAAACCGGGCGAACAAAATGCAGAAAACACCGACGCCTATTGCAACAAACGACCTCTTCGCTGCGCTGCGCTGCGCTCCGCTCCACGCCTCGTCTCTGGTTCGCTCTGTGTCTGTCCACGTCGGCGTCTCCATCTTCCGCACCCACAACTGCAACTGCAACAGCAACGGCAACGGCAACCAAGCCTCCTCCTTGTCTGGTGAGTCACTTGTTGGCGCGCCAAGTTGTGCAACTTTTCTGCTGCTTTTCAGCTTGTTGCTGCACGGACCAAAAAGAAAATGAAAAGGAAAGCCAAGCAAGGTTAGATCTCGTATTAAGTCAAACCCCCACCACCCCCACAAATTTGGCCCACTCACACACTGACCACAAGACTGCAACATCCGAAAAGGGGACAGGCAGGCAGGCAGGCAGGCAGGCAGGCGGTAAATGTCAAATGATTTGCACCCTTACATTCTTAGCATTTGGCGTGATCTGCTGAGCTGCTGAGCTGGCTGCTGTTGTGGCTGTTCTTTATGAACAACATTTGACATTTGGGTTTTGGCTGTGGCTTTGGCTGTGTCTCCAGCTCTGGAGGAGTGTGAGTGTCATCCGCTGAGACAGCGACTGGTTTACAGAACCCCGATGCCGATGCTGGCCATAAATTTCCAGGCAGTTGGTTGTGAAATGTCTTGTCAATGCTGCGAATCTTGAGCTTGAATCGTAAATAATGCTCTAGTATACCGAATGGCGATGACAGTTTCGTCCACAGACAGAACTTGACATAAAGATCACGTACGGCGAAGGAGACAAGTGCAGACAAGACTGGAGTGGCCATAAAGAATCAAATTAATTCCTAAACATGCTCCAAATTGCTTTCGTTTATTTCTTTTCGTTTACGAAACTTTTTCTGGTGCCTCTTTCTAATCGCGATAATCCTTTTAATTTATCAAACTTTTTTTTGTTCTGCTGCTTACAATATAAATTATTTATTTTTTATTTGCAATTTATATTATTTGACTCTTGTCTTAGCCGAATCGTATAACATGCCACTGAGACTCGAATTTACTAAATAAGCGGCGGGTGTTAGAAAATTAATTTCGACTTTAAAATTGGTTTCTGGCAAGAAGGCTGGCAAATGAACGGCAACGCTTATATTTGGGTACGAGTAGATGCCCTAGTGAGAACAAAAATTAGATATACTACAGTGCGAAAATCAGGGAATCGACGCTCACCTTTGGACGGGGGCACTTCATCTGCAAGGCGGACTTGCCGAGCGCCTTCACGATAACTGCAATGAACTTGTGGCCAAACAAACCTTTGGAAAACTGACAGATATCGATATTCAGATCGATAATTTTGTGGTATTGTTTGAAGGGAGGTCGAGGCAAAAACAATTTGAACGTGGCATTGAGCTGAGAAATGCCACGAATATATTCAAATTCGGTTGTAACCATAGATTTGTCGTAATCCATTATGATACATTTGTGTCGGGCCACAAACTCTGGGTTCGTTGTGCAATCGTAGGTTTTCCATAGCAGACTCAGGCGATTCGTGGAAGTCGAAGTCTGTCAAACGTTTGATTCATTTATTTCCAATATATTTTTGGGGTTCAAAATACCTTAGCTGCTACCCCATGGTTGGGAAGAGACGCGATCAGGAATAGCCAGTAAAATGTAGCCATGGTGGAGCACCAACCAATTATTACTGTCTGGCTGCAAAGCCTAATCACGGCTTCCTATATACGTTCTATATACAGTTGCGGGTAATTATAGCCCAGTAATTGGTATTTTTTGTGATTATTTTTTAAGTGGAATACTGCCCGATGACTTGATACGAGATACGAGTCCCCAAAAAATATGTCGAGCCCAATTTAGTTGTCTGCTGAATTTGACAGAATTTTATTGTGCGGATTCTTTTTGGGTCACATTCAAATACGATTTCTTCAGATGGAAAAAGCTGCCATATGATTGATCAACATTAATTAAGATACCTTTATTATGGGATATTTTCGCTGCATATTGGTTGTTCTGACGACGGTATTACATATATATCTTAGACAGCATGGTCGGTCCTTTTTCCAAATCTGATATTAAGGGGCAGAAATCGAAGGAAATGTCAAAGAGCTTCCGATCCCGGGTTACTCGGTTCGAAGCGTGCACGGACTTTCTTTTTTTTTTCTTAAACAAATCTTTTTTTCCACAGTTTTACAGTAATTAATTAGCTGGCATTAATTAAATATTTAACTGGTAAAAATTTAAGAAGAGCTTTTAATTGAGCTTTTAATTAAAGATTATTTGTTGTTTTTTTTCCTATTAAATGTTGAAAAAATACCATGAAAATTACAAAAATTTTACTTGAAAAACAGAACAAAAATAATGCAAAAAAAACGTACACCATAAAAAAAAAAAAAAAAACGGTTGGCATTTTTTTTGGTTATTTTACACAAATATAGAATAAATAACAAAATCAATTCACAAATTAGTATACATATTTACTCTACAAAATATCTACAGCTTACTACATGTCTAGTGGCGCCACCTGACGGCGCATCGGACAAACCATTTGACAAGTTTTTCCGTCGGCTGTTAGTGGCGCCAGTTAATTCGAAATTTGATTGGAAAAAATTAATTTTTGTTCCACTATAAATATCGTTGCATGGGCGGAACATGCCCCCAAAATGGAAAGCTATTCTTACCGTTATTTGTTTTGCCTCATAATCCATACCACATACCAACGTTTAGCTCCCTTTCCCCACACTGGGAGCCCGAAAAACATCCTCCCCAGGGAGGAAAATCTCAGTCAAACTTTAAAGATTGGATTTAAATCTGATCTAGATCTGAATTACAGAGAGTAGTGTGAGTAGATCGACATTACAGATCGACAGCATTATAGATATTTCTTTTTCCTGGCATTCTCCTTGGCAATGTCAAAGAGACGACCCTTCAGTGTGACATTCATCACGACGGCCACCTTCGGTATGAAGAGGTCAAAGTTGGCCAGGAAATCGTTCTCGGTTAGCATGGGCGGCAGGTCTTTCACCGATATGTTCTTCGAGTAGTATTTACCCTAGAAATAGGTGTGTAATTAAGTACAAAACAGAGCTCTGAGGTTACTGATATTCCATCGCCTACCTTTGGAAAGGGGCATCGTATGACCACATTGCTGTTTCGGGACAAAGTTCGCACCAAAAAATCGATCAGCATCTTCCGGGTGCCCTCCCGAATAACCTTGCACACATCGAAGGTGATAGCGAAAATCTGGATGTACACCTTCTTCGGATTAGGCAGGGAAACCCTGAGCGATGCAAACAAAGTGGGAATTTTTTGTACAACTTCGCCATAGCCATCCATGGTTGTGTTCCGAGGTGGCAAAATCTTGCAGCTCACGTTGGCCAAGTAGGTGGGATTTCCCACGCAATCCATTTGCCTCATCTCCACAAAGTATCCGTGCTGCCATGGAATACATATATGCAATTTGTATATCAAGTACAAAGTACAGAAACTTACTTTCAAAACGTTGGCCGCTGCTGCAGGCTGCGGAGTTTGCAGGAAGCTGGCTATGGCGCCGATGGTCCAGAGCAATTGCCACATTTGGATGTCTCAATTGTTGATGACCAACTGATCCATTAGCCTCTGATGAAATGAAATTCCCCATACTCCATGCCCCATGCCCCAGACTAATGACAGTTTAATTGTGCAAAGTGTAAAGCAATTAAACTATTATTCCCTGTTGCCTTGCCCATTGTTCGATATTCTGGTATGGCCCATTGAGTTGGCTAAACAAGTGAAACCATACGCCTAACCGTATCAGTGCGAATATCAAGTGTTTGCCATATGCTGGCGAGTGCAAACAAATATCATCACTACACTGCACTACCCACAGCATCAACTCCACGATCGCGATCATCACCATTAACCGCAAGCGTGAAGGGCGAATTCGGTAATGGGTAAGGTTTGGTAATGTTATAGGCCATTCGAGGCTGAGAAGCACTCGCACTTGGCCCGGTCCGGCAATCAATGGGACAAATAACTCTTCATATACATATACATATATACTCGTATCTGTGTTGTCATTTTCATTATCGTTCCCAATATTTATTTCTCGAGTCGGAGTGTGAGGTGTCTGTGTGTGTGGGTGTGTGTGTGTGTGTGTGTGTTTGCTTAAGACTAACTACGGAAGGTAAGATTTACACAAAACATTTCAATTTCGTATGGCATTCAGGCAGTGTGCATAATACTTTCAAGCAAAATATTATACTATACAGAAGTAGGATGGGACGGGCAGGCTCCCCGCAGAACTATTGCGGTGCCACGGGCAGATGATCGCCCTCTGGCTGGAATCCGTTCTCATCGGCCACATAGCGCAGGGTGATGATGTTGCCTTCCGGGTCGCTGTAACTGTACGAGCCTGTCTGGACCAGGACCAGTTCCTCGTGCTCGTCGATCACCTGGCCATCGGATGTCTCCGTCTTGGGTATGATGATCTTCTTGAGGTAGCCAATGTTCTCCACGCGTATTCCATTGGACGTCTCGTAGCTGTTATAGAAGGTTTGTTTGCTCTTAGTACTCGCATTTTGATCAATTTCGATGCCCTCCCACTCACCTGCTGTTGAAGCTGCCATCGGCATTGTTCACATTGTCCTGCTTCACAATGGTGGCCGCTGTTGTCGTGGTGGTGACAGCGGGTCCAGCAGCACGCTGGTCCTGTGGCCGGGCCAGGACGTAGCCGAGCAGCATGGCAGAGCAGGCGATGAAGATGAACTTGTACATTTCGAATGGGCGATTATCCTTGAGAGTTCCTTGAGTGGGTGCGGGGCGATATCCAGCAGATTGCGGTGCGACTGTTGGCTGCCAGAGCCGGGCCGCGTCTTTTTATAGTCTGGCGGCAGTGCTCTGGTCTGCCCTGGCCAGCTGCGGCTGCGCTGCTTGCGACTGCTTGCCATTGCGATGGGCGCACTAGATAAGCAGCGCGGGGTACTCTCGAGTACTCTCGCAAAAATTACGAGCGGGCGCTCTTCTTCTTAATTTTTCTTTGGGGTTTTTTTTTTGTCTCGGTTTTGGCTTCAGTTTTATTGCCTGCGATGAGTGAGTAAACATCAGATCACACCGCCAGATCGCAGAGAAGAAGATGAAGATGAAGCGACGGTGTCAGCAGGTGACAGTTGTCCGCTGTCCCCTCTCCACCCTCTGTATCCACTGTGTACCACTGCTTGGGGCTCTTGACAGCTACGTGATGGGTCTGAGCAGAATACTCGCACTCGTAGAATTCTTAAGGGACTGGTGGGAGTCAGAACGCAACTTAGTTCCGTTGAATCGGATGGCGGCTCTTCCTGGCGGGAGATTCCGTTAAGGATTTGAGTTGGAAGAGTCAGCGCATTCTTGCTATTTGGGAATATTTTTTGAGAAGTCTGATACCCAATGAGAGAATGGGAATACTTTGCTGATTGCGCATGGCGGACACGTTTCAATTATGGAAATAATTTGCCCAAAAACAAACCTGCCCGAGCCTCTAACGGTGAACGGTGAACGGTGGACGGTGGAGACAAAGCGGGCAATAAAAAATGTAGAGTATTGTTGGCCATAAATCGAATTGATAAGCTTCGGAACATTCACACATATGATGGCTATATGCTGCGAATATTAACCACAATTGTGTCATAGAGCCCCGCTCCCCCCCTCTCTGACATAGACACTTCTGTGGGCATGAAACGGAATGGTCAATGAACTTGGCTAACGAGCTAAGAACCAGGCAGAACTCTCCTCAGACACATATCTCTGATTAATTTGGGGTCAGCCCACAGCCAAAGCCAAAGCCAAAGCCAAACCAAAGTTTCTTTTGTTCTTTCATTTTAAAGTTAAATTTCTCATTTCTCATTCTGCCCTTAAAGTTAACACTTGTCTGCTAATCAAACGATACGACCAAATCACACTTTCGGTTTCTGTTTGTATTACATAATGCCTGCAATATGCCGATTCTCATTCCGATTCTGATAAAATCGAATCTGAAGTTCTGTGGCTTACTCTCACTGAATCTTCGGCCGGACTTGGCCTTCAGGTGTTTGTCCGTCTGCCTGGGGCTCGGCTCAATTTGCTTATTTAACAGTTTAGCTTTCAATTAGTAATTGTTTAGCAAGATTGCCAGCGGAGCAACAAAATCCGCCAACTAAGGCAAATCTCACACACATTTTGGCACACATGAAGCTAGTCGCAGGCAGGGGCTCAGCTAATGGGGGGGATGGGATCCATGAGTACCCACTGGATCGTTCAGTTTCAGCCACTTCCGCACTTACTCTCAAACACTCTGAGCATTCTGTTTCCGTTTACACTACGATTATCTCCATGAGGAAGTCTGCGTGTTGGGTTGATCATTGTATTGTTTAATTGTTCTCAGTTTTTTTTTTGGTTCTAATCACATTTGTGCTGTGTCCTGGTCGGATCCTCAGTTCTGCTTCTCTGGGGGATTGTAGGGGTGCAGCTTGAGGTACTCCAGAGTCTTCAGAACAGACAGGGGCGTGGGTGGCGGTGTGGGCAGATGATCACCCACCGCATGATATCCATTCTCGTCCGCGGTGTAGGACACCACATAGGTCTGGCCATCGTCGGACACAAACGAGTACTTGCCATGGACCGCCTCGCCATCGTGCTCGGCATTCACCGTCTTTAGGAGCCCATCCTGTGTCGCCTTGGAGCCATCGGCGAGTTCATAGCTGCAGAATGGGGGAGAATGGGGCGGTTAGGCTCTGCCGAGACTCTCACACTGGACCGAACTTACTGATAGTGATATTTGCCGTTGTATTCCACATTGGATTCCTGGGAGATCAGGTCACTCGTGTCCGGAGCAGCCCATGCAGCGACCGCGAACAGAGCGAGCAGCAGTAGAGTCCTCATTTCGATCAAACGGTAATGTGTATATAGATGACAATCTAGATGAAAGCAATCCAAGCAAGTGTCTCGGGGCGACTGTCAGTTCCAGTGGGTAAACAAAGACTCTTATATAGGCAACGGAATTAGCGGATTGCGAGGGGAGAGCCGAGACATAAAAAACATTCCTGTACTAAAATATTTAACATGAATTAAAATGTAGACAATAAATAATATTGAACTTGTTTAGATTCGTTGTTTCGTTTCGTTTCGTTTCGCTTCGCTTCGTTTTCGCATCATCGTCTTTGGCCTTTCGAAAATGGGTGTGAAATTTGGTGCAGACAACTCCAACTCGATCCGATCGATCTGGCGCCTTCGGGCCGCTTCCACGTTGTTTTCCAAATAAATAAATAATAATAGTAATGCCGTGTCGACTTCTATGGGAACTTGTCACCAGCATCGGCATCGGCATCAGCATCAGCATCACTCTGATTCTGGTTCTGGTTCTGGTTGGCTCTTTTCAATTTGGAACCAACGTGACAACATTTTTGTTGCCTGTGCCTGTGCTTATTCAATTTGCATAAAATAAATTGATCAACCCTCCTCGCCTTGAAGTGCAAAAATTAAATAAAAACAAATGTTATTTTGGGACACAGCTTATGAATATATGGCAGATCAATCTAAGAAGAGCCCATCGCTTGGCCTGTAAACTACTTCCAGTATATCCTCAAGTGTGCATCTCCCATATCCATATATCCATATACCCCACAACCCAACGAGTTGTATGCATTCATTAGCTGTCTTGTGGCTGCTGCTGTCATCGCAGGTATTCAAGATATTGCGAATTCAGATTTATGGCATCGACAGAAGCTTAAACATATGCAAGATAAAGATACTGATGCGATCAGCGTTGATCAACCAAGGAGACTTCAGCTAAAGGCGATTGGTTCTTCCAATAAAATACCCAAGACCCAAGACCCAAGACCCAAGACTGCTCTTCCTCATTTTTCGAAAGAATCCTTAGTTCTTTATTTGCAGCTAAGCCTAAGAATATCGTTATATATAGGTCTTCTCAATTGTTTACATAATCTTCGACGCGAACAGACGTGAAAACGCCAACCTGTCCCACAAGCTCCACAAGTTCGAGTGGCTTCGGCTTCATCGACGTCATCGCTTATATTACGTGTAAATGTTCCTAAATGTTACAGACTATTTACACAAAGTTTGCTGTGGATAATCAGTATATTATTCCTGTATATTATTTCTTGTATGTTCTTTTTTTTTTTTTTTTACATTTTCTTTCATTTCATTGATAAATCGACGATATCACATGAGTCCGAAAATGGCAAAGTTCCGGCGACTAAAAGATCTGAAGAAATTCGTGTCAAAGTGAAAGTGGAAGAAAGCAAGAAAGCAGACAAAATGAAGTAACGAGAGTCTATGTATTGGGTGTGTGGCTGTGTGGCTGTGAGTGTGTGTTCGTGTCATGTCCCTCAATCCCATTTTGAGATTGTGTGTTCTTCAGTCAAATCCACTAACAACCTCCTTGGGGGAGGTTTCAGCTCTTGTGTGATTGTCTAGATAGTTGGGGGCGATTGGAGCAGATAATGGGGTGTACGAGCATATCGTAGTAACAGCAACAGAGCAGCATCACATCGACCGTAGAGTGTCAGGGTCAGAATGTTGGCATGGGTCGGACTGGAGGGAATCAGCCAGAGGCAGCGCCTTAACGACGCTTGGCTGGCGGCAGACTCAGCAGATAGTCGAGAGCCTTCTGGATCGCTGGCGGGATTGGTGGGGGAGTGGGCAAATGATCGCCCTGTGGCTGGAAACCGTTCTCATCATCGGCCGAGTAGTTCAGGGTGATCAGATTTCCCTCCGGCGAGGTGTACGAGACAGAGCCCCTGGCGATGATCACGTCACTGGTGTCCGGAGAGGTAGCCTTCTTTAGGGTGCCCGTCTCTTCGGCCTTGATTCCGTTGGCCGTCTCATAGCTGCAAGTGCCAGGCAAGCCGAGCGAAATGATCAAAAGAGAGAAAGAAATAATCAATTGGTTTAACCGAATTCACCTTCAAAACTTGCGAAATGTCGTTGAGCAAATTAATAAAAGTTCGCAATTTCTGTTCAAGTTTTTGTTGTTAAATGAATTAGTCACCTACTTGGCGCCAGACTTTTTATCCACACACATTCCAAGACGAATTTATTCAATTCGTTTAACATTTAACATTTTCAGCTATTGCTATCGAAATGAAGCGTGTTTTTTTTTCATTTAAATATTGTTCAAGAACTCAAATTTCATTTGCTATTATGGCTTGTTAATGAGTGGTCAAGGTGAGAGAGGGGGGCAGATGCAAAGTGCCAGTCTACTGACGAAATTGGAGAGATTCAGACAGCTTCTACCACATTCTTGCCTTGCAACCAAAGAAATTACTTGATTAAAATTATGAATAAAATGAACCTGAAAGTATGCAATGAAATTGTAATAAAATATCAGATTTCATACACTTTAGCTTTTTGTCAGAGTGACATCTCTTCTTTGTAGGCGCGAAGTTCAAATGTTTAGCATGCTGTTTCTTTCTGTGCTAATTGTGGGGTGACATGCTGACTACTAGATTTGTGCGCTACTAATTCTGCTAATTATGGGCCATTTTGAAAGCTTAGAAGCTTAGGAGTCAGGATAATATGATGTTAAATACTTACGCATAATTGTATGAACCATCTGGTTCGATGTTGGACTCCTGGCTGATGATTGCAATGGGCTCCTCTGCCCGCTGCGGAGCCGCATCGACCAGGCACATCAGCGCCATGGCGACCAGGCACAAAGCGAACTGCAAAGGGAAGACAAATAGGCAGGCATTGAGATTTCCACTGGTGTTGGCCGCAAACGTTAGTCGAGTTAGTAAACATCTTGAAATCGTGCTCCGATGATATTATGCAACGCCCCACACCCCGCCACTTGTTTACCTGGGAGACGAGATTTATTGCCTTAGCGCTTTTATTTGCTGTTCTCACATACTATGTTTTAGACACCTTTTGAGGTCGGCAAATAGATGCCAATTAAATATTTTCCACATTTCCACACACACACGACGTATTCCCAATTAACTTGTGCACAAAAGTGCATGGAAAATTGTGGGGCGTGGTCGGTCGTCCGTCTCATCTCTGTCGCCGTTGCCGTCGCCACCATCATCGTCACCTTCTCAGTCTCAGTCTTTGCTTCTTTCGAAACCAATGTAGGTTCACCCCAGATTGACTCTTGGGCAATTGGTTTGGTGCTGCCCCAAAACACTTTGAATGGAACTTGGTTTGGGTTTGGGTTGGGGTTTTGGTTCCATTTTCGTGTCTGAACTTTTCAGTTGAATGTGCAGGCCAGATGGACAGCTGCCAGGTGTTGGTCTGACCTTTGAATTGCATGCGGGGCCCGCAACAGAGCTTTGTTAATGTTGAGAGCCATTTCGAGCACACGTCTTCGCTGCATCCATTAATTGCCTTTGCCTTTTAGGGGCACTAAATGGCAAACTGTTGCCGCCACCGTAGGTAGGCTGTTCCTCTGTTCCCTGTGCCCTGAACGCCCACGCCTAAGGAAGTTTTGACGAAGGTCTTGAGGTCTGAGGGGTCTTGAGTTATATTTTAACGGTGTGCAGTTTTACGATTGATTTATGCTGTCTGCACTTTAACTACCCAAATGTGGGTCTGGATCTATACAAGGAGTAGGTGTGGCTGAGACTTAATGAAAGGATGAAACTTGATTAGCTTTCATCCAACAGCTCAAGCAAAATTGAAAGATATCCTTTCTTTATCTTTCTTCTGCCTGCTCTTATCTTGTTTCTGTTCCCTTTTCGACCATCCCCAATGTTCTGCGCGATTCACTTACATTTTTCATGTTGTTCCACACACACAGAATTGTAATCCAAAGGCAGAATTATCCTTTCAGCTGGGGGCCTAGCACTGAAGTTGTTAATTGAACAAACGTTTTCTATTTAATGATACCCAATGCCGGGCAGGTGAGTCTATTTATACGAAAATGCACGGAGCGGCCGTCGCCTGCAAGCAGTGCAGTTGGCAGAGCATCGCACTAACACATGGACAGAGGCAAGCATCTACGAGACGATCGTCTCGAGTACACGAAACCAAAACCAAAACCAATAGAGTGCGCGGGCGGTGGGCGGTGGACGGAGGGCGGGTGGCGGTACGTAGCAGCAAAAAAGAGAGAAGAAAAACTAAACTAAAGATTCAACGCCTAAGTCGCCGACGGCGACGTCGCAGCACTCGGAAAGAGCAGCAGAGGCAGAGAGTCTGTCCACAGGCACCAGCAGCACCCGATGATGCCAGGAGGCATCGGGGGGGGGCGGGCAGGCCAGCATAGCATGGCAGAGCCACTCTCAGCTGTTCTGGGCAAGCAGTTCAGAATCGGCTTTGTACTAAGTTTAATTTATGCAATTGTTTCAGGTTTTTGCAGACAGACTGCACATTTAAATAGATTGCCCGGTAATGGTAATTGCATCAGCCAGCGGAAATACTAAAGCAACAAGAAAACAAACGGACAAACGGCCAACGAAAAATGAAAATGATCTTTAGTACGAATGATATTGGGGAGGGATATCACTCCCATCAGGCCCGCCGGCTCTGCCACCTGACTCGAAATGGGGCAGCCTCAGAGCTTTCGGGAATTCAAAATGCGCTTCCATTAATCGGCTATTGGCATCAAAGTCAGCCGGCGAGACCTCACTCAGACCTCAGGCTGAGGCTGAGGCAGTTGCAGTCAAAGCTGTGCATGAGGTCAAAATGCCAGCAATTGCTAAACGCCAAGGGGCCATCGCAGTCGCTGCCAGAGTGTAGGCGCGTCTAATGAATACTTAGCCTGGCCCAGCAGATGGGGCCAGACTTTAGCTCCAAAACTCCACAAACTCCAAGACACCAAGACTCCGACTCAAGCCCCGACACAGACGGCGACAGAATTTCGTGACAAGATTGTCCCAAAGATTGTGAGCAGCGTACCATTGCTGTTGCCATTGTATTGCTATTGTCTTTGGCAACCGAAAATCCAAGCTTGTTTTCAGCTAAATTTGGATTCGCAGTGGAAGTCGAAGTCGGCTGGGCTGCCGTTGCCTGATGATTGTTTCCCTCGGCGTTTGCTGGTGGCCGGCCGTTATTATGAAGACATTCGGCAGCAATAATTATAATATTTATTGTTCTACTTTTTAATATGCATTTAATTTTGGATCGCTTGCTCGCTGAGTTCCGAGTTGGAGGGCTTTTTGTTTGCAAATTAGATGGGATGGGGCAAGAACCTTGAAATATGTATTACGCATGACTTCGCTTCTCTAATTACGTGCCACAAACTACAGAGATGCCACACAAAATGTCAGTTGCCGTCTGCCGTCTGGTTCTGGTACTTTTCTTCAACCTGTTCTCGACCGCTGTCCACTCTGAAGGTCGCTGCGGATACTTTATGGCACACAGCGTAATGTAATTTGTTTTAAAGATGTTTGCGAAGCGTCTGCAATTTGATACCTAGCAGCAAGCTGGGTATAATGTGCTAGCTGGTACACATGACAGCACCCGTCACGGAATTTGTGATGAATAAAGAGGATTTCATTTATATTCCACTCAAAGGACTCTTTAATCAACCACAAAGAACAATAATTAAGATCTGGCATATCTCCCACAGATCCTAACCAGAGTATTAACACCTCGGCTCTCAAACTGCGCAGTCGCGCGTTGATTTAGCTGTTGCGTAAGAAGCTAGAGCCGCCTTTGGCATGGTCTTCGGTCGGGTCTGGTCTGGTCTGGCCCGGCCTGGCCCGGTCTGGCCCGGCCTGGCATACTTTGCAACGGCTAATGCTAATGTCAATGAAGGCATAAATAAATAATTGCGCATAGCTGGGGCTGAAGCTGAAGCTGCAGTAGCACTCACCCCATGGCTGGAGACGCTGCAACGATGCACCGCTGCAGACGTCGAACCAGTTGCGGTGGTTAAATGTCAGTGGTTCTGGTCATGTCGAGAAATCAGCTACTGCACCGCTACGGGTATTACGCGGTGATCGGCGCTTGGGGCTCATAGCGTAGCGTGGACTGGGCATTGGTTACAGTGGGCTGTTGCGTTGGCGCTGCCCATTTCATGGTCAAGGATGCACTTGAGTAACTTTGCTCCGCTTTGGCAGCGTCAACTGGTTCGCCTTTGTCTGGTGTGGTCAGGGAAGCTGAACTGGTAACTGAAACTGGAGCTCTGTCGGGGCTGAATCATCAGCTGACCTTGCAGCCAGCCAGCCAGGCAGCCAGCATTGGAATGAGTTCTATGACGCCGACTACAATGCAGTTGCAGTTTATGCTGATATCGATGCTAATCTGTCTGGGTATGGGGGTATCTTTGGGCACAGTTCATAGTCTTCGCATTAATGGGATTTATGCAAATTGACAGCGCTCCTAAATGGCAGAGGAATCGCTCTGCAGCACGTGGGCGTCGTCGATTGCGAATCTTCGTTAATTAATGCAAATCGCGGCCAAGACATTTGATATGCGGGAGTGGGTCTACTCCCCAGTTTCCATATGTCAAGTGAAGCCAAATCACCTTACTATCATTAAGAACAAATGGAATTTCAGAATTTTCGAACATAAAGTCATAGGCAGCTACGGCCATACGGGAACTATTTCCCATTTCGACATGAAGGGGTGGGGTGGTTGGCTCACCACACCACGATTTTCCAATACATAATTGCCGCTTGCATAATTTATATTTTAATTGTTCTACCACTTATGTAGGTGGGAGGAAATTAGTTTTATTACCATAAGCCATTGATGGCTGTAGGATTACCTATATTATATATTTCAATCAACAACTTCCAACTTAATATTAGGAATCTAATCGAATGCATCTAAATTAAAAGTTTGTCTTACATTTGCCACGAGCCGATCTACATGAAGCCATTATTTAGTTTGTATTACATGATAAATCAATTTTCAAGACATTTATTAGGCCCTCACTCAGATAACGAGTTTTGGCTGCTATCTTCCGATAGATGAAACGAATTGGGAGCTGACATAATTCCGGAGTGAATATTTAAAGACTTAAAGAGCTAAATAAATACGAGCCAATTAATTGGATGGCAAATATTCAACGGCTCGTTTATGTAAAACAGTCAATAAAGATCTTTTGTCTGGGCTTTGGGCTAATCTATTTAACGCATTCCGCCGATCTTCTACCCAAAGACCCAGCCAAGACTCCAGCTGTGCTACCATAAAGTCTCAGAATGGGCAACATTTGGACATTTATGGGTACAGGGTGAAGAGCAAAGTGGGGATTCGTTTTGAATGGAAACGGAGTTTGTTTGGGCCTTTGGGTGTCAAATTCTGATTGCTTACTGATCTCAATTTGTACGAGTCTCTGCGGTATTTCGTATGCAAATGGGAAGCCATCAAATGAGCCATATTCTCGTTTCAAGATAGGCATAAAAGGTTCCAATTAATTAAAATCAAAACTGGAATTTTTAATTCAATTCTTGCCCGGGCAGACTTGGGCACGTGACTTTGGCTGGACAGTGTAGCTGCAATCACAGCGGCTATTGTTGCACTTGTTGACTGCTGTCAAATCGCACGCGAAATGTGAAGGCCGGCGATGCAATCGAGATGACTCCGCCTCCCCAGCCCGTATGCCCCACACTATTCCCCACTCCATGTATCTTCTCCAACTCCAACTCAAACTCCAACTTCATTCATATTCATTCATGGGACCGTCTCTCAGTCGCCCCCCATTCATGCTTTATTCACCTCAATTTCTGATGGAAATAATAAATTCAATTTGACTGAATTGAGTTGAGGTGAAGAGTGGGAAAACTCAGCGGCAAAATTGTACAAAGAAAATGCAGACAGCATTTCTATTAACGGAATACCTAAAACATAAAGTTTATTAGCTATGGATTAAATGAAAATTATTAAAATAAAGTTAATTTATGTTATTACCCCCGCCGCCCCGCCCCGCAGCCAAAGCCGACACTCTGAAGGGGAAAAGAGTTAGTTTTTAGCGAGATTATGTGGACATATCGTGGATACCAGGTCGATAAGGAGCTGACCATATAGAACTGGGCAGCATTGCTGCCGAAAAGCATCATGTAGGATATTCCCTCCATATTCAGACCCTGGACAACGGCCATGCAGCAGAGCAGATTGGAGGCCAAGAGAAGGCCAAAAACTACAGCATAGCCAATGGGAGTGTCCGATCTGAAGCTGAGTTGTGTCGGAAAGATCCGTAGAAAGGGAAACCGTGCATTGCTTCTCCATCATCTTTCGGTTTTGCTGCCTTTCGACTTCTGGTTGTTGGTTTTAACCCGCCAAGGGACGGAGCGCGGTCATCGATTATCCTACATAATTGTCATACATAATTGTCGATTGAATAACTGATGGGTGTAATTGTTTGGTTAACTATTGGGAATTAATTGTACTAGGTGCAACCTATACGGTGCGATGAATAAATTAATACAGTATATACTCTGGAATAAACAAGGGTTTGGATGGTGTCTTGGATCTATTAATTGTCGTTTAGGTATATATAACTTTTCACAAATTAATTCACTTGGATCTAAAAGTATTTTGGAAAGATAATGCAAGATATAATTAAGTTAAATCAGCATTATCTATAGAAAGTTAATTATTATTATGTAATTTCCATTGGAGCTGATGTAAGCCCCACTGGGAGAAGTCAGAAAATAATGGAAATATTTAATAATAATTTATTCAGTGGCTCTCGAATTTCACTACTGAATATATAATTCTCCTATAATGTAAATTTGCATAAAAATGTACATATGGTTAGGCAAACACTTAACGCCCCCCAACTGGGTTTTAGCCATTTTATTCGTTTTGCCTTTGCTCACCGTTTTGCCGCATTTTTGGCAGCGATTGGCTGAAACGCTTGCTCCACTCTTTGCTCTTGACTTTAATTATTTATACAGTCAGCAAATTAGAATAATAAAAACCAATCTAAATTCTAAACGGAAATTGGCAAAACTCTCCGCTCGAAAAGTTAGCGATGAGCGTTGACCGAATACAATGATTTTTATGGACTGTAGACTGACATTTGATGCTTATGCTAAATTGGTCTCCAAAGTGGCTTATAAAACGATCCGTGGGTCTGTGAAACTGTTACAGTTCTGTCGCGTAGATCAGCGTTGAAAGTTGCTATCGAAAATGTCTCTTAAACTGGTAAATCACCGTGAGCCCACAGTGGGAAAGTGATGTGCTCTAATCTAATAGTTAATGTGTTTGCAGTTATCGTGCCTCTTCGTGCTGGCTCTGGCCGCGATCGCCTGCGAGGGGCAGACCCAATACAATCCGTATCTGAGGAACCCCTACTACCGGGATCTGTACTACAAAAACCGCGACCTGTACAACCTGCGCCGCTACTACGACGGATTCTACAAAAAGTATAATCCATTCATTGCCAACGCCCAGGCACGCGTTGTGGCCCAGTCCAATGAGGCCAACTACGGCACGGGCTCCTACGGGTACAACTATGAGACGGAGAACGGCATTCATGCCGAGGAGCGTGGTGTGCCCGTCAATATAGGCAACCAGGAGCAGGAGGAACAGGTCGAGGGTGCGTACTCCTACATCTCGCCGGAGGGTCTGCGTGTGGGAGTCAAATACGTGGCCGATGCCAATGGCTTCCGTCCAGTGATCACCTGTTAGTATGCCCAGTGTTATCGTGTAAGAGCCACACACTACAGTGATGTATTTATCTTTCAGATGATGGCGTAAACTCTGCCTTCTATGCCAGCCAGCCTGCCCCAGCCAATGTGGTCTACACGAAGCATTGAGGCAAGATTCCTATTCCTTCCTATTCCTAGTTTCCTGAGTGAAATAGGTGTGTGTTCAGCCCTCTTCTTAATAAAAAAATATAAACTCAAAAAAACTCTTTTTGATATTCGGAAAAATCTGGAAGTAGTGTCTTAAAATGTACTTAATAGGTGTTACTTAGGCCTCTGTCTAAGCTTCAGAGGCACGAAACCCGTCGGTAAATTGATAAACTTTCCACACAGAAACTGTCCCAGAAAAAACTCGAAATTATTCATTGAAGCTATACAGCTATAGAGGCATATTCCGATTTACCAATAAATAAATAATAATAATAATAAATAAATAATTCAATAAATGGAAAACACGGTTACGCGATCTCGTGGAAAGTATTTTATACCATTAAAAGAAGCGAAGCTGGAGATGTTTCTATGCAAAAGTAATTCTTATTAAAGGCAAACAAGTTTATATTGTATAATGCTTAAAGTCTTTCTACGATATGGTGGGCATATAACCATCAACTGACGAACGCCATTTTGTCTGCTTTCGATTGATTTTTTTTTAAGAGCTTAATACTACGACGACACGAAAGCTCTTACAATTCCGTGTTCAGCACAAAGGTGTGCTTTAAAATTCATAAAAAATTATTATTAATTCGAAAATTTTTTATTTTTATTTTTAATGAGTTTTTATTGAATTAAGCTAAAGATTTTGGTATAAATCATCGCTTCATTTTTCTTTTGAAAAAACTAAATATTTCGGCACTCGTTTGTATAATTTACATACTATATGTATGTATATTGGAATTATTTTGCTAATCAAGTGTTAGGCAATTAGTTTTACGTGTTCCCTAGAAAGGTCGATGAATATATTCAGTATATAATCCGAAATATTAAACGAGTACAATCCAATAATATAATTTAAATATGCAGATATCCTTAAGTAAATTCACAAAGATTACCTTACTTATTTATGCCCACTTAAGCTTTTTCTTGAAGAACTGGTTAGTATTAGATGCCTCCTGCTTTAGAATACTGGATATTCAGAGCATTGTTCTGAAAACAATTGAGAAGTAATTATTAAATTACAAATTATACCCAAGAGAAATCAAATTGACACACGAAAAAGTCAGCTCATTCTATTATATTTTATTTATTTGAAAAATTGTTCTAGAATTATGCAAATCATTATTGAGGACTACCCCCAGCTCAAGGCTGGGTCTGTAAACAAAAATGGGTCAACTGTGTCGCTTATCGGAAATGTGAATAGCAAATGTACCGCGTACAGACGAGTGTGTATACTCGCACACAGCGACTACTTAAACGGCGACTTGTTTTGTCTCGCCTTTGGGAGAGCAACAAACTCATTAATTTTAAACGGAGCCCGTATACTGTGTATACGAAATGTGGAATTAAATTTGGCAAAATGTCAGACAGTTTCATTATCAAATGCGATGCGATGCGGCCTTTGATTCAGAATAATCAAAAAAGATTCGTTCAGCTCAAGGGCTTTGGATGATCTGCAAGTTCTTCGCTCAGTAGAAAAGCTTTGATTCTTCGTAACAGATATTTAGTTGGGGTTTATTTTGATATATAAAATAACAAAAAATAATTAATTATCTTATGCTTAGCAACGTAACGTCGTCATATTGAGTTAGACAGATAAATAAATACGAAATAACATAGGAGCGGACTATATATACGACTACAATTCGATTCCTCCATTCGTCTCCTTCCTTTTCCTTTTCCTTTTTTTGTGGATTTTTTCCTGGGTTTTCGATGGCTTGTTATAGGGTTTGACCGAGATGATCGCTCGTCAAATGCAAGGGAATGGTGGGGGTGTGGGGGTGTGGCGTGGGTGTGGGTGTGGGTGGTTGGACTAGGACGGTTCGGATGGGTGTGGGGAGGTGTAGAGGTACAGGGACCTTATGGCTGTTGATGAGACAAGTCTGGGAGCGGACTTATTCGGAGACATCTGGCTGCACTGTGGGATGTAGGTGGGAGAGGCGCTTGCGCTCCAGCCTCTCCTCCTCGGCACGTCTCTCCTCGCGCTCCTCCTCCTCGGCCAGCTCGACCTCGTGCTCGAGCATACGGATCTGGTCGCCCAGCTCCTTGGGCATGCGCTCCAGATGCATCGACTTGATTTGGGCCTTGATGTCCTTGGTCATGTGGTTGATGCGGAAGCCACGATGATCGAACTGGGCGCCGCCATTGGCCTTGTGCTGCTCCTCCACGTACTTGAGGGCGCGTGCAATGGCCTCGGGAATGGGTGGAGGAGTGGGAATGTGATCGCCCTCGGGCATGAAGCCACCATCGTTGGAGGCGTAGTTGACGCGGTACAGCTTGCCATCATCGCCGGTGTACTCGTAGTATCCCTTGGCGTGAGTGCCGCCGTTGTGATGCAGCTTAGCCTGCTCCTCGCCGTAGATGCCGTTCTCGGTCAGGAAACTGTTCTCCGGGAATCGAAAATTAGCTTGGTGGGTGGGAAAAGTCGTTGAGTGAAAAACCTACGCATGATCGTATTTGTCCTTCTTGCGGATCTCTTCCTGATGCAGAATCTTGTGGCGTCCCTCATCATCGTAGTTGAAGAGGATGTTCCTGGGCGTCGTCGTGGTCGTGGTGGTGGTAGTGGTGGTCCGCTCCGTGGTTGTAGTCGGTTTCTTCGTCGTTGTTGTCGTCGTGGACTGTGAGTGGTGCGGGGTGTGTGGGGTGTTGGTTCATTCTTTTTTTGTTTCATTCATTTTGCTCAGTGTGTCTGTGAGTGTGTGTGGTTGTGCGTGTGTGTGGGTTGCATGCGTGTGCGTGGGCATGGGTTCAAGGGTTCAAGGGTTCAAGGGTATTCGGGTTCGGTTTGGATCATGCAGGATACCTTATGAGGTTTTCATGTAGCGCGTGATGCTGGGATTTGTTTTAGTTGCAGTGCCGAAATCGTTCGTAAATCATTTTGGTTTGGTTATGGTTAAGCGGGGGAGTGGAGTTCTGGGTTCTGGGATCTGGGCTGGGGTTGGGGCTTTTGTTTTGTGGCGCTTTAGTGCTGGATGCTCGGTTGCAGATGGGTTTGTGTTGCGATTTGCGGTTCATGATCGGGGAAGCCGTACTCCAAGCGGATTTCTGGTACTTGAAACTCGGCATTACTTACTGTGTACAGATCGTGGCTGCAAAGAAATTCAGTTTATTCAGTTAACATTAATGCTGCTTATTGCTGCTTACTGATTACACTTACTTGTAGGGCCTGACATCGTGGACGTAGGGTAGGTTGAGGCCGGCATATGGCCCATAGCCACCATCGTAGGGATTGGGAATGTGATGGTAGGCTCCCAGCTCGCGGTGATCCGTCACATGGGTGTAGGGCTGTGGCATGTGCTGGTAGCGACCTTTGGTGGGGCAACAAAATTAAATGGTTAGTGGGCCATCTCAAGGAAAAGCTTTGGTCTGTGTGAGTGTGAGTGTGGGTGATACGAGTTCTATATCTACCATTAGATATTTACAACTTTCGTTAGTTTCCTTCTCGCTTATGTGTGTGTACAATGGCTGTGCAGTTAGGTCTGAAAGTGATTGGGTTTTGGGTTAAACAATCTACAGCAAGTGCCGAACAGCAAAAGGCATTTTGGATTGATAATTTGGTCAGCTTTCATCCCCAATCTGCGGATGAGTATCGATTGTGTGATTGTGTGTGATAGTGTGGATAAAGAACTGAAAGAATTCGCTTCTTTCCTTCTTTTTTGTACTTCAATGATTTACCTAAACTATCCTGTGCACCACTCCGGCCTATAAGAAATCGAATGTTTAATATCCCGTTCAAGTGGTGGGTACAGTGTACTCTGGTTAGTGCAGAAGCTCAGCTCAAGATCGAATTGGATTTGCCATTTTCACAAATATTTCAAAGGCCAGACCAACCTTGAGCTTGAACTTGGTTAGAGAGTCAACAGATTATTCGTATAAATAAATGTGTTATCGGAATCAGCGCAGATTCACATGCTCCCGGGCTTGGCTGTACATGTGTGTGTGTGTGTGTGTGTTTGTGTTAGTACGAGTAGCAGCTGGCCAAGATCTGAGATCTGGCTTGCTCTGCTCCGTTTGTGTTCTCTTTGCCTGGGGGGGGGGGTTAGTGGGCGGCAACAGCAACCGCATGCAGTCAGTGGGCGTGGGCGTGGGTAGGCGCATTAATTAGAGTTGGATCACGAAATACCTTCATTTTGCGAACTGGGATGGTACCGTCCGTCGTCCAGTGACCTGTATCTGCCGGCACTAGAATTTTGCTCTGAAACCGTATACTTGCCATTGCGGTCCTCGTCTGGGACGGGACTGGTGTGGCAGACAGCAATGAGAGCCTGCGGGCGAGGTTAGATTCGATTCGATGGTTGGGTTGGGTTGGGTTGGGTTGGGTTGGCAGCACATTTGCATAATGCAATTCAAAGAGTGACAGGAAGTGGCCCCCAAAGCGCGCACGGGTTGAATGCACTCCGGATCTAATGAATCAGCGGCGCGGCGCCTGCGCTGTGCCAAAACTTGCTCCGAATCGAGTCGGCACGAGGTAATTAAATCAATACGTATGCATTTAGTATTTCTTTTGTTGCTAATTAAACTCGCGCTGGCGACGCTGACAAAGACGTAATACACGAATTGTTCACCCGACAGCACTGGGCGACACACTGGGTGGCAGGGGGTGGCACTGGGCAGGGATCTGGGCACTGGATTACTTACCACGACCGCCACAGCGGAGAATCTCAGCATGGATTGGGTGAACATGTTCGCTTGGCTTAGATTATAGTCGATATCCTTTGGGGAATTATCCTGGGGCTTGCTGCTGCTGCTGCTACTGCTGCTGCTACTGCTGCTGGCTGTTGTTATCTCTCGCTGGTAATCCTTCTCTGAGGGCGACTGCAACAGGAATGTTTGGAGTTCGATCAAGTACGCTCCATTTATATAGAGATGTGCCGGTGGCAGCGACGACGCTCCTAAAATGCTCAGCCCAGCCTCAGCCGCCGCAGCATCTGCGTGCGAGTGTGTTTGTGTTTGTGTGTGGGCATGGGGCTGCTGCTGCTTCGTATGCGTGTATGTGTCTGTATCAGTTCACCTCAGTTCAGTTCGATAAGCCAGAAGAACAGTACCTCTCCCTCTCTCTCTCTCTCTACACTTCTCTCTCTCGCTCTTTGGCTGCTCCCTTTTGGGTTTTCGACAGTGACGAGTCGCACTCTGCTTGTCTCCCCGCCTCCTCGCCATTGGCTTTGGAATGCAGCTTAGACGCTCTCATTGGCTCAGTAACTGAGGCAATAATTTATATGGCCGTCGAATCAATGTCGCCAAATAATCGTAATTACATATACAATCAATTAAACAATTTGTATAATTTGGCAAATGTCGTCTCCTCGCGGTTCAACGACCCCTTGAACTTGAACTATAGCGATCTTCTTGCATCTCAGGATATACAGGTATGGCAGGTGGAGGCGGAGGTGGAGGTGGATGACGCGCTGTTTACTCCGCTTCTGATGAAGAAATTCCCATGATTTCGTTGGGAATTGTCATCGAAATTCTGGCGAACAATGAGAGCGAAACAATTTTGGAAAAACGTCTCATTTGCTGATAATCGAAGGTAAAGTTCAGGCCAGTCCAGGCCAGGCCAGGCGCGCAGACGTCATAAAGTCAGGGGCCAGATAACGATTCACAAAAAATAAAACGTTAATTTTTTAATTTGTTTTGATTGGTTTGGTTTAATCATAGTCGCAGAATGAAGGGAAAATATTTATTTGAGTCAAGGACGGGGAGGGGAAAAACAGAGGCAATGCAAATTGTAAACAGGAGATTAGTTCATATTTACGGGTACTTATAAATGGATATACTAGAAAGGAAATTAGGTGATCATATGTACGTAAGTTATAGTCAAAACTTTGCACCGAAAACCTTTGGAAACTGTACGGTATCCGTATCTGGAAGAGAGGTTTGAGGCTGTAAATAAATAAATAAATAAAATAAATAGAAATATAAACATTGACAATGTGCATGTTTTCCGGCAAAAAGAGATGTATCCTGCGTAGAATACAAGGTTCTAAAAGGGCCACATTGTTAGGGTCTTGGCTTGTTCGCTTTAGCCGTGTTCGGACGCCCGTTAATTTCCCAGTTGGAGTCCAACGTTAACTAGCTTTGGCAACCGATGACAACATCGCCGGCATCGGAGATACATACATACATATGTATGTATATGTCCCAACTACCTGGAGGCACTCGGAAGCGCCATAAAATTGCCGTAATGAAATCATAAATTACGCACCAGCGGAAATACAGCAAAGCAACCAAAAACGCACAAAAAGATAAATAAAAGTAAAAAGTAAAAATAAAATAAAAACCATTCAGACAATGCGCGCGCCTGCCACAATGCGAAATGCATTAATATTGAAGCTGAAGCCGAGGTGGAGATGAGGATGGGACTGGGACTGGGACTGGGGCTGGGTCTCTCACAGCATGTACATACATGTATATGTATGTATGTACATCCATAAGTATAACCGGAATCGGAATAAGACTCGGATTTAACCGGCATAAGAAAAATGTTGACAAAAATGATTTTAATTGTTTGTAGCAAACGTTGACACCGCAGCCAGCAGCCAGCAGCCAGCAACCAGCAACTGCGGCAGTGACAGCTCGGGGATCGGCATGGAATTTGTCCTTAACGGTTTCCTAGTCTGGAGATGAATCCCAGATTACCGATACGCAAGCTGCCGCAACGGAGGAGAATGATTGTCAGCGCACATGGGCGACGGACTTAAGCCAATTAATAACGACCATAAACATAAACTGTGATTAAAACGCCACAGTTTGGGGAGATGGCAGGCCGAGTGATGGCAGGCCTGGCAGCCACGAGCAGAGGGTGAAGAGTACCAAGCATCGATGCGATGCTGCGTCACAGTCACTGCACTCCAAAGGTCGTACGCTGAACCCAGACCAGCAGAGATCGGACCAGACCAGACCAGCCCAGACTCGAATCCAAAGATTGTGCCAGTGCCAGTGGCAGTGGCAGTGGCAGTGCCAGATTGTTGTGTGAATCACGGCGCGTGCTGTTATTGTTACTTTTTGAATCATTTCAGCTGGATTTGGGCATTGGCGATATCTATATGGGGGCATTCATAAAAGTCACAAATACTTAATAAATATTTAAATAAAATGACTTTTTAATCAATTACAAGTTCGATTGGTGATGCTCGGGCGGTTGGCACTTGATTTGCATGCCACGAGCATTTGCAGTCAGATATCAGATGAGATCTTCACACCGCAGGGTGCTGCTGGTGTTATTTTATTATTAAAAAAATATCTACATATGTACATATGTATGTATGTATATTTCCATTGACCTTGGAATCACATTCTGTCCAAATCTCACACTTTCTTCGATGCGATGCGTCACTGGCATTTCATATTATCCGAGTACCGTGTATCACGGCCAGGTAGGATCGGCTTGGGATCGGTTTTGGTTCGGTTCGGTTCGGTTCGATGCTAATCTCCGGTCAATTCAAGTATTTACGATCCATATCCAATGTCAGAACAAGTTTGAGTGTGTTTTATTTCATTGACGAGACGTCTCTCCTCCGGCAAGTCGGAAAGTGTCGCACATAAATCTTTAATCTGCTTAAAACTAATTTCAAACAATTTGAGTCGGCTTAGAGAGCAGGAAGTACGAGCATCAGCACCGGCACTCCCCAAAAAGTGCGTCCGACTGGTAGGCGCTCGATCACATGTGCAGTTTCCTATAGCTCCAGTACCAGATAAAGCCCAAGAGGATAAGCGGCAGCATTCGGCCGTCAGGTGCGAGACTGCGCGATGCGTTGCACAGGTGTCCGCGACAGTGGCAGAGGAGAACGGTGTTCCTGGCGTTCACCTTCTCCTCGATGCAGTCCTCTTGGTACGGCTCCTCCACGACGATTTTTTCCACCCACGCTTTTTTGACAAAGACATGTGTGGTATTCAGTTGCTGGGCACAGCCCCGCATCGTCTTGACCCACTGCTGTCCCTCGAGTAGGGTCATGGTCAATACGGTTTTCGAGCACATCGTTGAGTGGGGGCACTCGCCAATGTGCCCGAGCGGCTTCTGCGCTGATCCGCACGTCTGATCCGCCTCGTTGCACTGGTAGCACTTGAGCATCTCGCCGACTGCCACTGCCACTGCCCCGCTTCCGATTAGGCAAATCACTGTTCCCACACTCAGCCAGAGCTTAGTTCCGACGCCCATTGTTTCCGGATATAGAGTATAATGTACGTAACTCTGCTTCCGAAGTCGTTTGCGCTTCGAGGGACTGAAGTGAACTGCAGGCAAAGTGGGGAAGTCTCGCATGTTTAAAAAAAGAACAGATTAAGCCGCAGAGAACATGCAGAGCACCATTTATGTATGAGTAATACACACCCTTCTGGAGCAATCCCTCCCTCCTGATATCGCAGTTGAACTAAAATTAATCTCAACCGACAAAAGTTTTCCTTTTTTTTTTTTTTTTTGGAGGGCGTTCTCATATCAAATGAAATTAAATGTAGTTAAATGTATGACATTTCATTGGGTTATTCGAATAAAGCTTGAGCAACGATTTCTACATTCAATTGTAATCCACTCCCAAGTATTTCTCTCACCCAATGCTTCCAGATAACAGATGTTTCATTATGCACCTTTGTTTGCTTCTTTGTCTTTCTTTCGCTCTCATTCTCTCTCTCTCTCTCTCTCTCTCTTTGTGCTGCACAGGCGGAAGATCGATGCCTATTCGTTGCACTCATCGATTCCTATCGATTGTTTAAGCTGGACCAATAAACACTTAATCCCTGGGCCAAGTTCGGGCTTTGGCTGTGGAATTTAATTGGATTATAATGACTGCATTGTTCAGTTCAGTTCCATTCGCGCTCCCCCCACATGCGAGTACGAGTACGAGTACGAGTATGTATGATTTACGCGTATTTTCACCCCCTACAAGTCGGCCTTTTGGACAGACAGCCTTTAGCATTTCGGGCAAAAACAAATGAAATCTTTATAGGCTGCCATTGTATATCTGTCCATAAATTAATCCGATTTTTGCGTGGGTTTTCACACACACATATTTCGAATGACAATGCGACTTCTCTCTCCTTTTTTTTTTTTTTATTTAGGTTTGATTTGTTCTCAACTTTCTGTTCATTGCCAAAAGATTTGCTTAATTATCGTTTGCTCTCTTTATGGTTTAATTAGTGCGCCCGGAGGCAACTCTCTGTGGGTATATCGGTACATATTAAATCAAAACGGAATGTCTATAAATATTGGTGCATGCTGAAGCCAGTTTAGCCACCGAATGCCAGAATAGATGGATCGATTTTGGTAGCACTCGGCGCATTCACATTTTAATCGATCCCATTAAACACAAACGATTTATGCCATTAATTGCCGGCATTTGTTTCGCCCAACGATTTAATTTACAAAGCGCCATTTTGCTGTTTGGGGCCAAAGCAAAACCACCCAAAAACAAATCAGGCCTCATGACAAACTGCAATTGGAGCAGAGATTGCAAACCGAAACCAAAACCAAAACCAAAACAACAATGAAACAAATTACCAGTCACAATGAGGCGTAATTGGATACGATCGAGTTGAGTATGTGGCGGCTGATGCCTCTTCAGTCTGGTCTGGGATTCGGGATCTGATTTGTGGGATCTCGAACCTGACACTTGGACCCCTGACTGGGATTGGGGATTGGGTGTGGGGACTACCTGCAGGAGGGAAGGGACACAAATTGCAACCGAGTTCAAAGCTCCACTCCTAAATTATTGATCAGTTTTAAGTCTCCCCTTGTCTGCCCCTCGTAAAACCTAAAGGTGCTAAATAAAATAAACATTAATGTTTTGGTGGCCTTTCAGTTTTTACATCTCTCTTGTCGTTTGACCAAAAATAAAAACAAATGCATGAAATAAATTTATATAAAATGGAAAAATCGCATATTAATAAATTTCCAGCCTGACAAGTGTGAAGAAGAGAAATGTTTTTTTTTTTTAATATATATTTCACAATGATGACATCATGCCAATGGAATCTCAATCTTGTATAAACTTCCCCAGAAATCTCTAGCTCCGCTGGTTTTTATCTTTATTCGTATGGCTGGACCACAGAATTGTCGTTAAATAATTAACTTTAGGCGCCGTCTGCCGGCGACAAAGTTGTGTTCAATTTACGAGTAAAGTCGAGTAAATGGCCACAGTCCCAGTCCTGCCAATTGTCAGCTGTAAGCGGTAATATTTACTGGACACTCTCGTAAATTTCCCCGAAGGACGGATGCTACTTGGGGCGAGTGCAAGTGCGGTAAGAAGTGTGGGGTAAGGGGTGAGGTGTAGCGTACATTTTGTAAAATTAATTAATTGCATGCAAAACACCAAATTACGCATTGCTGGCGATTTAGTGCCCAGGGGCAGTCTCTCTTTGTATATCGCCAGCGAATAATTTAAAGTCCCGCCACAATTCCAGATTTCCATATCCCAAAGAGAGAGAGAGAGAGAGAACCTGTTGTTGCAGTTTCATTAGAATATATATTAAAACACACACGTACATTCCGGCAAGCGATTGATCCATCGATAAAGTGAGTAATCCATGATGTTTCTTAGGGTTCTACGACCTTTATGATTCACAATATCAAATCATCAGTTTCACTTCCTTACCATGATCAGGTATTTGAAATATTTCAATCAAGGTTCAATCAATCCCCAAGCCTACCGAAACCTTGTCTGGCAGCAGGCGTGTGGGCGTGGTCGCTTTCGATTTCTGACACACCGCCCCCCCAAACATTCTAGAGTTGACGGGCTATTGGCTTGGATCTACAGCGTCGTTATGAATGGTTTGGTCTGACTGCCCAAACCAACAGCCTGACAAGATGATTAATGAGTATCGAATACCCCAAACCGTTGACCGATCTCACAGCTCCACTGACAGACACTTATTGTTGTTATTAATGCTCATTAAGACAAATAAGCGCCTCATTGTTTTTGATGCGTTTTAAATTTGATTTAAACGACACTAATTACCTTTGATCCTATTGGGTTTGGTTTGGCTTGGCTGGGCATGGTGAAATTCCAAACCACGCCAATTAAGGTGACAAATCGAGCATCGATAAGTGACGTGAGGTGAAGCGGTTGAATGGCTTTCGAGGGAACAAAACGGTTCAAAGTTTTCTGTTTATTGCAGCAGCCAATTAATCAATGGAAAGCGGTTGGGTTGGACTATCCTCGAGGATTTCTTCCAGTTTCGATTACGAGTATCCTGCGGAACGAGCCGCAACCAGTTGTCCAACACTTTGGACTTTCCCCCGAAGTTGTTGTCTCCGTTTTGGCCAGTGGACGGGCAGTGCAATGCATTGGGTTGGGGCTCAGAAAGGTTAAAAGCAACCCGCTGTTGCCAATGCAAACGAGTTGCTCAGTTAGTCGCTTCTAGTATTTGATTTGATGGCTTGTTAGTATGCAAAGAGCTTCCACACGTACATTGACTCATCTGCCGCCGAATCAGCTCGGGTTCAGGCCCGCCCATTATTAATCCAATTGAACGATGCCATCTGGCACATAAACCTCGAGAGTTATTAGCCAAACGGCTATCGGGCTTGGAGACCCAAACTAAAATGGCCAGCGAGTGCATTGGGGTCGAATCAAACGTAATCAAGTAGCCGACATGAAAACACGCTTAACGCTGGCACTGACTCTGGCTCTGGCCACCATCAGCTGCTCCTGGGGCCAGGAACTGGAACGGGAACAGGAGCAGCAGCCGCCAGCGCTGCCCAAGCGGGGCCGCTATATTCCCGAGCTGCACGGAGCCACGGGCTGGTATAGGCCGGACGACAGCGGAAAGTATCGTCACGAGCACAAGCCCTACGATGGCGGCTACGGGGACCGGGGCGAGCCGTATTCCTCGGATCTGCACAGCATCTTCCGAAAGGCCGAGGAGCAGCTGGCCGCTAGTGTGCAGGAGGCCAACGGGAACTTCGCCCTCGGCCCCCGCGATCATCTGCGCTTCATGATCGACTTCAACTACAACGGCACGGGCTGGCAGATCATTCAGTTCCAATGGGTGCGCGACGGCGACGAGACCCATCCGGACACGAAGAAATACAGCTACATCAACGAGAATAAGCTGTGGGACACAGGCGTGGAGGCGGAAACGGCAGTGGCGGAGCAGCCGTATCACTACCAGCAGCCCGATGAGTGCCCAGAGGTGACCTGTGAGCCACCACCTGAGCAGGAGCAGCAACAGCAACAGCCACAGCCCGACGTTCAGCCTCAAACCAACATTAATTCCGAACAGGACGTAAGTATCAGCTGTCTATTCGCGGGCATTAATATTCTCCTACTAAGGCTTTGTGTGGTTCATTGACAGCCGGACAAGATCCATGAGACCATCAATGAAGTCCTGGAGTACATTCAACGGCGCATCCTGCCCACTCTGCGGTGAAAAATGGTTCGTGAATTGCAGTGCATTGTAGTGGGTGATAAATAAATAAATAAATGAATGTTTGATAGCTCAAATTGGATTATTTTTAAATCAGAATCGCTTGCGAAAACAATTCTCTATCCTTTTATTTTGGCTGCTAACTTTCTAGCCATTAAATAGGCAGGAAAAACTCTTATGGCACGTTGGTTTATTGGCGATTGCAATTCACATTTCGATTCAATAACTATTTCTTCTTTTTGGCGGCATTCGCCTCCAGGTAGGCCAGCAGCTTGGCCACATACGGCGGTGGCGGTGGGGCCGTGGGCAGGTGAGCAGCACTGGGCACAAAGCCATTGTCATCCGCGGTGTAGTCCACGCGGTAGAGTATCCCATCGTCGCCAGTGTACTCGTAGAAGCCCTTCGAGCGCAGGCCATCCTCCTTGGTCAGCTTCTCGATCCGTCCGCTCTCCTCGGCCAGAATGCCGTTCTCCGTCTCGTAGCTGGGGGAGAGTCAGAGGGTCACGGTCTTGGTCTTGGGTCTTGGGTTGCAGTATACTCACAGATAGTGGTAGCCATCCTGCTCGACATCATCCTCCAGTCGGATAATGGCCCAGCCATTGCCGCCTTCGCCTGTGCCTCGTCCCTTGGGCAAATTGGCAGTCACATCGACAACTGCTGGCGGCGGAGGAATGGTGGGTCGCGGCTTGGGTCTAGCGGTGGCTCCTGCTCCAGCCCCACCAGCTGCCCCGCCACCTGGTCGTGCCCCTGACGCCGATCCTGCTCCGCCACCTGCCCCAGCGCCACCTGCTCCACCGCCTGTGTTCTTGTCGCCCACATAACGGTTACGGTCTCCGGTATAAGCGCCACCAGCACGATCGTCATGCTCGTACTTGTTGTCCATGTGCACGTAGCGTCCATCGTTGCCGCCGGAATAGCGTCCGTCGCCACCACCGCGATAGCGTCCGTCGCTGGCGCCCGTGTAGCGTCCATCGTTGCCACCTTTGCCAACAGTTGCCCGCACAGCAGCTGGAGGAGGGCGATACCTGCCATCATTCTGGGCCAGGGCTCCAGCCACGCAGGCCAGCAGTAGGGCAATCTGCAACAGAAAGTCCGTTAGTTATCCGACGTTGCATCCGATCCGAGGGGAGCACTCAACCTACCGTTATACGCAGCCACATCGTGGAAGATGAGCAATGAGAAGCTGTGGCCCCAGGTGCCCGGCTTTATATCTTTCGCCGCAGCACCGCACTACGCCCACATGGAGAAGCTGCAGTCTAGCTACAGTCTTAGCATGCTGTAAGTGCCCACGGTCCAGCCTGGTGGGGTCTGGTCTGGGCCAAGTGTGCGATTGCTGCTGTGCTGTGCCTAATTGGCACCGATCCGACCGGTGGGTGACTTGATCAATTAAGCGTCGGGGTTTACGATGCGATTAGTTCGTAATTTGTTGGAAAGCAGCCGGCACAGCGGCAGTGCTGCACTTAATGGAGATTAATTGCCATGATTCTATCAGCCACCACCGAAAGGTTGGACCAAACGTTGACCTTTGCTTAAGGAGTAGCGTGAAGATACGATTTTGGACAGCTGGCTACCAGCTGTAGTTGTAGTTTTTCAGGGTTTCGCCTGAAAGTATGCTATGCAAATGTATGCCTATATCAATTAGCTGTAAGAAGCTGTCAAATCGGAAGGAATTGCATACTTTCGGGCTGGAGTACAAATTCTCTTGGAATGATTTTTATTAAATCCGGCAACTGCCAGTAACTAATTATTCTGGCCTTTAGATATTCCAATGAGTAAGTAACTGTTTTGAATATGCCCATAAAATACTTTGAACAGTTTCATTTAAATCAATTTATTCGAATTTCGATCGAAGCAACTTGTCCCCACGTTCGCTGGACGTGTGTCCAGATTTATTTTTCACAGAAGTGGGTAGCGGGCGTCTAGCCGCGTCGGTTGTTGAACCCACCAGACGGCTGCTCTTGTGGCGGCGGCGGCGCCGTTGCCAGGTAGGCGAGTGCCTTCTGAATCGCCGGTGGAATCGGTGGGGGCGTGGGCAGATGATCGCCCTGCGGCTGGAAGCCATTCTCATCAGCCAGATAGGTGATCCGAATGGGTATGCCCTCCGGCGAGGTGTAGGAGAAGGAGCCCTGCGCGACCTTTTGCAAATGGCACACAAGATGCAAATCCCAATTAGCTTGAGTTCATTTGGCAAATTAGCTGCCCCAGGGGCCGGCGCTGATCTCCAGCAAATGCCAAGCTGTCTGGGCACGATTCACCGGGCTGAACTCACCTGTCCCGCCTCGTCGGTGCCGGCGTTCTTGAGGTAGCCCTCCTCCTCGACATTGATGCCGTTGCCCGTCTCGTAGGAGTACTTGTAGGACCCATCGAAGTTCACCTCCTGCTCCTGCCTGATAATGGGTATGGGCTCTCCGGTCGGTCCTTGTGGCCTTGCCTGGGCCAGGCTCATCAGCAAGGCTGCCACAACGAGCAGCTGCAAGGGGAACGGAACCAACTGAGTGTCCACTCAACCAACAAAATCTGGTAGCAGCTTACTGTGTATTGCATTTTGTATGCTCTGATTTGTGATCTGATCCTTTGCGAGCGTCTGCTGTGGCCTGGCTTCGTTTGGGTACTGTGGCCAGCATGGGCAACCGTTTGCATATTTATACCCAAGCTCGATTCAGTGGCTCCAGCTTGGGGGACTCTCATTGTGGCTTGAACTTTACAGTTACCGCACACAGCCATAGACACAGACACAGACTGAGGGCAGCGGCAGGGGAGCAGCAGCACTGGGGCAAAAGATTTGCAGAACCAGCCCAAAGCTGGCAAGTCGGAAGCCTGGCCATTGGTTGCATCTGCCCATAGAGCACTGCCTCCACCCACAACTACATATGCAAGGCCCCGTCAAAGATGCCCCAACAGATTTGAAATTGTGTGTTGCTGCTGCAATTTGTCGAATCGAATGACTCGTAGACACGACACGTCCGCTGACGGACGACCTGTCGATGCCCCATACAGTAGGGTATAGAATGCTGAATATTCTTTTAAAATATTAATATACTCAGCTATCCTATGGCTATGCCCACTGTACCGTGCTGCCATTCGGGGGGCGTTGGTTTTTCGATCATTTTCGAGTCGTGTTGTACATGAAACCCGTCGTGGCCGGCTGCTTGTGGCATTCATAACTCCTCATCCTCACGCTGTCGTAGACAAGGACAGCACGTATCAATTTGTCAGCTTTGTCATTAGACATTTAACCCATGGCGTGGCATTCAGAGCCCGATTTTCGATGATCATTATGATGCACACAACTATGACGGCCACCTGACCATGATAAAGTCTGGCTCACTGGCTTACTGGCTCACTGGCTTGCTGGCTTGCTGGCTCACTGGCTGAATGGTGGTGCGAGTACCGCTTGACCTTTGGCGGAGGCGGTGGCAGATGCATCTCAATTGCCATCTCTCTGGTGGGCCTTTACGAATGGGCCAGAGCCAGATGCTCAACACACTTGAGCAAATATCAGCTAGCCCCAAAGAAGCCCCGCACCAGAGATGCTACGTGAGTTATGTAGATGAAAGAACTTCTGGGGGAGCTGGAATTGGGCTTAAGTATTCAAGTGTTGGATTGTTTGTTGTTTGTTTTGTTTATATTATTTGTTTTTATTGTGTTGGCTATTCAAATCATTTGCATCGGACTAATCGGCGGGCTGGGATCGTTGGTCGGCATGGCAGGTTCCTATCCGGTCTTCTTGTTGAACAGCAGCGACAAGAGCTGCTGCTTGAAGGGCTTGGCGGTTGTTGTTGTGAGGACGGTGGTGGGTGTTGTATATGTGGGCGACGTCGTGTAGGTGTAGGTGGTGGTGGTTGTGGGCGTTGTCGGTGTCGTCGGTGATGTCGGTGTCCCTGTCGTAGTCGTAGTTTGGCCACAGGCCAGCGACAGGACAGCAGCGAAGACAGCGAGGAATGCGAAGAACTTCATATTGTGGTATTTGCTTTGGCTTTGGCTTGGGCTTGGGCTTGGCTTTGTTGCTGCTGGAGTGCTGCTGGAAGGGCTGCTCAACTCGAAGTGTGTCTATCTGTGGGCCAGGGCACACTTTTTATACATAATCCCACCAACCAATTCCCGGCCCCTGGGCCGCCTGCAACGGCCCGCCCGGCCTATGTTTGCGCAAATGTTTCCATTTGTTCTTTGCTTTCCCATTCCATTTCCATTTCCCCGCCTCTGCTCCCCGGTTGTGTGTTTGTGTGTCTTGCGGCTGTCAAATGATGAAATGCATCACTTCCACTTCCACTCTACCACTCTACCCCCCCCCTGCCAAGTCATTGGACTGTGCCACACTCATGGTACATGGCAAGTAAGTAGCTACTTGTGACTTCAAAAAAAATATCTGCCTAATCTGTCGCTTAGCCTAATGCATTCCTTAGTATATATAACGGGCGTAGCTGCTCGGCCACTGCATGGAGAAGGTGTAGGCGGGCAGCGTGGCCAGGAACTGCTCGCTGAGGGCATCCCGCTCGACCCTGGGACCCACGTAGTGTCCGGAGACGCCAATCTCGAAAAGGGGCTCATCGAAGTTTTCATTGTCCTTCTGCAAGAGCATATCAGAATGAGGGAGGGGATAGCAATCGCTTCAGTATTATATGATGGCCAATACCAACCGATAGCTCCACGTCGAACTCAATGGGCGTGGTGTCTATGCCGTAGGTTATCTGGACTTGCAGCGGTGGCCTGAACTGGGCCGGATTGTCCAGCATGCCCTGAGCGAAGGACCAACGCAGCAGCTTCACTCCACTCCGGGGCTTGAAGAAGAGTCCCATGTTGGGGGGGCCCGACAGCCGGAATTCTAGGCGTGCCTGATCGCCCCCGGCCAGCACCGTCTTGTTGCGCAGCTCCAGCACAGTGGGGTATGGCAGCTCCACCAGCTGTTGCCGTGGCAGCCAACGCGCCTCTTTGCGCGCGGAGCACCAGCGGTAGCAGGGAATGCCGCACATCAGCTCCGAGTCGCAGTCCTCGCCCAGCCGGACGAGCCCCGTGAGGTCCATTGTGTCGCGGAGCGGCGCGTCCTTGTTCCTGTCCAGCATGTGCAGATAGTAGCCGCTGTTCTCCGCACTCATGGATCCATCGTGCTCGAAGAATCGGCGGTGCACTTGCTACTCATCCGAGTGGATACAGCATTCAGTTTCGGTGGCATTAACTGGGCAAACATTATTCGACTCACCATCATATCGACGCGCATCACATTGGTCTTGGGGCGGTAGGGAAAGCCGACACTGGAAACGGAGATCATGCAGAAGACGAACATGGCCAGCGCCAAGCCGCCCAGCATGCTCTTGGGTCGCCGGAACATATTTATGAGGGGAGCCTGCTCATACACACAAGTTACAATTAGTTATAGAGGATGGGGCTGCTTCCTTACCGCAAAAGACAGCGAGAGGACCGTGCCACAGGCACACAGAACGGCTATGATGGTGTCCGGATTGGTTGTGACGCCAAATCGCCCCACCATCGGTATGAATATGACGATGAATGTGTGGAACAGATAGGCATGGTAGAGGAACGGCATCACCTGGCTGGCTCCGAGCAACAAGGACCAGTAGTAGCCTGGAAATAAAGACTTGCTCAGCCTCAATCGACAGGAGACAACCAGCCTTACCTCGGCAATGCAGACGTGTCAGCAGATTGATGATCAGAGCTCCCACATAGAACACGATGGAAATGAGGAACAGGTAGGCACTGCGGATGCTCAGAGCCGTCAACACTAGACACAGAACTGCCAAGAGGACGCAGTAGGCGTGCCCCACGATCTGCAAGTGGTAGGCATGCGGAATCTTCTCCTGCAAGAGTCAATAATCATGATCAGCTGAGTATCTGGACTGTCTGGGTGCGGCACTACTCACACTTGGCCGAAGCGTCAGATAGAGGGTCAGCGGCAGAGTAAGACCGATGATCGAGGGGCAGATGAAGAGGCCGATGACCAGCCAACTGTTGCTGAAGTAAGTCAGGGTGCGGTCTCCGGCATCGTAGAAGACGCACATGAGCAGGGGCAGGGCCAGAGCCAGCGCCACACCGGCCAGTGCCAACAGGAACTGCACGCCGAATGCGCCGGCAAAGGTGCCAACGGGCTGACCCGACACCTTGCGCATGCGCCACAGGGAGAGGCAGACGAGCACCATGGCCCCGATCGAGAAGGAGATGTTCAGGGCCACGCCCGTCGACTCCTTGTAGTACACAAAGAACAGGCCAATAAAGTCGAAGAACACCGAATGGCCCTCGGAGTACGCCTGGAAAGAGAGCAGGTGCGCCTGTTAAGAGTGTCCCAGGCCACGCGCCGCTGGCAGAGTTTACCTGCGTGTCATACATCTCGTGTGCATTGGCGATACTCTGCACGAGGGCCAGGACATTGTCCCCAGTGCTCTGCATGGCATCGCCAGATATGACAGTGTAGCGATCGAATTCCGTGTGGTAAACAAAGCCATTGTAAATGCCAGCCATGTCCAGGCCTAGTAGCAGAGATTTCATAAGCTAAATTTCATACAGAAGCTTAGCCACTTACCCGGCACCACTCCAAAGTCACGGAAGATCCGAAAGTCCGTGTCCGAAGGTATGAGGCCAGCTTGGAACAGCTCCTCGCCCGTCGTTGTGGCGAACGGGTGCGGCACACTCTTTTTGTAATGCTGTGGCGAGGTGTTTGTCAAGGTGTTTGAAAGTCGATTAGAGATTAGATAAAAGGCTAGCTGGCCAGACAGGCCATATCGATATCGCTCATATCGATGCAATAGAACAACGCAAGTCGAGTGGTGGCCAGCGGCAAGTTACTTACTTCCATCAGCCAGGGGTGATTGGGACCGCCCTGGAAGAGCAGCTCGCGACCGCCCGAACCGTCCAAATTGATTAGCGCTCTGGGAACGAAAGGGGGTTTTAGGTCTCAGCAGTCTGTGGCCGCAGTCGTGGCCATTGGCGATTCACTTACTTGCAATTGGCGGACCACCGGTGCTGTGTGATGAAGCCATGGGAGCCCAGCATTGGCTGTTCCTCGCCCCCATTGAACAGGAAGACAATGGGATGCAGAAACAGATTATCGGATATGGCCATCTGGCGGAGCACCTCCAGCATTACAGCCACCATGTAGGCATCGTCACCGGCACCTGAGCCGCGAGGAATGATTGTCAGGGTTTGTGTGGCGTTCTCTTATGTACTGATTATGTGCTGCACTTACCCGGCGCTCCTGGCTTGGTGTCGTAGTGACTGTTGAGCAGCAAATAGGAGCTGCTGTTGGAGGTCCTCGTGCTCAGTTTGACGACCACATTCTGCACCCCTTGGTAGTGGTTGACCAGGCCGTTGTGCAGATAGGAGCCCGAGGCACGCTGCACTTCCCATTCCATAGCGAAGAGGTCGTCGCGCATTGCCGAGCGAACTTTTGCAATCTCCCCGAGCATGTATTCCACTATTGTCACCTCATTCACATGGTCGCCCACGACGCGTGGCCCCATCTGGCTGATGGGCAGCACTATGGCCATGGCACGCTCGGCCACGAATTTCCCCGGACTCTCCGACTCCTCCCTAATCTTCAGGCCGATGGGCAGCGACTGGAAGAGTGGTATGACCACGGCGAAGAACAGGCCCACCCAGAAGAGCAGGTAGGTGGGGCCATAATACCAGGGCAGCTGCTTGGTCGCCCTTTCATTCTCCTCCAGCTCAATGATCAGGTTGGCGGAGGCCGAGCTGGTTGCCAGAACACTCTGCAGAAAGCGGAAAATAATAAATTACTCATTCCGGGAAATGTCTTGAAGCCCACACCGATACCTTGTCAGCCCTTGGAGCGCCCATTGCTGCCTGTGGCCAGAGTACGACTGACCACGGTCTGGTCTGCCATCGCCATCGCCATCGCCATCCCAGTTTAAAATTGTATTTTACTATTTTTATGGTGGTACGAGCTTGGTATCGGCAGCATAGTATAAAGATATTCGATATTTATGGCCCAGTGGCGGGAGTTTCTTTTTTGTTCACAATTACCAATCAACATACATCAAATCTATACTACATACATACATATGTATGTATGTATATTAGCTTCGGTTCGCAGAAAAGTTGTACATATGTAGATGGATTGCAAAGCGTCCAAATGTGACGAGGTTTGTGAGAGGCCTTGGCAAACCGATTAGGGCAAATCATGACGCACTTAATAAGCGGATTTATGGATTTATTGTGTCGCATCTGAACGGCGGCGATCAATTAGTAATCGTCTACAGGTCAGTTTCCGTTCTATTATAATAATCGTACGTCAAGTATGTATATATAAAGAAAGTACCTGAACTTGAAATATTTACACTTGGATTGAAAAACGAATAACCAGCAAAGGATTTGCTACGACAGGGAAAATTATCGCTCACATTTTGATGGGCATATGAAAATATTTGATTTAAATATATATATTTTAACATATTTATATTTAAAAATTTAATTCCATTAAATTTGATTTAAATATATATTTTATATTTAAAAATTTAATTCGATTAAATTTGATTTAAATATATATATTTTATATTATACAAATTTAATTCCATTAAATATGATTTAAATATATATTTCATATTTAAAATTTATTCCTTTTAAAAATTCAATTCGATTAAATTTGATTTAAATATATGTTTTATATTTACAAATTTAATTTAGTTAAATGAAATATTTTCATACATTTCCTATAAAATTAATATGTTATATTTTTAATTTTTAAAAAGTTTTTTAATACATATTAAATTCTATTTAATTTCACTATTTTTTTGCTTGAAAACCGAATATTTAATTTAATTTAAATACGGGTGTCTTTCTCTTTTACCATGCCACATTTCGCTCAGTGTAGTAGCTCTACACAGAGTTTTCTCAGAATATATATCGCTCATAGGAGGTCGGCCATTCCATGGGATGGGCAAAATCGGGCAGATCATCCATGAACTTTTGACTGGCCGCGTCCCGCTTGTTGAGGTGGCTCATGTAGTGGCCGGCGATGGCCAGCTCGAGCAGCGGCACCTCAAAGTTGGCATCGTCCTTCTGCAAGCATGTGGCAAAGGGAAGATTAGATAAAGTCCCCCCACAGGTGGGAGCGTGTTGCAATACTAACCCTCAGCTCGAAGAAGAATTCGACTGGGGAGTCGTCGCTGCCGTAGCCAAAGAAGATGTGGTATGGCGGCTTGTAGATGGCCGGGTTGTCCAGCATGCCCATCAGGAAGGACCACTTGAGGATCTTCACACCAGCAAGCGGCTGCACGAAGAAACTCATCCGGGGCGGACCCGACACCTTGAAGTCGTAGCGAACGCGCGTATCGAACTCCCCCACCAGCACCGTCTTGTTGAGCAGCTCCAGGACGGTGGGGCTGGGCAGTTCGACGGGCTCATCGCGGGGCAGCCAGCGGGCATCTTCCACGGCGGCACACCAGCGATGGTTGAAGCAGGGCATGCCGCACTTCATCTCCTTCTTGCATTCCTCGTCGAGGCGCGTGAACCCCGTGAGGTTGATCCTGTCACGCAGCGGCTCCTCCAGGCGTCTGTCCTGCAGGTCAAAGTAGTAGCCGCTGTCCTCCAGGCTAAGCGATCCGTCGTACGCATAGAACTTTCGATGCACCTCCTGTAAGGATTGAAATGGGAGCAGCTCAGTTGGGGGCTTCAACGATGCGACGCGTCCTCAGCCGCCGACTCACCAGAAAGTGCAGACGCATCACATTTGTCTTGGCCCGATAGGGAAATCCAACCTCTGAGACGGAGATCATGCAGAATATGAACATGACCAGCGCCAGGCCGCCTATCATGCTCTTGGGTCTGCGGAACAGGTTAATCAGTGGCGCCTGGAAAGAGCTTCAACGCTGTCTATAATGCCCACAGGAAGCCATCACTTGCTTACCACGAAAATCATCGACAGGATGGTGCCCAGGGCACACAAGAGTGAAATCAACATGTCCGGGTTCGTCTCCATGCCCTTGCGACTGGTCATGGGTATGGTGATGACCAGGAAGCCGTGGAACAGGTAGGTGAAGTACAGGTACGGCAGTATCTGGCAGGCGCCCAGCACCAGGGACCAAAGGTAGCCTGCGTGAGTGAAGCGAAATGCATTAGGTAAGGTAGGCCAAAGGGATAGCCCCTCCTCCGATCACGGATTACCTCGATCGTGGAGACGACTCAGCAGGTTGATAATGAGAGCGCACACGTAGAAGAAGATGCAGATCAGGAAAAGGTAGGCAGTGCGAATGCCAGCCACCGTCAGTAGGATGCAAATCACGGCCAAGAAGACGCAATAGGCGTGTCCCGCGATCTGCAGGTGATAGGTGTGCGGAATCTTCTCCTGCCAAAGAAAAGGAACACGTTAAGTAACAGAATGGACAACATATGTGCCGCTCCACTTACGCTTGGCCGAAGCGACAGGTAGAGAGTCATCGGCAGCACGAGGCCGATCAGGGAGGGGCAGATGAAGATGCCAATGACCAGCCAACTGTTGGCAAAGTAAGTCATGGTGCGATCGCCAGCATCGTAGAACACGGACATGAGCAGGGGCAAGCCCAGGGCTAGGAGGAATCCCAGAATGGACAGCAGGAACATAATGCCAAAGGCGCCGGCATAGGTGCCAATGGTTTGGTCCGACACCCTGGCCATGCGCCACAGCGAGAGGCAGACAAGAATGATGGCCGCCAGGGAGAAGCAAATGTTGAGTGCCACGCCCGTCGCCTCCTTGTAGTAGACAAAGAAGAGGCCCAGATAGTCGTAGAACACCGAATGGCCTTCAGAGTGTGCCTGAGAAAATAGGTGTGAGAAAAAAGTGTGCTCAGTAATACCTTTACAAAGAGGTATATCACCTCTACTTACCTCAGTGTCGTACATTTCCTCAGCATTGGAGATGCTCTGCACCAGGGCCAGCACATTGTCGCCAGTGTTCTGCAGCGAGTCTCTGGATACACAACTGAAGCGATCGAATTTGGTGTGGTATACGAATCCATTGTAGCAGCCCGCCATATCCAGACCTGGAGAAGACACAGTTACAGGTCAGTCGCTTGTGTGAGTACCAGTCGGGGAAACGAAACCCACCTGGCACCGGCCCAAAGTTATGGAACATGCGAAAATCTGTGTCCGAGGGTATGAGATCCGCCTGAAAGACCTCCTCGGCCATGGTGGTGGCAAACGGATGCTTGGCACTCTTTTTGTAGTGCTGGAATAAAAAAAAAAAAAGGTCGCGATTTTCATTAGATAAGCGAGCAGATTGGGGGCGGGGGCAGGGGCAGGGTGCCATAAAGTGCAGATTAGATACACAGAGACACGGGGAAGGTGGAAGGCCTGCTAAGCAGTTGGCCAAGCACCAATTTAGATAATATTCACGATATCGACTTGCCTTCATTAGCCATGGATGGTTGGGACCACCCTGGAAGAGGATCTCGCGACCCCCACAGCCAGCAGAGTCCAAGTTGATGAGAGCCCTGAGAGAAGATGGAAAGTGGCGCATGTAGAGAGGATATGCAGTCCGAGCTGTGGCTGCTTCCACTTACTTGCAGTTGGCTGCCCACTTGTGCTGGGAGATGAATCCATGCGAGCCATGAAACGGCTGCTCCTCGGCTCCATTGAAGAGAAAGACGATGGGATGTAGGAAGGGGTCGTCAGATATGGCCATCAGGCGAAGCACCTCCAGCATGGTCACCACCATGAACTCGGCATCGCCCGTGCCTGCAGGACACAAGAGGGAGGAGGGAGGAGTGGGAGTCTCACAAATCGAGCGGGAAGGACTCTCAAAGGGGTGTTTGCTTACCCACACTGCTGGGCTTGGAATCGTAGTGGCTGTTCACCAGCAGGTAGGATGTGCTGTTGGAGCCCTTGGCGCTCAGCCGGACGACCACATTCTGGATGCCCTGGTACATGTTTATCATCTGCCAGTGGAGAAAGGCGCCCTGGGCTCGCTGCACATCCACTTCCAGCTCATAGAGGTCCTGCCGCATCTCCTGTCGCACCTTTTCTATCTCCTCGAGCAGAAACTGCACCATTAGCACCTCGGTCACATAATCGCCAGCGATTTTTGGACCCATCAGATCGATTTTTAGCAGAACACTCTCCGCCCGCTGTGCCACAAATGTGCCTGCCTGGGCGGACTCCTCCTCCAGCTTGACGCCCGTGGGCAGGAGGTTGAAGAGTGGATAGACGACGGCGAAGAAGAGCCCCACCCAGAACAGCAGATACACGGGCGCATAGTACCAGGGCAGCGGCTTGGGTGTTCGATCCTTCACCTGCAGGTGGATTCGCGTGTCTGTGTCTTCGCCCTCCTGCGTATCCGTCATCAGCTGCATGGTGCTCTTAAATCCGTTCGTTGAATCCGGGTACTCTGCAGCGCCTTCCACCGTGTTTTCCGTACTGTTGGCTCCCATGTTGCCTGCACTTCCCTGCCTGCTGCCTGCTGCCTGCTGCCTGCTGTCTGCACCAAATCACGTCGAAAAGCGACGCACGACTGAGCAAACTTCTTGGAAATGTTCTCTTTTATCAGATTGGATATGCTGCTATCTGCAGGCGAGATCGTGTGGTATCCCATAGCCACGGCCCATGGAACACACGCCCCAGCTTACCCAGTGCTTCAGTGCTTCAGTGTGCGAGTGATTTACGATCCATTGAGGGCCAAAGTCGCCTCTCGGCTCAATCTTAATAAGGTGAAGTTATTGATTTATTGGTTCATTGCACAGCAATGCAGATATACGCAAGATACCGATCTTATCGAGTGAAAGTCTCTGAGTTTCTCCAGTTGCTTTTTCTGCGGTTCTGCGGTATGTACTATATACATATATCGGTTTTATAGTCCTTAAATCAAATGGCATATAAAGATAACATTTATAATCAGATCAGTGTGTGTGTGTGTGTGTGTGTGTGTGCTGATAGCCAAAAGGTAGCTTCAGGCAGGAAAGTTTTTGAATTAAAATTCTAACGAATGCGAAGTTCTTTTTATCAGATCTGATTTGCTGGGCTGAGTACGGAGTACCGAGTACCGAGTACCGTGTGCCGTACACGTGCACCCCCCCTGACCGATATTTATGGCACGGCACACGAGCATATAGATTTTATAATCTTTCGAGGGCTAAAGTCGAACTCATTGATTTATTTTCTGCGAGCACTGCTGCGAGCCATGTTCATAAACTGTACCTTGTGGGTACATATGTATATCATGGCTATTAGTATACATTTATCGGTTTTATACTCTCTAAATCAAGATACGAAGAAAGGGGAACACTTTTCGTGGCCAGTTTCGGGCAGGTTATGGATCGCTTCGCGATTTATTGTGATATGTTTCGATGCTATGGGTATGGGTATGGGGGTATGGGTATGGGCTCACTTATAGCTATAGTAATTCTAGTATATATAACGCTTAAATATCGATGGCCACTCCATGACATGGACATAGTCGGGAAAGTCTTTGATGAACTGCGAAGCCTCTGCATCCCTCGCATAATCGTAGCTCACGTAGTGACCCACAATCCCCAGCTCGAGGGTGGGACCATCAAAATCTCCATCGGATTTCTGCAATTAATTGAAATATAAATCAAATTAATTTGAATAATTTTGAATACTCTTTGAGCCCGCAAACCCACCGATAATTCGATGTAAAATTTCAATGGCGTGTCGTCCTTTCCGTAGGAGAAGAATATCTGGTACGGTGCCGAGAACTCTTCCGGTTCGTCCAGCATCGTTCGGACAAAGGACCAGTCCTCAACCTTTGCCCCGCCCAGCGGCTGGACAAACACATTCATGTGTGGCGGCCCCGACAGTTCGTAGTCGAAACGCACCGTTCGGCCCGACTCTGAGACCGTCCTGCCCAGCAGCTCAAACTTAAGCTCCACCCCGGGCATAACCACTTCCGTCTCGCGGGGCAGCCAGCCCGCCCGCGTGCGCTGACTGCACCAGCTGTAGTAGAAGCACGGGATGCCGCACATCACGTACTTGTCGCAGTCGGGCTCCACGCGGGCCAGACCGGTTAGATTGACGGTGGAGTCCTTCAGCGGAGTCAGCTCTCGCCGGTCCTGATAGTCGAAGTAATAGCCAGAATCGCTGTGACTCACGGAGCCATCGAACTCATAGAAGATGCGGCGTGTGTGCTGCAAAATCCATGAAACTATGAGACTCTGGCAGTCTATTAACATGTCCTACGTACCAGGAAGTTCACCCGCATCACATTGGTCTTGGGGCGGTAGGGAAACCCAACATCCGAGACAGCGATCATGCAGAATATGAAGGTGACCACGCCCAGGCCGAGCAATATGAGCTTGGGCCAGCGGAACATGTTGATCAATTGTACCTGTGATTTGTGTTGCGATAGACATGCAGATGTATTTCGCCCAAGCGGAAAGCTTCGCACTCACCACAAAGCCCAGGGCAAAGAAGGTGCACAGCGCACAGAAAAGGGCGATGATCAGATCGGGATTGGTGCCGCTGTTATTGCGGCCCAAAACAGGAAAGAATATCACCAGGAAGGTGTAGAACAGATAGCACAAGTAGCAGAACGGCAGCAGCTGCAGACTCTGCACGGTAATGGCCCAGTAGTAGCCTGCAGAAGTATCGCATTAGTCCGCGCAGACCCACGGCATATCCATCATCGATCAGCACTCACCACGCTCATGCAGAGTACTCAACAGGTTCACCAGCAGCGCGGCCGAGTAGAACATCATCGACATCATGCACAGGTACGGAGTGCGCAGGCTAACGGCGGTCAGGATGATGGCCAAGAAGGCCAGGATCACGCAATGAGCGTGCAAACTGATGTGCAGATGGTAGGCGTGGCTCAACTGTCCCTGCAAGGCATTGAGATGGTTAGACAAAGCTCCACTGATATGCTTTCTGCTCACATTTGGCTTGAGTGTGTAGTAGAGGGTGAGGGGGAGCACCAGACCAATGACTGCCGGGCACACGTAGAGGCCAATCACCAGCCAGTTGTTGCTGAAGTACGTCAACGACCGATCCCCGGCATCGAACAGCACGGCCATGAGCAGGGGCAGGCCCAGGCAGAGCGCGAAACCCACCACATGGAGCCCCAGAATGATGCCGAACCAAATGGATATCTGACCAGCTGTCACCTCAGACACGCGGGCCATTCTCCACAGGGAAACTCCCACCAGCAGCAGGCTGATCACGGCAATGACGCAGTTCAGGATTATGCCAGTGGTCTCGGTGTAATACACAAAAAAGAGACCCAAAAAGTCAAAGAAGACGGCATGTCCCTCCTCGTATTCCTGCAGATGAAAAGGGACGATTGTTATTCGGCTCCACAGATGGGGGCATAATTGAGTTGTAGCCCACCTCTGGGTTGTTCATCTCGGTGGCATTGGTGAAGGCGCGCACCAGGGCTAGGATGTTTTCGCCGGTGTTCTGCACAGAGCGTCCGGGAACGGCCTCGAAGGTGTCGAAGACGGTGTGGTACACGTATCCGTTGTCCACTTGGGCAATGTCGAGGCCTGAGGCAAGACACGGATCGCAAGTTATAGATTGGCATATGTCTTTGGGATATGTATGTGACTCAGTTACTCACCGGGAACACCTCCAAAGTCCCGGAAAATTCGAAAATCTGAATCAGAGGGCAAAATTCCACTCTGGAAGATCTCCTCAGCCATGGTGGTGGCAAAGGGGTGCAAGGCATGCTGCCTGTAGTACTGAGGAGAAGAAGCAAACCTTTCAACGTTCCGACATTTCACGAATTGGCCATAAAATAGGCAATAAAATTGGCACCAAAACGGAATTTTTGTGGCCTGCCATAAGCATTTGTCCGAAAAATATATTTATGCCTCACCTTCATCAGCCACGGGTGGTTGGGTCCGCTCTGGAACAGCAGATCACGCCCCCCACTGCCGCCCACTTCCAGGTTGATGAATGCCCTGCAGTAAACGACTCGGTAAAGATATTGTGGGGTTGCTTTCATCCAGCAATGCTCACTTGACGTTCTTGGCCCACTCGTGATAGGTGATGAAGCCGTGAGAGCCCTGCAGGGGATTCTCCTCGGCGCCGTTGAACAGGAATACAATGGGATGTTCGAAGGGCGTCTCCGATATGGCCATTTGGCGCAGCACCTCCAGCATGACCACCACCATGGTGCCATCGTCGCCGGAACCTGTTCGCAATTGCCCATAGAAGATCACTTCACAGAAGGGGCAGGTGAATCACTTACCCGGACTGCTTGGCTTCGAGTCGAAGTGACTGTTGAGCAGGAGATAGGATTCGCTCGGGGAGCTCTTGGCGCTCAGCTTCACGACCACATTCTGGATGCCCTGATACATGTTCACCATGTCGACGAATACGTAGCCGCCCGACGGCGATTGGACATCCACCTCCAGCTCGTACAGATCGCTGCGCATTTCGGCACGAATCTTTTCCGCTTCGTTCACCAGAAAGGCGACCGTTGTCACCTCATTGGCAATGCTGCCGACGACCTTGGGTCCGATGCGATCGAAGTCGAGCAGCTGCCGCTGGGCTCGCTCCGCCACAAACTGTCCGGGCTTGTCGGCCTCGTCGGCCACAGTCACTCTGTCTGGCAGTCGGTTGTAGAGCGGGATCACAATGGCATAGAAGAGCGCCACCCAAAGGAGCAGAAAGGAGGGCGCATAGTACCAGGGCAGTCTGCGTCTGCGTGAGCTTCCGGCTGGCCCCGAGAGAAGTTTCACGAGCGCAATGTCGCAGGAGCTGTCCTGATAGGGCGGCGCTCCTAAGTTAATCAGTTCAATCTTTCCGAATCCGAAGATTCAATACTCACTTTATCAGTCTTTTTTTCCATTATTTATGCAGAGAGAGAGAGAGAGAGCGAGAGCGAGAGCGAGAGCGAGAGATTGCTGATGGGAGCCAAGTGGAACAAACCCTTTCGACGTCCGGCCGTCGCATAACTGAACGTCTGAGGCGCGGGCAGATCGGCTTGAAGCTTACCCCCAAAACCCCCAAAAGGCCATAAAGATAGGGTCGGTCGTGTATTGCTTCAAGATATGGATCTGCTGGCCACTGTGTCTTAAGGCGCACCTCACACAGGCGGCTTGTGCATGTGCCAGTGCCCATGCCCGTTCGGGGTATCTTAATTGGAGGATGTTTACAGCCCCAACTTCAAAATAGCCAGAGAATCCGAGGCACGAGAGCAGCGATTAACCGCTTAGTCATCATCCACTGGCAGCAGCCAAAAGTCCGATGAGAGTGACGCTTGACACTTGACGCTCGCTTGTTATATTAATGCCGATAATTCTTATCTCAGTCGCGACTCCAGGCGTCTGGGGGAAGACACAATAAATAATAATGCATAATCTAGTATCTACGCCTATAAAGATCTCCAAGATTTCAGTATATATATCGCTTAAATAATGCCGGCCACTCCATGACATGAACAAAGTCTGGGAAATCCGCCACGAACTTCAAGCTGTCTGCGTCCCGCTGGTAATCGTAGCTAACGTAGTGGCCCACAACTCCCAGCTCGAAGATCGGTGCATCGAGAGCCCGATCTCCATCGGATGTCTGCAATCGAAACGTTTATAGCCTTCATCCATCTTATAAATATAAATAAACTCTACGCACCGCCAAGTCGATGTGAAACTTTATGGGCGCAATATCCGTGCTGCCGTATGAGAAGTATATTTGATAGGGCGCCGTGTACTTCTCCGGCTCGTCCAGCATGTTTCTGATGAAGGACCAGTCCTCGATAACGACCCCTTCAAGCGGTCGTATAAACAGACTCATGTGCGGCGGTCCCACCAGCTCGAATGCGTACCTCACGGTTCCTCCCCGCCCAATAGCTGATTTATCCAAGAGCTCCAACGCCAAGTTGCCGGCTGGTATGACTTCCTGGTCGCGTGGCAGCCAGGCAGCGCTGGACAGAGCTCTGCACCAGCTGCTCCAGAAGCAGGGCATGCCACACACTACGTACCTGTCGCAGTACGGCTCCACGGACGTTAGCCCAGTCAAATTGACGGATGAATCGCGGAGGGGGCGCAGTGCTCGCCTGTCCTGATAGTCGAAGTAGTAGCCAGAATCATTTACACTCACGGAGCCATCGTATTCGTAGAAGATGCGACGAGTGTGCTATCAAAAAAAGAGCATATAAAACTGAGAGATCCGCAGATACGAGTGCAATCGCAGTACCAGGAAGTTCACTCGCATCACACTGGTCTTGGGGCGGTAGGGAAACCCAACTTCCGAGACAGCGATCATGCTGAATACAAAGGTGACAACTCCCAGGCCAACCAGCACGAGAGTGGACCAGCGGAACATGTTTATCAGGGGAACCTTGACAGAAAAGAACAAAAGTGAGGGTGTGGCTGCTGGCTGCTGGCACTGACCGAATGCCAAAGGCGTTCCTTACCACAAATCCCAGAGCAAAAAAGGTTCCCAGAGCACAGATCAAGGCAATGAGCATGTCGGGATTGACGGAGTCGCGATTTCTGCCCATCATTGGAAAGAAGACCACGAGGAATGTATAGAAAAGGTAGCAGAAGTACACGAACGGCATGAGCTGCAGAATTTGCACAGTCAATACCCAGTAGTACCCTGCAAATAAGACAAACACTTAAGCAATAAGTTGATAGATCTCGCTGCCGAGAGCTTACCGCGCTCATGTAAGCAGCCCAGCAGATTGATCAGCAGGGCGGCAGCATAGAAAAACATCGAAATCATGCACAGGTATGGTATACGCAGGCCTATTGCAGTCAAGGCGATGGCCAAGAGCGCCAGGATCACGCAATGAGCGTGCAAACTGATGTGCAGATGGTAGGCGTGGCTCAACTGTCCCTGCAAGGCATTGAGATGGTTAGACAAAGCTCCACTGATATGCTTTCTGCTTACATTTGGCTTGAGTGTGTAGTAGAGGGTGAGGGGGAGCACCAGACCAATGACTGCCGGGCACACGTAGAGGCCAATCACCAGCCAGTTGTTGCTGAAGTACGTCAACGACCGATCCCCGGCATCGAACAGCACGGCCATGAGCAGGGGCAGGCCCAGGCAGAGCGCGAAACCCACCACATGGAGCCCCAGAATGATGCCGAACCAAATGGATATCTGACCAGCTGTCACCTCAGACACGCGGGCCATTCTCCACAGGGAAACTCCCACCAGCACCAGGCTGATCACGGCAATGACGCAGTTCAGGATTATGCCAGTGGTCTCGGTGTAGCACACAAAAAAGAGACCCAAAAAGTCAAAGAAGACGGAATGTCCTTTGCTATGCTCCTAGTATAAATTGTGGATAAATTAGCTATAAGATTTGGTTAAGTGTCAATGACCTACCTCTGTGTGGTACATTTCGCTGGCATTGGCAAAGGCCCGTACCAGTGCGAGGACATTTTCACCGGTGCTCTGCACGGATCGCCCTGGAACGGCCGCAAAGTTGTCAAAGACAGTGTGGTAGACATAACCGTTGTCAATTTGTGCAATATCCAGACCTTCAAACACGAAATGAGTGATAAATAAAGACAGCAAGGGCAGCAACTCACCCGGCACCTGGCCATAGTCCCGAAAGATTCGAAAGTCAGTGTCGGAGGGCAGCATTCCAAACTGAAAGATCTCCTCGGCCATGGTGGTGGCAAACGGATGCTTGGCGTGACTTTTGTAGTACTGAAATCATAAATCAGATATGACTTATCGTTCTATTAATCAAAATCAATGGAAAGATTACCTGCATTAGCCAGGGATGGTTGGGTCCGCTCTGAAACAGCAGATCACGCCCCCCACTGCCAGCCACTTCCAGGTTGATGACGGCCCTGACGGCAAGCAATTCAGTAAAGCTTTCAGATCGGCAGCTTTTATACTCACTTGCAGTTGGGCGCCCACTTGTGTTGGGTGATGAAGCCATGAGAGCCCTGCAGGGGATTCTCCTCGGCGCCGTTGAACAGGAATACAATGGGATGTTCGAAGGGCGTCTCCGATGTGGCCATTTGGCGCAGCACCTCCAGCATGACCACCACCATGGTGCCATCGTCGCCGGAACCTGTTCGAGTGTGTTACTATCGGCTTGATGGACGCCATAAACGAAACGATGAATTGCTCACCTGGACTGCTTGGCTTCGAGTCAAAGTGACTGTTGAGCAGGAGATACGATGAACTTATGGAGCTCTTCGTGCTGAGCTTGACAACCACATTGTGGATGCCCCGATACATGCTGGTCATAGTTCCAATTGTAAAGGCCCCCGCTGGCTGTTGCACATCCACTTCCAGCTCGTAGAGATCGCTGCGCATATCCCTGCGAACATTTTCCAGTGCATCTACGAGAAAGGCAACCGTTGTCACCTCGTTCGCCACACTGCCAACCACTTTGGGTCCAATGCGATCGAAGTGGTAGAGCATATTCTGCGCTCTCTCCGCCACAAATTGGCCGGGCTTGAGGGACTCCTGTGCAAGGGTTATTCTATCCGGCAGACGGTGGAAGAGCGGCACAACGACAGCGTAGAAGAGTGCCACCCAGAGCAGCAGGAAGGCCACGGCATAGTACCAGGCGAGTCTCCATCTGAGTGCCCTTTCCTTGGACAGCACATTGTAGAGTACTGTGCCCGAGTAGTTCCCCTGTAAAGTAAAATTATGTTATGATGATTAATGCACATCCAAGAAATGTATAAATATATGCATGCACTCACATTATCAGTTCCTACGGCTTTCGATTCCATTCTTCTGCAAAACTCTCCGCAGCAAGGCCGAACCTTGCCGATGTCCGCGTGTTTCGAAACTGAATGTTGTCGTGGGGGGCGCACTGCTTCTGTTCGCTCTGTAACGAAGCCAACGGCAAACTCTTTGGCAAACAACAAGTTCCCATAGATTGGCCCAAGTGGTGGTAGATTTATCAGCGATTCCAAATCGAAATGCGCTTCTAATGTTTGCTGCAAATCTAATCACTAAATCTTCAATCAAGAGAGAAACAGAGAGAGAGAGAGAAAACGCGAGAGAGCGAGCCATTTCGTTTGGGAGAGAACAAAGTAATGATCGACTTTTCCACACTCTGCCTTAGAGTTTTGTTTCCTTTACTTGGGAATATTTCTAAAATCTTGAACTACATAAAATCTATTAGCCTAATATCTAACTAGTTAGAGCATATAACGAAATAAGAGACAATCACAATAGTTTCAGGGACTTAGAACAAGTAGCGTTCGAATAACGTTGGCCACTCCATGGGATGAGCAAACTTCGGAATGTCAGAAATAAATTTCAGGCCAGCTGCATCACGATCAAAGTCATAGCTGACAAAGTGCGCCGAAAATCCCAGCTCAAAGACAGGCACATCAAAGTCGCCAGAGGATTTCTGTTAAATATTCAAAATAAAAATCAAAACAAACAAAATAGTCCCCCAACTCACCGCAAAATCAATGTGGAACTTCAGCGGGCTGCTGTCCTTGCCATAGGCGAAGAATATATGATATGGCGCCGAGTATTTTTGGGGTTCGTCCAGCATGTTCCGAATGAAGGACCAGTCCTCCACTGTGACCCCATCCAGGGGCTGTATGTACAGGCTCATATGTGGCGGACCGGACAGCTCGAATGAGTATCGAACGGTGGTGCCCGAGTCTAGAACGGTTTTGCTCAAGAGCTGCAGCGATGTGGCACCTGGTATGGCAACGGGCTCCTCGCGGGGCAGCCAATGACTGCTGGAGCGGGTCGTGCACCAGCGATGATTGAAGCACGGCACGCCGCACATCAGATACTTGCTGCAGTCAGACTCCGTGCTGACCAAACCTGTGAGATTAAGCGAGGAGTCCTCCAGCGGATAATAGAGACGACGATCCTGGAAGTCAAAGTAGTAGCCGGAGTCGTTGAGGCTCACGGAGCCATCGTATTCGTAGAAGATGCGACGAACGTGCTGCAGGAACATGGACATGGAACATGAGACTTTGATCGATTACAGGCAAACGCTTCTGACTTACCAAAAAGTGCAGCCGCATAACGCTGGTCTTGGCGCGGTAGGGAAAACCCACTTCCGAGACAGCAATCATGCTGAATATAAACGTGACGACGCCCAGGCCGAGCAGTATGAGCTTCGGCCAGCGGAACATGTTTATCAGAGGCGCCACAAAGCCCATGGCAAAGAATGTGCCCATGGCACAGAGCGCCGCTACAAGGAGATCGGGATTAGTGGAGTTCCCGAAGCGCCCCAGCATGGGAAAGAAGACAACGAGGAACATGTAGAACAGGTGGCAGAAGTAAAAGAACGGCAGCAGCTGCAGCACCTGCACAATCAGCACCCAGTAGTAGCCTTCGAAGGAGTCAGAAAGTTAGAGAGCGGAAGACAGGTCTCGACGGGATACTTACCACGGTCGTGCAGGGTGCTCAGCAGATTGATCAAGAGCGCAGCGGCATAGAAGAGCAGCGAGAGCATGCACAAGTAGGGCGTCCTCAGACTGATGGCCGTGAGAATGATGGCGATCAGGGCGAGGAGTACACAGTGGGCATGCAGACTCATGTGCAGGTGGTTCGGGTGGCTTATTTTATCCTGTTGGGAGAAATTCCGCGTTAGTTCGCCTCTCCTGAACAGCTCGATCTGCGCAAACTTACGTTTGGTTTCAGTGTGTAGTAGAGGGACAAGGGGAGCACCTGGCCAATTATAGCCGGACAGATGTACAGGCCAATCACCAGCCAGTTGTTGCTGAAGTACGTCAACGACTGATCCCCGGCATCGAACAGCACGCCCATTAGGAGGGGCAAGCCAAGGCTGAGAAAGAATCCCACCACATGGAGCCCCAGAATGATGGCAAACCAAATCACAATTCGACACATTGTCGCCTCAGACACGCGGGCCATTCTCCACAGGGAAACTGCCACCAGCACCAGGCTGATCACGGCAATGACGCAGTTCAGGATTTTGCCAGTGGTCTCCGTGTAATATATAAAGAAGAGGCCCAGAAAGTCGAAGAACACGGAATGCCCTTCGCTGTGTTCCTGCAATTAAATGACATTGATGGATGGACTGCACTCAAGTATATAGTTCAAAAATAGATCAGTCACCTCTGGGTTATGCATTTCGCTGGCGTTGGCAAAGGCGCGCACTAGGGCGAGTGCATTGTCGCCAGAATTTTGAAGGGAATCACCGGGCACCGCCTTAAAGTTGTCAAATTCCGTGTGGTATACATAACCATTGCTGATTTGAGCAATATCCAGACCTATCAAAGATAAAGTGGCGTTTGCAATCGGTTGAGTGCATATGCAGATTGTGAGGCTTACCCGGCACCTGGCCATAGTCCCGAAAGATTCGAAAGTCTGTGTCCGAGGGAAGCATGCCCGACTGAAAGATCTCCTCGGCCATGGTAGTGGCAAACGGATGCTTGGCATTTTGGTTGTAGTACTAAAACGACAAAAAAAAAAAACAAAACAAAACGACAATTAGCCATGTAACTTTTCGGCACACTTTTATCCTGCAACTGAATTGCGGCAATCAAGCGTTTGGCTATCCAGACGACTGTGGCAATGACTGTTTACAATGCTAATAAACTGCCAATAGCTTTGGTCATTGCCTCGTGTTCTCATACGTCTATGTACACATGTATGTATGTACATGCGAGATAAAACATATTTTTGTGTACCTTCATTAGCCATGGGTTATTTGGTCCGCTCTGGAAAAGCAGATCACGTCCCCCGCTGCCAGCTACTTCCAAGTTGACCAGGGCCCTATAGAAAAAGACTCTCTTTAGCCGCGAAGCCCAGTTGTGATTCCATCGGCACTTACTTGCAGTTGGACGCCCACTTGTGTTCGGTGATGAAGCCATGAGAGGCTTCCAGGGGATTCTCCTCGGCGCCGTTGAACAGGAATACAATGGGATGTTCGAAGGGCGTCTCCGATATGGCCATTTGGCGCAGCACCTCCAGCATGACCACCACCATGGTGCCATCGTCGCCGGAACCTGTTCGCATTTGCCCATAGAAGATCACTTCATAGAAGGGCAGGTGAATCACTTACCCGGACTGCTTGGCTTCGAGTCGAAGTGACTGTTCACGAGAAGGTACGCTGTGCTGTTGGAGCTCTTTGTGGTCAGCTTGACCACCACGTTCTGGACTCCCTGGTACATATTCACCATTTGCCAGTGCATGTAGGCGCCTGATGGGGCCTGAACATCAATCTCCAGATCGTACAGATTGGCGCGCATTTCCGTTCGAATATCTTCCACTGCATCTACGAGAAAGCCAACCGTTGTCACCTCATTCGCCACACTGCCGACGACTTTGGGTCCAATGCGATCGTATTTGTAGAGCCATCTCTGCGCTCTCTCTGACACAAACTCGCCGGGCTTAAGGGACTCCTGCTCTATGCTAATGGCGTCTGGCAGCCGATGGTAAAGCGGGATCACCACAGCATAGAAGAGCGCCACCCAAAGGAGCAGGAACGAGGGTGCATAGTACCAGGGCAGCCTTGATTTTAGCTGCTTTTCCTGTGACAACAACCGGATGAGACTGACATCAGACTGAGGTTTGGATTTGCTGGAGTCCTACATAAAATATTGCCAGTTAAATAAATGAAAAGCAATGAGGACTCCATTCACACATTTAAACATACCTTCCCGCTGGGTAGCTTCATGTCGTTGCGTCCTTGGCGAGAGCTTGGTATGGTCTAACAATGTCTTTGTCCAGTCGTCGGAAGACTGAATATGTCTGCCTTGGGCCCCTGAGGTTGGAGCTCCAGGGATATTATCAGCAGTGATTCGCACTTTGAATCCCATAAAGATAAATCGGTTCCTACATGCAATTTATCGCTCAATACTAACGACGGATGTGTCCAACCCCCATAGTTTTCCTTGGGGGAATGTGATATCTAAATAATGGCAGATTTATGCCCTGCCCCGCCATGCCCGGCCAATCTTTACAACGCTTCAAAATCGGTAAAGTTAAGGAATGATTATTTGGCACGCTTTTTTGTGTCCAATGGCCACATGCTGCACATGGCAGTCGCTATCTTTATGTCTCCAGACGGTTGCTGTGTTTATTAAGTTTTGTACACCTCTCGCTACCTCAGTACATCCCCTTATTGAGGCAACAAAGCATTATAGATTCCTCCCGCCATGTACAGAGGCTGAGTTGGCCGAGTTGAATGGACTGAGTCTGGAGTGAATGGTACTTTGACGAGTCCTCAGCGTAAATCACATTGAGATATTGTTTACAGCTCGGAAAGCCCGAACAACCATATTAACACTTGAGTTTTATTATGCGAGAAGTAATCGCAATAAATCAAAAGTGATAAGAATGGGCACGTAACCTGCCGGGGGGTGCCTGGCAGGACAGGCACTCGTATCTTGCACCTCTTTGGGTGGGGGCATTTCTATTGACTGTGATATATCCGAGTCGTTAAAATCCAAGGTTAATGGCAAATATGTTTTTCTTATTTATGAAACTTAAAATGCAGATAACATGTCATGGGTTTTGTACTTTATCCAGTTACTGGTTGGACATTCCCCGGGCTACTTCTCCATACAGTCAATTACTTTTCCCAACAATTCCTCGAGCTCTGGTGCGTGGGAGAGCTGTTGAAACAATTCGGGACGCTCATCTTTAACGACGCTCAGTCTCTCTTGGAGGCCGGACAGCTTCTTCATCAATTTGGTGCCGCGCAGAATGGCCTGGTACTTGGCTACGAAGCAGTAGAGCTTCCACAGAATCAGCACCACCAAGCTGTGCTCTTCATAGGATTCTAGGCTGCCGTCACCGTCCCCGTCGCCGCCCACATCTTTCACTGGTTGGGAGACAACGGCGCTCAGCATAGACATAAAGTCAGCGTTGCCCACCAGTGACAGGCGATTTCCCTGCGAGAAGCTCATGTTGCGTAGGATGCGAAGGCAGAGAATCCGGCCCTGGCTGAGCGGTGGCATGCGCTGGATGGCAGTGATGAGACCATGCAAGTGGCAGATCTTGGAACCAACATCATAGCGCGAGTAGACCTCCCAGAAGCCAAGCCAGGCGATCAGAGCTGCAGGACTGACCTTGGAGGCATGCGCAGCGCTTACGGTGGCGGGCAGAATCGTGTCAAAAATGTCCAGCACATGCATCTTGGAGAGACTGAGACGAGCCTCGCCGCAGGCACAGCAGTTGATCATCACACGCAAGGCAGGCACCAGACACTGATGGGGCACAGTGTTGGGGGTCTCCTTCCTGGTGGTCTCGTAGTCAGCCACCCGCACCATCAGCTGGAGCAGCGATGTGGATTGTCCGGACAGCACCACGGAGCTGTGCCTGCACATTTCGAGCGAGTGCTCGGTGAGGAACATGGCCAGCTGCACGCAAAGACATTTGAGGTGCGCAGAGTGCGATAGCCAGGGCCAAATGCGGATCTGCAGACGCACAAATGTGGCTGCCACCGCGGCATCGTTGATCGCAGACTGAGGCGAGCTGTGCCACCGCACCAGCATGTTGAGCAGCACCAAAAGATTGTTCAGTATATCACGCGACTTGTGGGCGCCCACACGCTTCACATAAGTGCTGGCGTTGCCAATGTCCACGTCGCTGACAAAGGTGTCGAGCAGGCCCAAAACCCGATCCAGCAGCTTAAGCTTCTGAGCGGCCTTAATGGCACTGGGCGAGACCTTCAGCAATGCACCGAGCGCCTCACCGATCTGCACATGACCCGTTCCGGGAGGCTGCAAAAAGTTGAATGTCTTGGCTGGGAAGTAATGATCAAAGAGACGGTACAACTTCTGAACGAGGATCGCCACAGAACTGGCTACATTTGAGCCATCAGCTCGACTCGACATCGGCTTCTGTTGGCTATTCAATGCATTCATATTGTTCTCCTCGTTCTTACCCATATCCTCTTTGGCATTAATACTGATCATTAAGTTGAAGTTGTCCATTTTCTTCACAAAATTGAGATTCTCAGGTGCATTTTGAGCCTTGAGGCAGACCATGGTCAGAGCCGAGAGAGTGTGCCGCTGCATAGGTGTTCCCATTTGCTTCAGATTCGTGGCATACAGAAAGATCTCGATGAACACATTGGTGTGAGTGTTGAGCTGCCCGAACAAAAACTCATATGCGTTGGTGTCCTTGCAGAAAACCAGAAATAGCTTAATGAACCGCGTCAAGTAGCGTTGGGGCTCTTTGGTGTCCTTTATAGCAGTATTGAGCAGCGTGAGGAAGCTCTGCAGCAGGGCGGAGTCACGACAAATGCTGCGCTGCAAGAACTCAAAGTTCGTGGAATAGCACAGAGCGTAGAGCTCACTGATGGCAGCGCACAGCTCCAGGAAGTCCTCCATGTACGGCTTTGATGGCAGGGAGGTCTTAATCACATCGCTGAGGCAGTTCATGAATCTGTGCCCACAGAGCTGGGCGCACCAAGACGGCTTGTGGGTCACCAGAAGCGAGCAGATGGCTATGTAACAGCCGATCAGTCCACAGGAGCTCTGCTCTCCGTGTGTGTCCATCTGCAGCAAGGGTGTATCATGCAGTGAGCCCAAAGCGAAATACGCCTCTTCCAGGAAGTCATGACGCCGCAGAATTTCGATGATCTCCTCCGTATCCTTTTGCGGCATCAGCATTACGAACAGGCGGCCAGCCATTTCTTTGACCAGCATTATTTCCTCTACATGCAGCATGGTTGACAGACAGCATTCAATCAGTCCACCAGGCGGATGGTCCATGGGCGCCAAGACCTTGTTCACGCTGGGCCCACTATTGGATATCGCATTGGCCATCGATACCCAAGCCAGCGAGCGCACTTGTCCGTCACTGTGCCCGCACAGTCCCACCAGATACGCAATTATCTTGTTGGCTATGTGGCCCTTGTCGTTGGCTGTGGCAACCGTTGTGGGAGTCACCGTTGGCATGCACCGTGTGTGCAGATGGCATGCAATGTGCAAACAGTCTCGCTGCCACTGAGATCCAGTCTGTGTGGGGCTCATCAGGTCGGAGGAGAGCTGCACAAAGTGTCGTATGTAGTACTGCAATGGGAATGGATCGTATCTTAGCTTAGTCGAAGTGATGTAGAATCAATTGTGGCACTCACCATCAGCTGGGGCTCGCTGAGCCGCAGGTCCCGCTCGCTGAGATGATGGAGAACTGTGAGAAGGCAGCGCACGTGCAGCAGCTGACGCACCTCAAAGTGAGTCCTGGCCACGGCACTCAGCTGCATAAAGAACTTGACGTGCCAGCTCATGTTGGCGGGTATTTTGGTCTGGGTCCCGAGCAGAGCTACAAAGATCTGGCAGATCGCTTGGAGCATGTCCAGGCCGATGGTGCGATCGTGCAGTAGCAGCAGAAAACTGTGGTGTGGGTCCAGTTCCAGAGCCTGATTGAGACCGTTCCAAACATGCGGCACACAGAAGCGCATGCAGCTCAGGCACAGCTCCGACACGGACATGTACACCTCTCGATCGGCTGCGTTGGCCGGTGCTACGCGCAGATATCGGTGCATCAAGTTCCACAGACTGATTCCAGCATCTTCGGGTACAGCAGTGCGCAGCAGCACCAGATGTGTCTGGATTCTTGCCACAATCTCCTTGAGTTCCTCGTGGCTGCTGCAGTTGCTGGCTGCCGTGAGTTGGCGACGCAGCTGCGGTCCGACCTGCGATGTTTGGATCAGGGCTAGATCCGGAGCAGTCAGCTTCAGCGATTCCCTGATGTCCAGTGCCTGGACGGCTTCCAGCGTAATGTTCTCCGGGGTATCGCATATGGAAATCGCCACCTTTAGGCGCCAATACTGGGCAGCCCATACGGCATCTTGACCGAAATGGGCCTGCTGAAGCATATGCTCCAGCTCCAGTCCCTCCCGGACGGCGTAAGGCGGTTCAGTCAGGTCCAGTTCATAGGTTATGGGTATAATCAGCGAACTCAAATCCACATTCAAGACGAGTTTCGTTTCGCTGGCCGTCATATGTTCGTGGCAGAGCATTTGGAATAGGCAGATGAGGACGTTCTCGCGCAACTCCGGATATTGCGTCGTCTCAAAGAGGAGCTCCGTCATAATTAGATACATTTCGTTGGCTCTCCCCGACTCCTGCAGAAACTCCTTGTTGTAAAATTGGATTTTGATCAGCACACCGAGAGCTGGCAGTACATTGTCCACATGCTCGGCGCTCGTTATGTGTTCGAGGGCAATGTGTAGACTCTGCATAACCATCAATAGGGCCATTTTTGTTTTCAAAAAGTAGCCGCAGGCCTTCCAGTTCTGCAGCAAAACATTTAGCTGAGTAAAGGTCGATTTTCTGATGGCAGGCCTCAGATCTTTGGTCTCCAGTAGCCGCATCAGGGCGTCCAAGCTGCGCTCCCCCTGAAAGGGTTCATCGGTGCTCGTCGGAAAGATGCTTTGGTACAGCCGTGGTGGTTGAACCAAACCGAAATCAGTGCTTATTCTCTTCTTGGGCATCTTCTGCTTCTTGTCGCGCCTGTCCTGGTACTGCAGGATGTATGCAATTCGAGTCGCTGCCTCTATTCTTATCTGGGTATCGGGATGGAATAGATAGCAGACGTTCGTGCGCAGCTTAAGCAGCACATCTCCTTCGTCCGGACAGGCCATCTGCCATAATTTGTTGTGCAGGGAACTGCACGTAACGGAACGGCAGATCATCAGGGGAATTATCACGGGCTGCAGGAATTCGTACATTCCACGAAAGTCGTCTGCTTTCAGGGTATTGGTCAGGTTGATTAGCAAGTCCAGGTACTGCAAGCACCACGCTCGGGTCTCCTCCGGTGCATCGTCTTGCCAGCTCTGCAAAACAAATTGACGCAGCAACTTTGTGTCCAGCGGCAGTCCAAAGATACGCTGACGTATCAACTCCATATTAGTGCAGCCCCTCAGATAGACGCTCTTTTGGGCGACTGCGTGAAAGAACAAGCCACAGTGATGCCGCATCAGGTTATAGAAGTAGCCACGCAGCTCTGGGTCGGGAAGGTTCATCAGATTGCCGATCAAGATCTCGGCATGCATACGCAATTTGGGATTCTTGCCATACAGCTGATTGCATCTTACAACGGCGTCAAAGAGCTCCTTCACGAACGTCTTGCTACCCAGCTGGTCGAGCACCAGGCAGATGAAACACTGTGCTAGGACTATGTTCTCTGCTGACGTCTTATTGGTCGCCCTCAGTTGAGTGATGAGCATACTATAGCCCAAGTGGAGCCGGCGCAGCTCCTTATCCAACAATGTGGGCGCTGAAACAGCACACAATTGACTATTTATCGCTAGATCGCGGTCTGGCATGCACATCAGATAGGCGATGTCCATCGTGACAGGTAGAAGGTGTAGTCTGGCTTGATTTGCGATCATTGATTTGTCATTGACTATATTCAACGCAATGGAATCATGCAGCAGGCCATTGCAGATCAGCGAATGCAAGCGGGGCACCGCTAGCATATCCACAAGTTGTGCGACGTCTTTGCCTGCTGCACTGTGGCATAATTTTTGTACCTTTTTGATCAGACCCGATAGTCGCTCTATGAATAAATATGAGACGGGAGCACGCAGAGCGCCGTAGGTGCGCACAGCCTCCGTAATCAGTTCCAGGATCAGCCAATTCTGCTTGGTAAATTGAAGCAGAACCGGCTCCAACAGTATGGTGCAGCTGCTGAGCAGAAAGCCCAAGGCACTGTCCACACGCAGCTGTTTACGGCGCGTGGCCGGTGGGTCGGTGTTGCAGGAATACCCAAGTGTGGCTCTTCTCACCTCTATGCTGCTCTGCATCTGCAGCAGATATTTGATGAGGACACGATTCGCATTGAGCTGATTCGCGTCTGCCCTTTGCTGAATCTTTACAAGCTTGAAGAAAATGTGTGGCGCCTGCAGGAAATACTCGCTGGGATAGTCGCCCATTTTGATGGTTAAATTGATGAGCTTTTCGTTCATTTCGGCCTCCGAATCTTCCATGTCGATCATCGTCTTCATGGTGAGCTCGTCCTCCTTGCACGGCTCTGTCCAGGCCGGTTCAAAGTCCTCTGGCTGGAATATCGACTCCAGCTGATCTTTTAAGCTGCACTCCGTCTCACTCGTCGAGACGGTCTGACTGATGGAGGAGGGCGACGGCGTGGGGGGCACATGGATGTCATATATATCTGGCAGCAGTTGCTGCAAATCGTCCAGCAACTCCATGGCTCGCCTGGACTCCAGGGACCGTACGATCTTCTTGATCTTGTCCAACTCGGCCGAGAGCCGCTCGTGTGGTATCTTCTTCACCACCTCCTCGGCGTACTCGGAGCGCAGCAATTCCAGCAGAATGGCCAGCACACGGTCGGCGGCCAGGAGGGGCTTGCAGCCGAACCATCGTATTAACTGCTTGAGCATAAACACTGGCTTCACGCTGATTTTCTCGTCAAGCAGCAGGCAGCGAATGAAGCGCGTCTCGACCTGCTCCAGGGCCCGCATGCGTATCTCCTCAAAACTATTTGTCAGTTTTGCCAATTGCGATTCGCGCAATTCCAGGCACATTGTCTGTCTGGAGGCCATTGTCATCGCCGTGCATCTAGGGGTAATATATTCTTAGCCGTTCTTTCGCTTGCACCAGTTTCACTTACTTGAATTGTATTTAGATTTCAATTTTTATCTATCAGAATTTGTAAATTTTTTTGAAAGTGGCGTCTGCCTTTCAGTGCGACCGCGAACTTATCAATAAAATATACCGCCTCACCCTCAGAAATATACTAAAATATACCTTATAATATTCAAAATATACTGTAAATATACCGAGAAAAAAAAACAAACATAACCCACTGAATCCCGACCTATTTAAATAGTGGAACCGCGAAAAAAAATAATGTTTGTGAACATTTTAGTTTTTTTAGTCTGTTTGGACAGTTAGTTGTTTGTATGAACTGGCTCTCTATTTAATGTATGGTTAGTGTCATCAGTCATTATGATTGGTATATTTCGGTATATTTCTGTGGGTCACACCTCACCTCACCGTGTTTGAACAGCAATATGCCATGAAATTATGCATGGTATATTAGGCAAAAGGGGTGGTTTTTACCTTGCATGCACTGCATTTTCTGGGTCGTTTTTGCTGTTTCCATACCTTCTTTTTCCTGGCAATTTCCGAGTTGAACGTGTCGTGAGAGCGCTATTTTGTACGCAATTTTTTAAAACAAAAGCTAGTAAAAAGCGTGCTTCAATTTGAATAAAAAGTGTTTTTTGTCAATCGGTGCTTCAAGGTTTTAGGGATTCGAAAAGCCTAAATTCAGAAAGTTTTCAGTCGCTTTGCGTTTTGTAAAGAAAAATTCGATAATCTGAATAATAAAAGGCGCCTTTCGTACTTTTTTTTGTGATTAGCTCTCGCCGGAACGTTTAATGTAATTAATTAAATACGAATCCGTTAGCAGTGCCAAAAAAATCAAACTTTTATTCCGTTTCCTGTGCACATTCATAGTACATAATAATTGTACGCACTCTTTGTGTATTGTATGAGTGTGTGTGTGTGTTGTAACATTTGTTTACTCCAACCTCCGACCGCCTCTCATTTTCTGTTGGTTGAACTTGTACCGTTGTGTGGTGGTGCTGATGTCCATTGCCATTCTCGTACTTCCCTTAGAGTTTTGGGTGCTGGGAAAAAAATCGAAACACACGCACAGTGAAACTCCAGCGACGACCCTCAGCTCCCCAGAAACCGTCACTGTCAAATAGCCTGCGATAATAAACACTCCTCCAACGTCCCCAATGTGTTGTGCAATTTTATACAATCAGTAATACGTACTCGTTCAGTTCATCCATTGGCATTAAAGCTCTTGACGCGAAATTAAAATTCAGAGACACAGCCGTATTTGAAACGCGCCGAGCACAATTTCGTTCCACTGTGCAGAGGGAAAAATTCATAAAACAACGGCAAACAGAATCATTGACGCAAAGAGAAACGACAAAAAGCAGAGAAGCAGGGGAGAGAACGAGCTTATACGGTTTATTTAAAGACTCACCTGCACCGCATCACCGCCCCGCACCTCAACTACGAACAAGAAAAAATCATTCAACTTGCAATTTAAACGGCATAAATGACGAAAGAACAGTTATAATAAAATGGTTGTAATCTAACTAATATAACCCCCACGATTCCAGAAGAGCTTCCGCCATCAGTACTGCTTGAAAAAGCGCTCAGGTGAGAAGCGTTTTACATTTTTAATGTTTATTGACCTCATTGCTGGTTTATTGATAAGTTTGTATTTCCATATTTGCCAAGCACAAATGCGTAATAGCCCCAGGTCTTATGGTCTCTGATAAATAAGTTCTTATTTTGTTTGCTTTGCTTGTTACTTTGAGGCGCAATGAGTTAACAATAATTCATTTATTTATTTATCTTTGAGAAATGTCTACGGCTATGAGTGTGATCGAGCGTGTGTTCTATTTATAGGTCAGCATTTGGGCACGATTGCTGAAATCATTATAAATATATTTATTGAGATACACACTCACACACTTTTTATGTGTACATATGTAGTTCGTTATATTATTTATGCTGAGAGCTGCACTGTGAGTACGTGTCTTTAAGGAACTGACTTCACAGGCCCTGATAAGAAAGATAGTAAGCACTTTGTACTTTGACTGGAAATATATTTGTATGTATGTACATAGTGGTATGTAATAAATTGTAAGTTAAAAGTACCCTATCGCTGGGAAAGATAGCTCGCATATACCCAGGAAAGAACAGCTTTAAAGTTTCTGGCAATGCTCCTCTTTTATCGTCCGTGGTTTCATTTACATAAGCCGTAATAGTGTGGGAGGCAAAAAACGAAAACAGAGATGCTGTTGTCTTTAGTGGGCAGTAGCACAGTTTTGGCATTTTTCGCTCTTACCACTTCCACCCATACCAAAACAACACACGCGCTGCCATTTTGCACTACCACTCATTTCGGTTTTATTGGCTTTGTGTTTGCCTCGCCTTCCTCCCTCACACATGGGGGCGGATAGTGCCTATGGGATAGATGGGACATGGGGCAGACTCTTTTTGGGCTTCAGTTTTTGGTGGTTTTTTTTTTTGCTTTTCGTGGCTTCGTGGCTCTGTAAATTTGATTTAGTGTAATCGAAAACCATTCTCTTGTCTGGCGTCCTTGAGCTCTCGATTTTGTGCATTTGGAAGTCGTAATGTGCTTAGAGTTGGCAAGTGTACTTACATACATATACATATATGTATCTGATTCTATGAAGCCATTGACCTCAAACTGCTGTACACTGAACATTTGTATATCCTACATGTATAAGCCAAATCGAATTCCTTCCCACTACACTACACCATGCAGCAGTTGCAGTTCTAACGAACGAACCAGTAAAACCACTCTCGAGAGCAGCTGATGGAACCGGTAAGGCCTTTGTGCATTTAATATTATTCTGACATGTTGTTTTTTCTTTGCATTTGTCTGTCAGACAATGTGTGTCAGCAGCGAATGTTAAAGGTAGCAAAGAGCAAACAGCTGATTGCGTGCAAATCGAAAAAAAAACAAACGCAAGAACCGGTTCCAACCTGTCGTCTGCGGAGTGGGAACTTCAGGCATAAATTGTGCTAATTATGGCTAATAGCGATAATCATTATAAACACACGCAGATTACGAATGAGAAGGAGGGCAATTTATTCTAATAATTAACCAAGGGGAACGCCCCTTCAAGACGATTTAAGTTTCAGGATTGTCTGTATACTCTTTCTAGAGTTTAATCCTTTGTAAAATTATGCATATTTAAATATTCATACATTTGCAGTCATGTGAATAACCACTTTGTTATTGTTTTGTTTTAAGTAATAATAACTGTTTTATCTTATCTAATGCGTCCCCCGTCCCTCATATTCTCATTACGTGTGGACATTTTCAAATATTAGATCAGCTTAACTCACATCATTCGAGGATTTCTATTGTTTGTTTGTCATATCTACTTTTAAAACTGAATAGATTGCTAAATCAGTTTGCATATGCACTAAATATACTATGAATGTACATTGTACTTGCATACGGAATATAGCAACAATACTTGACACATTGCTGATTGCAATTCCATTTGCATTTTGTAGATTATCGCGTGCCTCTGTTCGTAACCTTCCAACTTTGTGCAGCATGCAATTTAAGCATTAATCTTTTGTGGTAGAACGAACCTTCAACTTGACTCAGCGTGGAAACTGAAACCATTAATTTATTTCATCAAAAGAAAGGATGAATAACTCACACCAGCCACGAATTAATGCGAAGAATGTGTAATAAATTGTTATCAAACTTTGTGTGCAACAAAGTTGAAAGCGCTGAACGTAATTAAGGAACTTATCACAAACAACAGCTTTCCAGATCAGTCCTAACACAGCCGGAATAAACAAATATTGTTCCTGGTTATTATGCACTCCACATGGAAAGGGTTGGGTAGGGGAAGATTGTTCAAGAGAGCTGAAGACATGCCGTGGAATTTAATGATCTCTCTGGTAAAACTGGTAAATTTCCATTGCGTCACGAAAACCCCAACAAAACGAAAGAGAAGAGTAATGGTGGGAAGGGAGACTACAAAGTATTAGTGAAAGGGATGGGAATGCGACACTTTGAAACCCTAAACTGGAAGGGGAGAACGAGAAATAGAGGGAGTGTGAGCAAGATATGGAAAGGAATAAAGATGATGATGAAGAAGGAATAGATGGGAGAGGAAACCGTTCCGTCATTCGTAGTTTGAGTTTCGAGTGAGCAACAACAACAAAAGAAAAACCATCAAAGAACATTAGATCGAAGAGCAACAGGAAATGCAAGCCAAGCACCGCCTCCGCCATTCATTGCTCTGCAGAGTTGTTCTTAATTGATTATTACTGTGCTGTGCTCTTGATGTTGATGTTCTTGTTTATGCGAGTCTACTGGGGGCATGGAATGGAAAATGCAAACAAACAGCGACCGAACGAACGAAACGAATTTATCGCCAGCGGATACATTGGCCGGGTAAGTGGAGTGGCAATTAAGAGCAGAACAACGAAACGATTCGTTCATTTCGAGCTGTGTCACATGAGCAGCGACGGCACTAACAAATGCCACAAAACTTGGCAAAAAACAAACGAACAGCCGCACAAGCCCCTCCGCAGACTGTGTGACGCGCCAGATTTCACTTTGGGTAACTAGCCGCGAAGGCAACTTTGGGTATAATTACATCATATGTATGCCATGGCGACCTTGCCCAGGACCTCCCGGGAAATATGTCCTTCGTGACTTATCTTGAGATTGGCGGCCAGACATCGCATAAATCAAGCAAGCAAATGGAATTTTTAAATTTTAATATTCTCTAGCCTTTTGCTTTTCTATCTCAAAGTGTAATAGACTCGCTTGTCTTTAATCACAGAAATAAGTGTGCTGAAATAATTAATTGAGAATGAATTATTCATCCATTTTTCATCCATTTCAATTTCAATTCGAATTCATAGAATTATCTAGAGTCGCGTTGCACGCGTTGCAGGCACTCTAAAGCACACCTACTACCCACCGTTATATGAATGTATGTTTATTTTTATTAGCTGATTTTCTAATTTGCATTTTTTGCACTTTGCATGAGCCCATGTCAAGAGCAGAAATTAGAAAGCAAAAAAAAACACCTTTAGCCTTTAGCCTTGAGGCTTGTTTACACACGCACAGAGCTAAAGGTCCGTTCCGTTCAACGGAAAGTTTGCCCTTTTCAAAACTCAACGAGAACACTAGAAATGGGGAATAACAAAGGCATTTGTCTTGGTCCGTTTTTTTTTCTAAGTTTTTTTGTGAATTATTCCTTTCGGTTTCAAGTGGAACCGCATCCAATGTGATCAGACATGCCCAGGCCTAAGAAAGAGACGACGAAGAGGAAATTGTTTTTCAGAATTTTTTCAATCTTTTTTTGTGCTGACAAACTACATTTCTTTGGTGGTAATTAGTTTATGTATGTACATACATATGTAGGTGTTAGTAACGGGGGGGGCTTATTTTGTAGAGCTCTGAGGTAAATAAAAATCTGAAAATGCAATATTCCCAATCCACACACATGCTCGCCAGGGACTTAGTTTTTAGTCTCTCTTTTTTTTTGCTTGACCCAAACACACACCATATAGAAAATGAAGAAAAGGACACATGTCAACGGTAAATCTCATTTAGTATGCATGTCCTCCTCCTCTCACACAAACACTACAGAGAAAAAGAAATATCATCGAGAGCAGCAGCAGAGGAAAAAATCAATATAAACCCCTTTTTTCTGTGGATTTTTCTTCTTTTTTTTTGTATTTGTTGACCGCAAAGTTAGTCAAGTTTAAGGCAAAAAGCATAAATAATCCTGTAGCGTACAAAAACGGCTCTAACGGTAACTGTAGTACATATGTTGTGTGTGTATGTGTGGGGGGAGTGTGTATATGCAGTCGCCAATTTTGTTTTTATACGCACTTCATAACATTTTTTTTGCCGCTGTTGCTGCTGTCGCTGTCGCTGTTGCTGCTGTCCCTTGAGCCCTGAGTGCTCGGCGGTGTCCTCTGAACAGTAAACATAAAACATGAAAGGATGCCGCAGGTGTGCCAGTGTGTGTATGGTGTGGCATTTACCATGGTGACACCTTTTTTTTCTCTGTATGCAATGCACAAGCTGCCGCTCTTGTAATTTTTCTCTTCTTTGGCTTTGTTAACACAAGTTTTTCAGTGACGTAAGCTGTCAAGCTGCAAAGGGGGCGGATCCGGTAACGAGATGAAAAACTTTGTCCTGCACTGTCAGCCCCATATTAAACGCAAGTCACTTAGTCAGTCACATTACCTTGAAAATCAATATTTTCAACAGCAAAACTATTCTCATTTTGTCTATTATAATTATTAATAGTTTTCGACCCTGGCATTTCATTTGGGCAATTTGGCAAACGGCTGACAAGGGGAATCAAGCATTAAATCCCTACTAACAGCAAGTGCAACAGAAACGTGGCTTTGTAGCTTTGTATGGCTGATGGTGCACCTCCCACACTCACCCACAATTCAATTGACAACCGCAAACAAAACGTAAATACCGCAAATCAATTAAAAGCTGACACTTACGATGCGTGCCAGACGGGAGGGGCGGCAGAGGGCTTAGCTGTGTGCACAGCAAGGTGCATTAATATAAGGTAGGGCATATCCAGAGACAGCTCATATTCCTTTGGCTGTGTTTGTGGCCGAGACTGCAATCATCAAAGCACGGCAGATTCAGCAACAAAACCTTAACCCTGTGCCTCACCTTGGCTGTACCCACTATCAATTACACACGTCAATTAAGCGGTTGGCAGCAGAGAAGGCGACTGAGCAAAGCAAAACGAAAACAAAAACAAACAGGATGAGAGCCGGCCTCTGTCTGTTTATCGGATAACTTTGAGACTGCCAGTGAGTGCTCCTGAGCTCTCAATGGACGTCGGGCAGAGCAGAGGACTAGGGATGGGATGTATTGTGTGATGCCATTAGGGAACGCATTTCTGCTGCTGTCTTTGTCCATCTAAACAAACACTTTTGCAAGGTCAGGGTTGGGCGGTGGTTGGTGCACGGTGCCCGGGTTGGAAAATACTTTAAGCGCATAGGAAAACGCAGCAACACAATTCCATTCAAGGTGAGCGAGCGGCTTGTCCCTGGCTCCAGCTGGCTCAATCAATTTGTTTGAGTCTATCAATTAAAACATGAAGGCAAATTAAATTAAATCAATTTCTTTGGTTCTCAGCGCATCATCGCTGCTGATGGAAACAAACAATTGATTTGGCTGAATTGTATTTCCCTGAGCTATACCCAATAGCCAAACTTCAATTAATGCGCAATTTCTTTCATGATTTTCCCCAAGTTCAAGTTTCCCCAATTTCAAGTTATAGAACCCCCTCATATAGCAATATTAGGTATAATAAGACGAAAAACCCACATTAACTGGCCTAGGTCAGCATCAAACTAAAAGTTCGGCCACCAAAGAATTCATTATCATAATTGGGTCTATGAAAATTATCGCGAAAAACCCGTCTAGCTCTAAAATTACCCCACAATTAACGACTAGCAAGAATTTATGAACCATTCGCTATCATTTGACGTAGGAAGTTTTGTGTACTAAAATGTCATAAAACAATTGGAGTACAAAGAAAGATTAGGGGGCTTGGATTGGATCCTTTCTAACTCTTCTTACTCTACGGTGTAGCTCTTAAAATTATTTATGTAACAGCTTAATCAAAGTTAATTCATCTTAAGTAGAGAAAAATACTTTACTATTCAACAGTTCTAATTAAATTTCGATCCATAATGCATTATAAACTCGTATTTTCTATTTTTGTATTTATTCAAATTAAAATTAATTAGCTCTGGAATATATTTGGTTAATATTGTTTGCCCACAAATTGATTGAGAATATTCAAAGTTACCCCCTCCCCCCATGAGAGAAATATATCTTCATAAATTTAGTTCCCCAAGGTTGCGGGCGTATACTCTGCTTTTCTAACTACTAGAATACCAATTACGCTCAGTCGCATGATTGACTTGATCTGAATACATACATACATATATGTACATATATCAATCTGTAGATCTACGCATAGACCCCCCCTGCCAAATGAGAGACTCGAAGAAGAGCGTCGCCTCACAAAAGGCTATCAAGTTGACAGACGCCAACGCGTGCTGATGTACATATGTATGTATGTACATACATATGTATGTATGTAACACATAGAAAAAGAATGTTAAATACTATAAGCAGCGACGCGCTTTGATAAGAAATTTATTAGATTAAGGCAAACTATTGCCGCGATTACAGACACTCGGGTAGCCTTGTCGCCGTTTCGTTCCATATCATTCCGTTCCAATCCGTTCTGCTGTGGCCGTGTGCCTTTGTGCCCGTCTCAATCTCAGACCCATTTCTGTTCAGTCGCTCAGACGACGACGACCGACGGTCAATCCGGGGTCCGATTCCGAGTCAAACTTTACAGAAACGCGAACCACCACACTCAAAATGTGCTTGTAGTTGTTGTGTTTGTTGTAACTTACAAGTTTATATTTTACTTTCTTTGTCTTGGCTTGGCGGCTTGGCTTGGCTTGGCTTGTTCGGTTGTTGTGCTGTTTGTGTTGATATAAACTCAACAAGATGTGGGTCTTAAGTTTCAAGCATGATTTGCTTTACAAAGTGAAAGTGCAACGTCAAAAAACACAAGTGAATTTCGAAAGTGTGGCATACAAACAGGCGCCAGCACAGAACATATGTATGTAAAGCGTGTGCTGAAACTGCTGAATTAATTGTGATAATTTTTTAGTCGAAAATGTAAGTTGAGGGAGAACAAATTCTGATTTATCAAAGTTAAAAGATCCATGAGGCCCCATCTCTATTCGGAGACTGCGCAGAGAGGTGATCACGTGACCGTGTCGTTTCATTTCGGATAATAAACTTGTAAATTCAGCTAGACAAGGCACTCACACTCACTCTCCCCCCCCACTGCGCGCGCTCTCTCTCTCTTTCTCTGGTTCTCTATCGTTATCACATCTCTTGGCTTATCACCTGCCCACAATATAATATTATTTTCTGTCAATTATATTGTAAAGATAAGCCACACCAGAAGGCACTTTTTGGCCATCAGTACCAGAGCACCTATCGCTCAGCAGTTCTACCAAAATAATGTACATACTCTACCTCGTATTTATAGGGGGACTGCAACGTCTACTAGAAATACGAATTTGATTTCTGATAAGGGGAGCTTTTCGGTGTCTAGCTTAAGTCGGAAATCAGACGGTTCGCAATTTAAGCACTGAAAATCTCGGCAATCAAAACACACGCCGTTTCTTGTTTACTTCTCGTTTCGTTTCGTTTCGTCTGCTCTGCTCTGCTCTGCTTTTCTCCACTCCACTCCGCTCCGCCTGCAGTTGGGGTACTTGGCTATAGTACGAGTATTTTAATCACTCTCGCCTATCGAGCGTTGAACTTGGCAATTCTCAGTGACGGCGCCATTAAGTTGGTCAATGTGCAATAACCAATGCAATGAATGGCTGCAAAATTGTGTCTCTAATCTGCTGCGCGTATCTCTAGGTTTGGTTTGCTTGCGGGCTGTTCAAGAGGAAGTGGCATTTACTTAAAAAATTCAGAGCTAGGATGCAGCTTAAAGCTGCCTTAAACCATATTGGAACTAGTTTACGATTAAAACTCCCAAATCCTGCGATGAAAATGATGGATAGACAAGCAGTTTTTGTTGCTATCATTGAAGAAATGCTATAGAATGTCTGTGGCGTTTCCATGGTACATATCTGAGCATCGTCTACCCTGCCGCTGTCCAAATTAATGAAACACTCGAAACATGTATGTATTTTGCATTGTTTGGCAATTCACGAGTTGGAATTGCTTTATACTATGAGGAGAATGCTACATACATACATATGTATATATGTACATACATATATTCATCTATTTGTATGGTGATTTGTGTGGCTGAATGCGGCGGCGCCATTTGTTGAAATTTATTATGTGGCTGTGCTCTGGCCTACTCAACGATTGCTGTCGTATTGAAAGCGATGAGATATGTTAAAGCATTGTCTGCCCTGTGCTCCGATTTAAGTCATTCATCTCGACTAACGCTCTCTGTTTCCCTCTCTTTGCAGCAACGACCAGCATTGGCTGCTAATCGAGAACAAAGACCATAAATCATCATCACGCGCTAACGAGGAGAAGAAAGAATAACAAAAAGGACAATAACAGCAGTAAGAGCAGCAGCAGCAGCAGAAGCAGCAGAAGCATCAGCGATTGAGTTACATAATATTTAGGACTTATTCATCATACGCCGCGTTAGCCCTGAGAGAAAAGCCGTCGTCAATATGTTCGCCCGTCCGCCGCCGCACTGTGCGCCGCGCACTTGACACGCGTTAAACCCCCCCACGTGGCCCCACGAGAGGAGTGGAGTGGAGTGCAGAGCAGGAGAGGCACGTGCACGTGCAGCCCCACCTGCCACAGTAGCAGCAGTAGCAGCAGAAGCAGCACTACAGCATCATTCATAGGCATTCCCCTTAGTTTTGTTTCCTTTTTGTTTTGCTGTTGCAAAGTTCATTTTAATTGGCAACGAAAAGTGTTGTTTGGTTTCCCCCAAGAGAAACTGCAGTACGGTACCGCATGAAGGTGCCAAGGCATAAACCGTTTACTGGCAGCCACAACTGCCGCAACAGCAACAACATCATCGGTAGCAGCGTGCCACAGTTGCCATCAGTTATTGTTCAATATATTCTCCGTTGGCCTGTGATAAGCCCCCTAACGTTCTTAATGAATGACATTCGGTTCAAGTCATTTTATCGTGCCAGCAAAACGACATCTGCCGCAGGAGGAGGAGCAGCAGCCGCATCAAAATCGTGCGACAAGAGCCAGAACAACAATCCGCGTACTTACAACAACAGCAGCAAATCGAACAAAGTGTTTCTCCACTATATACCACGCGATCCGCGACTAAGAATCCTCCACCGAACCGCCGCCCTCAATAAACCCTTGAATCGTAGTCGCTACACCCTCAGCGAACTGAATATAACTGAAGATCTGTGCAATTATGGTGAATTAATTGGCGGCAGTGATACTCGTACTCGCAATCGTAATCGTAATCGCAGTGTGGAAAAGGAATAAGTGTCAGTGAAAATCTACGGGAAATACTAAGTGAAACGTTCGTAGTTGTTGTACGCTCTTCTCGGCTCTCTGTGTGGATTTGCAGGATAAAAGGTAAGTAAAAACGAAAGCTCCTTAAAATAGTATTTTCCATGACAGCCTAGAATCCATTTGATCTTTCCGTAATAGCTTTTCTGTCAATTTCTGTCCGCTTCGAATGTGGGAAGGTTCCGCCCCCCCCATCCCATTTCAATGTGTGTGTGTGTATGCTGTGCTCACCAAATTTAGGGGCTAAAATTAGCCACCGACTGACGGGCCACTCAAACAAAACCCAAACCCCCCAACCCACCAAACAAAACCAGTCCAAAAATTAAATTGAAAATATTATTATATTTTGGTGTAGTTTTGTTTATTATTATTTTCGGGGATCAGCTGTTGTCTAGTGACGCGCACACACACATACACTCAATGGCAATGAATGCACTGCTCTCCCCAGTTGGGGTCTCTCTCTCTCTCTCTCTCTCTGTCTGTCTCTTGTTTTGCTCTGAGGTCAAGTTGAAGGCGATTAACGGATCCGTTCGTCTGGGGTAAATGCCAAATGACCAAAATGCCAGTTTCTGCGCGATTTTATAAACGAAATGTATTCTAGTACTAGTACTTGTTGTTGTTTCTGTTTTAATATTATTATAAATATTGTGATCCATCGAAAGTGGAGGGAACTAAGTGCATTAGGTGAAGTTTAGATAGGAAATTCCACGACAATATAAAATTATAAAATTAATGCTGTTAATGTTTATGTTTCCCCAACAGCCAGCACTACGCACTGCAGGAAAACTAAAGGAAGGGAAAATTCAAGTGAAATCTATGCTGAAATCTAATGCAACAAACCGTGTTCAAATCCCAATAATTGCTTTGTCTATAAAGTGCAACATTTTTTACAAAGATTTTCTACTCTTAGAACGGCAACAAATTAATCCAAAACAAAAATCAATACAAATACCAAAACCAAAACACTTAGCACTTATCAAGGCCTAAAGATGGCTAAGCCCGCGACGGCCTCCAGCGTCTCCTCCAACAATAATAGCGCGGAGGCGGCCAACAACAACAGCCAGCCGAATGGGGGAGCCTATCAGGGCCTGCCAGAGAGCCCGGTACCGGCCCCGGCAAACACGCCCCTGAATCGTGCCATCAAGCACGACCTGTTCCCGGAGGTGACGTTCTGCAATCTGTCGGCGGAGGAGCTGGCCGATGGGGCCGGTCACAGCCGTGTGGTGCGCAGCAGCATCATAGCCATCGACGGGGAGGGGAACCTCACCTGCCTGATGAACGGTAGCCAGGTGAAGAAGCGCAAGCGGCTGATATCGAATGAGTCGGGCGACTCGATAGACTCCAGTTCGACGGAGAAGAAGACGCCGAAGATGCCCGACGGCGGCTACGGCTGGGTGGTGGTGTTCGCCTCCCTGGTGGTCTCCCTCATTGCGGACGGGCTGTCCTTCTCGTTCGGCCTGATCAATGCGGAGCTGCTGGAGTACTTTGGGCAGTCCACCTCGAAGACGGCGTGGATCTCGTCGCTGTTCTTCTCCGTTCCGCTGCTGATGGGGCCCATCTGGTCAAATCTGGTGGACAAATACGGATGCCGCAAGATGACCATCATCGGGGGATTTGTGTCAGCGGTGGGGTTCTCCATGTCCGCCTTCTGCAACTCCATCGAGATGCTGATGGTGACCTTTGGAATTATCTCGGGCCTGGGACTGGGCATTGGCTATGTCACTGCCGTCGTCTCCATTGCCTTCTGGTTCGACAAGAAGCGGACCTTTGCCACAGGCATCGGAGCCTCGGGCACGGGCATTGGCACGTTTGTGTACGCCCGCCTCACCTCATACCTCATCGAGTCGTACGGGTGGCGCGGCGCCACCCTCATCCTGGGGGGCACCATGCTGAATGCCTGTGTCTGCGGCGCCCTGATGCGGGACCCCGACTGGCTGATCGAGGAGAATCGTCTGGAGAGCCGCTCCCAGAGCGTGACCACCTTCTCAAACTCGAGCGTGTGCCTGGAGGAGATCAAGAAGCTGCTGGACACGGGCATCACCAAGGAGGCCGTTCTGGACAGTCTTGTCACGAAGAACAACACGGAAGCCAACCAGCAAATTGACGATCCCCTGGACACGGGCCTCAAGCGCTATCGCAGCGAGATCTTTCTGCCGACATTCCTGAGCATCCAGGAGCTGGACAGCATCTGTGAGGTGAAGAGCCTGAGTCGGCGCTCCCTCAGGCACAAGGAGGGTGTGGAGGCTCCGTCGCGTGAGAATCTTCTGTCCATGTCATCGGGAGCGGGCGGATATCCTCCGTCGACGGCCATTATTGGCTCGCCAGACGACACCCTAATGGGCGGAATAGCGCACGAGGCCATGGAGGCGGCCAAGAAGAGCTATCTGGCCTCCATCGAGACCCTGTCGCCATCGGAGAAGCGCTCCAGTCCCGCCGGCTCGATACGCTCCTCGGACGAGGGCTATCTCACCCAGAAGCACGCCAGCTCCCGCTACTCGCTCAACGAAAATCTCTTCATGGCCAAGCACACGACTCCGTCCATCTCCAACCTGAAGGTGAACGGTCTGCGCCACAACTCGGTGGACATTCTCAGCGAGGATATGCACTGCTACTACAAGGACGAGACATTCGCCCTGCTGGATCATGGCCGGCGTCCCGGCCCCACTGTGATAGCCATGCCCGAACGCGAACAGACGGCCAACAGTGAGGTGGCTCTGCGTCGCGCTCGGCTCGATAGCATCACTGGCATCCGCCGGCTGTCCAGGTCGAAGAAGCCCAGCCAGCACCGCTCCAATCTGCGCCGCAACATTTCGATTCGCAACTCCAACTTCCTCAAGGACATACGGATCCATCGCAATTCCATACACTACCGCGGGGCCATGCTCAACACGCACCGGTACCGGCTGCGGGCCTCCTCCTGCCCCAACATCTACCGCAACTCGATGACCACCATCGCCAAGGAAGAAGAAGATGTAAGTAGATGTAATTAGCAGTAGTCTCCCTCTCCCAGGGCCTCCCTTATCAGCGGTTCTTGGCTTGACAACAGTCAGCTGCCTATTGAGAGTTATCAGCGCTCACTCGCGATCGTCTCTCTCTCTCCCACTCTCCCACTCTCTCTCTATATTTGTACATAATTGGACTACACAAACATCGTACTACGCCGCCTGATAAGGTGTCCAGTTAGGCTTCCGTACTGCCTACATTCTATTTACATAATGAAAAACCCTCAAGGAAAAATGTTGGTTCTGCTTGTGCTTTCCCTTTCCACAGACCTGGTACGAGAGCTTTGTGGACACGATGAAGTCCGTCTTTGATTTCTCAATGTTTCTCGATCTGAAGTTCGCCCTCTTCAACCTCTCGACACTGTTTCTATTCATTTGGTGAGTATTCAACCCTACCCTAGCCTACCCACACGAAGCCTACAGATTAGCGAAGGCCTCGAATCTGCGCACAGCGCGAAGGAGAGCCAAATGCTAAAATTAATACTTATGTAGATGAATGCGCCATAATTGTACAGTTGCCAGCAGATGTCGCAAAAACACTTTTTGGCAGCTGCTCAAAATGTTGTTGCTATACAATGATTTAATTAACCGCAGAGCAACAAATGGATCAGCCATTAAATATGAATAGTACTCGCATAATCAATATTATCGATATTCAGCATATTCAGATCATAAATGTAGAATCTCGATAGGGAAACTGGTTGAAATCAATTCAAACCAATTCATCGGAACCTTTCTCTGATAACACTTCTAATCTCCATTTCTGGGCACGTACCGCAGGTTCATTATACCATATCTGTATCTGCCCGACTACATGAAGCAATATAACTACGATGTGAATGTGAGTGCCGTTCTGATATCGGCAATTGGCATTGCCCAAACGGTGGGCATGATAGGACTCGGCTATGTGGGCGACCAGCCCTGGATGAATATCAACATATGCTACTCCCTCTGCATGCTGGGTAAGTTGTTGGTGGATGCTTGTTTTAATCAAGGATCAATTCTAAAGCAATCTTCTTCAATCTTTCGTTGACAGTGTGCGGAGCCTCCGTGTTCTTTATGCCCATGCTAATGACCAGCTACAATGGCCTGATGGCCATGTGCGTGATCTTTGGCTTCACTTTCGCCAGCTCTTTTTCGTTTACGCCCAGTATACTGGTCAGTATTGTTGATTTGGATGATTTCACGTGTGCCTACGGTCTGGTGCTAATGGTGCAGGGTGTGGGCATGATAGCCGGCCCACCCATAGCGGGGCTTATATACGAGGCTGTGGGAAGGTATGTGCCACTATAGTCAATCCATGACTTATTTGTTTATAATTGAAAAATTTCATTATAGATGGGATGACTCCTTCTACTATGCGGGCATATTTATAGCACTCTCCGGCGTCTGCTCGTATATGATCGAGTTCTGTGAGAAGAAAGCACCTAAGGAGAGTGATAGTGATGTCTCAGAGACTAAAAAAGCTCAACTTTTACACTAGATTATTAATTAGACCTGAACCGATGGCGGACTTGGCCCTAAACCTCGATCAGGACCTGGACTGCTGGAGGTACTTGAATTCTGATAAGCTGTAGCCTAAAACAACAACAAAAAAGCATTAGCATTAAATGTTATCGAGTTTCTTATGTCAAATGGTCTTGCAGCCATAAAATCCGTGCAGAATTGTAACTGAAACTAAGCCTATTTCATAAGATTGTCTAGCGTGTAAGCCCAATAATTGACTTGATAAATAGTAATAGCTATACACAATACAAAAAACATACATGCTATATATAGAATTATATATACACCTTATATATGTATACCTAAATCTTTAGCCGCAATAGGGCAACTACTAATCAAACCAGTTGTAATCACATCTAAACAAAATGTTCAATTTTCAATCAATATCAATGCAGTGCATCACTGCCAGGTGCAAACGGGTCCCCTCAATTGTCTTCTTTATAAAGGTAAAAAACTGAAAAATATACCAACATATTGCCTAGATTTACTTGCCTTAAATTTCGTACGAATATTGATTACCGTACCCTAAAAAAGAATGAACCCTCAATTAACAACAAAGACAACAACAACCAATCTACATAAGTAATGTATGCAATAACAAACGATAAACGACAATTTCCAATCGACCTAAAAACTCTTAATTACTCGTAAGTCTTTGGCGCATTTGTCTTTAATGTTTAAAACAACATTAAATCTTGAAATCAATCAACTATAAACATTATATATATTTCAAGGCTAGGATGGAGAGATCCTGCCCAACAACAATCAATTGGGCATACAAATTAAACATTTTTGAATCCGAATACCCGCTCTTGCAGTGAGGCAACGATTTTATACCATTAGAAATTTATTGAATTTATTGAATTGTTCTAAAATTATAAATCACAACACACACGAGTAGAGTCGAAAAGGTCTCGCTTGGAAATGCAGAAAGTTCAAGTATTATTGAAAAAGAAAAATACATATTTATAGATATGGAGATATAAAGAAAACTCACCAAGAAGCACACTGAAATCTGGCTAGAACAGTTTTGTGTTTAAACATAGGCACACTTCAGTTTAGAATAGAGTAAAAGGCAGACCAGAACCTACACTATAGCGTAGTTTTTGTTGTTTTCGAACCCTAGCAAATATGTACATACACAGACAAACACACACATAAGTAAATTGCAATTATAAAATATTTACAAGAAATAAATAATTATCTAATGACACCATACTAATAAATTTTTGAAACGAAATCACTTGTGTACTCAATGCATTAATATTTCCACTTGGTTGGGGGAGCAGCAGATTCAGGCCAAGGTAAAGTTCCGCGTTTTATGTTGTTTTTAAATATTTATTATGTATGTATATTCATGATTCCGCATTGGGTTTTTCGGCAAATACAAATATTATAAATAATTTGATTTACGTTTACAGTTGTATATTTTTCGTTTTACTTTTGTGTTTCGTCTTTAATTTAATATATGTATGTATTTATGCATGTATATATGTAAACCTCGTAGAATACTAAATTGATCATTGAATCGCAGCTTTTACGTTTACTTCTATCCCATTTTGATGCATGTTAAATGTATCAATATCGTTTAAATAGCTCCCTTTCATCTCACAAGTGTTTGGATATTCTGTTATCGTTCGTTTTTGTTATTATTTTTGTCTAAACTTATGAATGTAAAGCCGATTGCACAAAAAAATCGAAACAAAGCAAATGCGTTGAGAAGGAAATATATAAAAAATATGCATATAATTATGTAGGTATTTAGATGGGAGGAAGGGCACGGCAGGCGGCAGACACCCATTGCAAAATGGGGCGGGACGTGGCGCGGCGTTGCAGGGCCTCACTGAAAACAAATCACAATGAGAGAAATTCACATATTTTCAGTGTGTCTATATATATTACAGATTACCCAGTGTATAACTATGCATCTGATCTGTCCTTACACAAACATAACTAGCAAACTAATTTTAATATAGTACACAAAAACATTTATATATATATGCATGTCTTGTTAAAGTTTATAAAATTTAGAAATCACGCACGACACGACACACATTTACGCATACAAATGTTTATATGTTATCTGTTATCTGTTTTGGTTTATTTGTTTCGATTCTCTCGTTTTGGTTTTTTGCATCCTGTTTGGTTTTTTAATTAAAACGTAGCTAAAGTGTAGTGTAGTAGTTTTGCTGTTGAATTTGAATGATTTAAACATTACGCTTAGTGTTTGTCTTTGCTATTTGATTTGCCTGTGGTTAGTTTACTTTTGAAGTTAGAAAACAAGATATCCGTGTCTCAACTAGTACCTCCTATTAGTTAGTCACTAGAGTAGCTTTTACACAAGCGGCTACGTCTATCCCCAAAGGTTGCTGGCAGGCATCTGCCGCTTACTCCTAGCAGCAGCCACTGTTTGCAGCGCCAGCTGCACCGCCAGATCCAGGCAGCGAGGGGTTTGTGGGTGAATGCTGTTGGCCGATTTTAATGCCGTTGGCCTGTGGAAAAAACGTGTTTAGAATAAGTGGTAGCAACAATTAAAAGCCGTGAATATTTACTTCATTGTTTATATCGAACACTCCCTCCTGTATCTTCTCGTAAATCTCTTTGGCGGTGTTGATGAAGGCCTCCTCCACATTGGCCGCTGTGCGCGCTGATGTCTCCATGAAGACCAGTCCATGCTCGCGGGCAAATGCTTCGCCCTCCTCCTTTTTTACCTCACGCCTCGAGTCCAGATCGCTCTTGTTGCCAATGAGCATGATAACCATGTTTGAGTTCGAGTGTTGGCGCGCATCCTCCAGCCATGTGGTCAGATGGTTGAAGGTCTCACGCCTTGTGATGTCGTACACCAGCAAGGCCCCAGCAGCACCACGATAATACGAGCGGGTGATTGATCTGTTGAATGCCAAAAATGATGTCACATCACATTGCATAACAAATGCGGATGATTATTGTTCTGGGAACTCCCACCTGAAAGCCTCTTGGCCTGCTGTGTCCCAGATTTGCAGCTTGATCTGTTTGCCATCAATGGTGATCATGCGTGCTCCAAACTCCACGCCAATTGTCAGATCGTGCACGGGCTGAAAGCGCTTGTCCGTGAACTGCAGCAGCAGACATGATTTTCCGACGCCTGAAGAAAACAGAGAAAAGTTAATTGGCAAAAAGGGAAAGTTTTTCGTCTGCCAAGTCGAATGTGATTCGTAATTAGCCTTTAAGTTGGTGAAAACACTCCATTTATTTGTATACTAAAAGAGATTAAAGTTTGCATATGGAGCCTGAACTGCCGCACTGCAGGAAAATAACCGACAACAACAGCTGGTAGATATCCTGTAATTTGTAATCCACACTGATAAGCGAATGTGGGGCGGGGGGCAACGCAACCGAGTCATTGGCAAAATCTCTCAACCAGTGGGGGTTGTTGGTTGAGTCAGCAGCAGGGTTTTCAATGCGTGGGGCTGTGGCAGGCGCCCCTCTGCTACAACCCCCGCACACTGTTAACTTCGTGCAGAGTAAACGCCCGCCTGCCTCTATGGCGTTGTTATGGTTTTATTGATTTTTCCTTTGGCTGCCCGACTCCTTGGATATTTTTATTTGGCAGCTGGAACTGGACAACACAGCGACTGTAAATGCATAAATGCATCTCCTGATTGCTAGACTCTTGGGGGCTTGACCCCGAGCCCAATGCGCAGTTGACTGTTTTGTGAGTCTACCTTTGTTTTGTTGTTAAGTTGCCCCACAATTTTTTGCAAATGGCAACTTTTTCCACTATATGGGAGGCTATTCAGTCCACACTGCCCAACTCACCAGTATCGCCAATGATAATGTATTTGAACAAATATGCGTAGGACATGATTGCAGCTGGTTGGTTTAGATCACACTTCTTTTAAACTAAGATCTCGTAATTTTACAATTAATACGCAATATTCTTGTAAGTTTTGTTCGTATTTATGATGACAGGTGTCAAACCATCGAGGGCACTATCGATAGTATCGATGTTTTGCTGCTATCCGCTACTATCGACGGTTTTGCGACTATCATGATAGTATCGAGCTACAGTTGTTGCGCTTTTGATATGTTTGGATTGGCTGCTCTAAAATACGAAGACAAATTTGTAAACAAATCGACAGGTGGCATCTAATTTTTACAATGGACAAGTTCCTAAAAGGTTTCAGTGTTTTTTTAATAATTATTTGAGCCCGATACTATAACGATAGTATCGATTGTTTTTTCAAAACATTCAACGTTGATATTCCTCGATTTTGATATTCCGTTTAATATTACTAGCTAGTTGGCCCTCTCAGCCCAAAACAAATAATTTTATCCAATTCCTCAATAAATTTTGCTTAGGATTTGCTAGTTTTCAGAATTGTTTTTCATTGGATTGTTTACATAATAAGGCACAAACAAAAACGGCCAAAGCATATAACGTAAATGTTGACTGATTGTGAGAGAAAATTTTGAAAAACCACCACGATTTAAGAGCGAAACATGTCGGTAGTTTTTGTGCGCCAAATGGAGTTTGGCGGTCATTTTAAAAGTATCTTAATATATTGAAAGTTAAATATTTGACTTGATTTGTTTTTTCGGTGCTGTCCAGTGTGAAATATACCTTCTCATTTTCTAATTACACCGAAAATATACCGAGGAAAAAACCAACTTAACCCTGCGGAAAATATTACTGTAAATGCTCATTATCTTTCACCTGAACAGCTTAAACAATTTTCAAGTTTCATAATATTCGTGGGTAAATTGAAATACCCTCTGGTCAACAATGGGTTAACCGTTCTCTGTTCATCATTGTGCTGGAAAAAACATCGAGACACTATCGAAACTATTGATTGTGTGGAAGTTTTTACACCTCCAACTGAACTGCAACTGAACAATTTAGAAAGAAAAAATCGAACGAACTTAAGCAGCGACCTAATTAACTGATTAAAATATAAGTTCACCAACTTTTATTCAGCAAAAACTATTCAGTGGAGTATTTCAAATCCGATCTGACTTCTGTATCGATAGCAAACTGCTATCGCTGCCTTGCCCATCCCTATATGTATGTATGTGAATTTTGTCAGAAATTTTCTCGCACAAAGCGAAGTGTTTTTTAAATTTAAATTAATTGATACGCGATGTGTAAACAGAAGCCCACTTAAATTGTAGAGCCTAGAGCACAAAGCTAGGCTAGCCCCACAACTGAAACAATTTAGTCGGGAGCTGTGTTTCGGGATCGAAGTTACTTTGTGTGGCCTGCTACTGTCTGGTTTTCTCGTCTCAGGCGCAGGGTAGGCAAAAGGCGTTGTGGATCATCGCGGCTGGAAGGAAGGTGAAACATGAAGATGGCTGACGGCTCGACAATATTGCGTAGGAACCGACCTGGTACAACATCAAAGGTGAGCTCACATAGAAACAAAACATACCATTCCGAAACCCTGTGCGTATATAACGCTGTCGTTTTCGCGCAGGACTTCTGTCGCTGGCCCGATGAGCCGCTGGAGGAGATGGACAGCACGCTGGCTGTGCAGCAGTTCATACAACAACTGATCAAGCGAGATCCGAGCAATGTCGAGCTTATATTGACCATGCCAGAGGCACAGGATGAGGGGGTTTGGAAGTACGAGCACTTGCGACAATTTTGCATGGAATTGAACGGTCTGGCTGTGCGCTTGCAGAAGGAGTGCTCGCCGTCGACTTGCACACAGATGACGGCCACCGACCAGTGGATATTCTTGTGTGCGGCCCACAAGACGCCAAAGGAGTGTCCAGCGATCGATTACACTCGTCACACACTGGACGGAGCTGCCTGTCTGCTCAACAGCAACAAATATTTCCCAAGCAGGTAAAATGCTCGTGAGAACACAGATCGAAATTGTTAATTGTTAATCAACTGTCTCCCACAGAGTTTCCATAAAGGAGTCATCGGTGACCAAGCTGGGGTCGGTGTGTCGGCGCGTTTATCGCATCTTCTCGCATGCTTTCTTTCACCATCGTCGCATTTTCGACGAGTTCGAAGCAGAAACGTATCTATGCCACCGATTTACGCATTTCGTCACAAAATACAATCTAATGTCGAAGGAGAATCTGATTGTGCCCATCAGCGACGGAGAGAACGCTGCACCAGGCGAGAGCGAGGCTTAGGCATCAGCAATCCAGTCATTCTCATAAAACAAAACACAAAAAAAAAAAACAAAAAACACTCACGCGTAGGCGCGCTCATACACACACATTTATTTATATTAACTAATAGCTTGAACATTTGTTTTTGCTTAACCCGATGAAAACGGATTTAACTCAAATGCAAACGCAAATCTTGTATGTATGTATGTAGTTTAAACGTCAAATATATAAAGCCACACATACTACATAGCGATAACTAAGTAACAAAGGCAAAAATGATAACAGATGATAACAGGCCCACCCCTCCCTAGCCCACTCCCCCATGCTAGAAACACCTGATCTTAAGTCCGCAATTATTCCGTAAAATTATATTACGATTATGTTAAACATCTTATTTTAAATAAATTATGTGTAGCTCTTCTTGTGGCCGAACCAAGACCAAAATCTCCTTCAACTCAATTCCTCTTGACAAAACACACAGACACACACACACACACACAACAATACGTGACTACAAACGACTACAAACTTTACTAAACAAACAAAAAAATAACCATATATACAACAAGAAAATTGCAATAAAAGAACGTACATACACACAACAAAAAGATAACTTATAGGTTTATTATATATCGCGCCACTCTCAGACCCATTCTCAGACTATATTAACCTCGAACATTGGCTGCTGTTTCACGATACGATCAAAGCTCAGGCGCGACAGATCCAGAGTGCTCAGCCTGCCCTCCAAGATCAGCTCAGAGATGGCTCGTCCCACCGCCGGCGTCTGTTGAATGCCATGGCCACTGAAGCCAGCCGCTATAAAGAGGTTACTGTAGTGTGGATGCCTGCCTATGATGCCATTGGCATCGAACGTATTGTGTTCGTAGTAGCCGGCCCAGCTGCTCTGCACCTTGAGGGCCTCAAAGCACGGCACACGGTGGGCGAGGGTAGGCCAGATATCAGTGTCGAAGTAGCCATGATCCACATCCAAGGTATCACAATCGGGCTCCTCGTCGTCACAGGGACTGCGTCCGCAGAGAAAGTTGCCGCCCATGCCATCGCGTCGGAAGTAGGTGCCATCGGGATCTACGGTCAGCGGCGTGGCCAAGCCAGGACCATTGTTGCCCTGCGTGCTGAACACATAGACATAGCGCTTTCGTGGCTCCACCGGCAGGGGGACGCGCAGCGATGCCTCCTTCGCCTGGGTGCTGCCAATATTTGCCAGTCTAGCCACCTGACCCGAGTGAGCTCCCGCCGCCAGTACGCAGGTGTCGAACTTCACAGTGCGCTGAATGCCATCGCCAGCATCCACCACTGCTCCAGACAAAGCCCCAGCGGCATTCCACTCGAAGCCCACCACTTCCCCGTGGGCAAACTGGGCGCCAAAGGAACGCGCCTGTTTCTTGAAACCCATCAGCAAAGCCCACGGGTCAAACCATCCCTCCTTGTCAAGGCCATAGCAGCCCAGTTCAATTTCGTCCGTGCACAGCCAGGGAAATTGCTTGCGCAGGGCCTCCGGACCGAGCAATTTGTTGCGGGCACCCAATTCGTTTTGCAGCTTGGAATTCCGTGTGAGGATTTCTGCTCCCTTGGCGGTGGCCATGATCAGGTAGCCGTGCGGCTGGAAACAGAGATCCACATCGCCCAAATGCTTTTGGCTGTTCATAATAAAGTCGTGGCCGCAAAGTCCCATTTGTATGTTCTCCACCAGCGAGAACTGCTGCCGCACTCCGCCCACCGACAGCACGGTGGAGGCCTTCGTGTACTGCAGTTGGAAATTTGTTGGAAATCAGTAATCAAGCCGCAATCTAGTCTCTCCTACTCACACCATGATCGCGCTCCACCACCAGCACATTGAACTTCTTTCCCCGCTGCCGTGTCTTGGACGTGAGCCAGAAGGCCGAGGAGGCTCCCATGCCGCCGCCGCCAATGATCAGGACATCACAGCTGTTGGGCAGAGCATCGCCGTAGGCCTTGCTGCTCAGACAGCGTAACTGCTGCAGGGCACCGGCAGCGGCAGCCGATCGCAGAACTCGTCCAAGGGGCAGCATTTTTCACACTAACCGACGCGACGGTGTGCGTTGCATCTCAACTAGCGCTGATAAGCGGCATTGAATCCCACCCAGATTAGATTTGTGTGCCGAGTAAATAGAACGCCCCACACGAGAGCCGCAACTAGACAAGTACAATCTTTACACAGCTATAAACAAGCTTTGCTTATCTTGCCAGCTGCTTCAAATCTTCAATTGTTGGCAATTATGGCTGGGCGCTCGCCGCCTTATAAATATAAATTATATTTAATTTGCATATCCTTACAAAGGGTAAGCCAAGCATACTGGGCGATTAGATTAGTAAAAGAAAAGCTTCAGGTGGAGTCTAGGATATCTATCATTGGCCTTGACTTGGGCTAGCAACAGGGACCTGCTCTGGGTTTCCTTGCTGCTGCTTGTTGCGTCCATATCTGGGGCGTTTATTTGGTCGACCTGCTGCCCCTTGCTGCTGTTGGCGGTGCTGAGGACGAGCAGGCGTTGCACTATCCTGCCAGTAATCGCTGGTTGTGTTGGGTTTCTGCACTCTGTAAACGAACGGATATGTAGTCTCATTCATTTTGATTATTTAACTCTGTTCTTACCCCTGTACGCCTTCGGGCAGCTCGTCCAGGCTCATGAGGATGTGCAGGCTGGGTATCTGGCGATTGACAATGATTTCCTCGAGGCCCTCCATCTGTGGCTTCCAGTGTTCCTCCACACTTTAATGAGAATTACTAGCAACGATGTGGAATGGCTGCTGTGAAGGGCAGGACTCACCTGTTGTAGGCCATGCGCGTCACCTGGTACAGGGGGTGGCTGCGCTTGAGCACCTCGGCGCAGGATATGGTCTTGACCACTCCCCCACCAGAGCCACTCCACACTAGAGAGCGGTGTTCGCCCTTGTTCAGCGCTGCCTGGGCATACTCAATCACATTGCTCACTTTGGTGCCGCCTTTGACCTACAATTGGAGGCGGGATTAAAGCACATTTTGACTGTATTCAAAGCTGAGTACCAAACTAACCTGCATCCAGAGGAAATCCTTTTGGGTCTTGGGCATGCAGTCATCAAATGGCAATTCACTTTTGCTCAGCTCCCGCTCAACATTCTCCGCCTTGCGGTAGTGCATCATTTTGAGTGTTTTCCCGCTGCTGATCGAAAAAAAATGGGAAACGGGAATTACTTCATGCCATCCGGAATATAATTATGTGGTAGAAGCCCTTAAGCATAACCTTGACGGCCCAATCTGTGCCGAGTGCACAGCCAGCTCGACAGCGAACCACTTCGCTCATCGTAAACTGTCCTGAGCAGTTATTGCACCCGCCCCGTGCCGCCACCTTGGTACAGTCCGTGCAAATTGAATAATTGCTTGGTTTATGAGCCGAGAGACCAAGGGCAAAAAACAAACAAAAAAAATAGAGAAAGAGAAAAAGAAAAAGCTGGGAATAGTGCAGGGGACCAGCTGTAGAGACAACGATTGTAACCTACATTCATTACGGCAAGGAAGAGACTCGAGCCCCAAGAAAATCTCAAGCAAACTACATGAATGGGGGAAACTAATAACTGCCCAAATATTCAACTAATAGAAAATTTACACATCAACAGAAACAAAGAGAAAAAGTTCTCTTTCTGCTTTCACTTGTCGGAATTTGCCGTCTAAAATCGGAAAGACAAACCCTTTGGCAGGGCCATGGGCCCAAGTCCCAGCCCCTTCCTTTGACTAAATGCATTTTGAAGAGGAGTTCAAGTAAAAGTCAATAAAAAAGCATTCCAACAGCAATTAAATGTCCGCGCCTGCAGTAGCGTCAGCGTTTTTCCCATTAAATAGAATTCTGCTGCTGGTGGGTCGGGGGCACTAGACAACAGCCAACCAACCAACGAGTGGCAGGAACACAACGACGATGGCGGCAGCAAGCAGGAAAAAGAAGGCCAGGAAGGGATGATGATAGCCAAAGGAGCATGATGCCACTTGTTGAGGCTGGGGCCAAGCAACATTTTAGCGCAGGATGGCAGGAGGCAGGGACAGGGGATGGCGGCACAAGGGTAGCTGCAACTGAATTCGACAGCAGCAACGAAAGTTTATTAATGAACTTTTACACCCTCCCACTACCCAGCAACTACCAGAACCAGAACTAGAGGCAGCCCAAGAACACAGAGCCAGAGATAATGCCACGTGTCCTACACAGAGCCAACGAGGCAGACGATTCTCAAGGCTCAATGCAGCAGAAAATGAGGAACAAAGCGTTCGCAGGGTAGACTAGAAGAGAAACGGGAAAGGAATGTTCCTAAAGGAATGCCTGAAAATTCCTTCCATCTCTGCTTCAGTCACTGCCTGTCCTGTCCTGTCCTGTCCCATTGACATCGTCATCACCAACGACAACGCCAACGCCGACGCCATCATCATCCGGCATCGCATCGCCGCCATTCCTATCAAGTACGTTTTGAACAATAATTCAATTTGGTGCGGATGTTATTAATAAAACGTTTCACCAAGCCCAAGACGAGCACAAGTGGGAGCAACGCTGACGGCAATGAGCGATTGGTCCTATCAATGCGCTGATGATGTGCCCACACGAGTGTTTCTGACAACACGTACTTTGAATTAACTGTACGAACGGTTACCCAATTGTGGCTCTGGCTCTGGCTGTTGCTTTGGCTCTGGCTTGGGCTGTGGGTAGAGAAAATTAAATGTCCTTAAATATTTAATAGTTGAAAATTCAATTCTGTGTGCGTATACGCAATATCAAGTATACGCAAAGGTTGCATCTTTACATGGGGTCGCAGAGCGTTTTCTTTGGCACTCTTTTCAGCTCCTTTTGCATATCTTCACGCACAGCGCACAGAATGGGGAGGGTGAAGTGGGCCGAGCTATGAATGAAGCGCCGCAAATATTTCATTTATTTGCCATCTCAATCGCACCACAACATGCCACACACCCACCACCAACCCACTGAAGTATGCATTCATTAGACATGCCACGGGAGTCGGGTAAGCAGCAGCAGCAGCCGCCCGATTCGTGGCAGCAGGCCGAGCCAACCGAGCTTAGCTTCTGGCCAAACCACAGAGCAAGGATCATTTTGCTTGTGCAGGCCGTGGCCAACGGTTCAGGAGAAGCGGAAGAAAAAAATACAGCGATTCTCGTCCGATATCCAAGTAAGGCACTGGGCGAGTGAAATTAGTGTTAAACCTGTGGCCTGAAATATGTGAATTTCAAGGCGATAAAACCGCAGTTTAATTACAAACAAAATACAAAAAAAAATCTGTTTACACAAAAAAACCAACTAAGCATTAAAGATACCACAGAGTTTATCCACAGCAAAGCACAGCAGCGTATAAGTACACAAATCTATCAATAGTTTCCATTCATCAAGTTCAATCTAAAATGTGTTCAACAGGTAGAAGGAAAAACAACCAAATCAAGGCTGTGGTGGTACAGAAAATTACGTTGCTAAGCAGCTTCTGTAAAATGCTTTGAAAACCCCAATAATGTGATCGAATAAAATCGAAAAATAAAAGCTTATAAGTTAAGAAAAACCTTAATTAATTGTGCAGAAATTTCCACGCTATTGCACAACATATTTGAATGGATATTGTTGGGTAATCGGAATACAAATTGGTTTAAAAAAACACATAATAGATGGGAACAAAAAAGAATTAGCTGCAGGCTGCTGCTCCCTTTTCAAATCATTTAAAATTCCCGTCGTTAAATAAATTCAAATACGAAATGGCAATATAACATCTCGAGAAATTCATTTATTTTGAAATTAATTTTGTTGTATAAATATAAAAAACATTTTTAACACGCCTACGCCAACGCCTCTCCAATTAATTGATGATTTTCCATCACAAGCGCAGCGTGCGGAAAAATTTTGGGAAAAACAAATTGGACAAAACGGATCGAAGATGGATAGCACTGAATTTCGGAAACGTGGCATGGAAATGGTCGAGTACATCTGCACCTATCTGGAAACCCTGAACGAGCGCCGGGTTACGCCCAGCGTCGAGCCGGGCTATTTGAGGCATTTGCTGCCATGTAAGCAAACAGTTTTCCATTCCAATCCATAATCTTGCTTGCTTGGGGGTTTCCGTTGATCCTCTGCATGTCCCCTCTGGGTTATATTCGCACACAGCTGAGGCACCGCAAGAGCCGGAGGACTGGGACCAGATCATGAGCGATGTGGAGGACAAAATCATGCCTGGGGTGACGCACTGGCAGCATCCCAGATTCCATGCCTACTTCCCGGCGGGCAACTCGTTCCCCTCGATCCTGGGCGATATGTTGGGCGACGGCATCGGCTGCATTGGCTTCTCCTGGGCAGCCAGTCCCGCCTGCACCGAGCTGGAGACGATTGTGCTGGACTGGCTGGGCAAGGCGATTGGTTTGCCGGACCACTTTCTGGCCCTCAAGGAGGGCAGCACCGGCGGCGGGGTCATTCAGGTAAACCAGTCCGCGACCAGTCCGTGATTTACATGCCCTTACATCTTACATCTTGCGATCGATCGACATCCGCAGACATCCGCCTCGGAGTGTGTGCTGGTCACGATGCTGGCGGCCCGGGCACAGGCCCTGAAGCGGCTGAAGGCTCAGCATCCATTCGTGGAGGAGGGTCACCTGCTGTGCAAGCTGATGGCCTACTGCTCCAAGGAGGCGCACAGCTGCGTGGAGAAGGCGGCCATGATTTGCTTCGTGAAGTTGCGCATCCTCGAGCCGGACGAGAACGCCAGCCTGCGTGGCCAGACGATCTACGAGGCCATGGAGGAGGACGAATTGCAGGGCCTGGTGCCCTTCTTTGTGTCCACCACCCTGGGCACCACCGGCTCCTGTGCGTTCGATAATCTGCCCGAGATTGGCAAGCAGCTGCAGAAGTTTCCCGGCGTCTGGCTGCATGTGGATGCCGCCTATGCGGGCAACAGCTTCATCTGCCCGGAGCTGAAGCCGCTCCTCAAGGTGAGCGTATCCTCGCGTAGCCTGGCGCTCAGCATCGAATATATTCAGCAATATCCGCTCTGCAGGGCATCGAGTACGCCGACTCATTCAACACGAATCCCAACAAGTGGCTGCTGACCAACTTTGACTGCTCGACTCTGTGGGTGAGGGATCGCATCCGTCTGACATCAGCTCTGGTCGTGGATCCGCTGTACCTCAAGCACGGCTACTCGGATGCGGCCATCGACTATCGTCATTGGGGAGTTCCACTCAGTCGGCGTTTTCGTTCGCTGAAACTTTGGTATGTGAGCAAAAAAAAAAAAATGTATATATAATAATAATAATCATCATTATTGGTACCCCCCGAGCCCCGAGCCCCGAAAGACCCTCTCGAGTGTCAAGTGGTGTGAATGAGTGTTTGTTGACTATTGTCAAAAACTGAATTGATTTTGTCGATTGGCCGCGTGGAGTGTGTACCGCTGCTCGCCGGCCTGGTGTCTTGTTTAGGCCTTACTTTTTTGGCCACGTTTTGCCTGTCATGTATGTCACGCTCGACGCCGCCGCGCTCATTATTTGCTTGCGATTTAGTTGTAAAAACATTAAAATCCAGTCTTGACACAGTCCAAAGGTCTGTCGTCTGTGTGCCACGGGAATGGCATCTATCCGAATGAGATGAATCAATACGTAGATAACACACAACACACATACTATAAGTACAACAAATGTGTGGCTGCTAATGGTTTCCTGTCGGATCAGTTTAATTTGTATTTTTGGCGGATATCTATCCCCGTCGTCCATTTCGTTTCCTTGCAGGTTTGTGCTGCGATCCTATGGCATTTCCGGGCTACAGCACTACATACGTCACCATATCAAATTGGCCAAACGCTTCGAGGAGCTGGTGCTCAAAGATAAACGCTTCGAGATCTGTAACCAAGTCAAGGTGAGTTACATTCGGCTTGTGGCTTGTGCTTTCATTTCGCTTCGCTTCGCTTCGTTTCTTTTCTTTCCCTTTAAATGTACTCGTAATTAATCATGCTCATGTCTGGGTTCAAAGCTCTTTTGTGTACAAACACCAACAGTTTCTGTGTGTGGGCTGTGTCTGGGATTTTCAGTGTGGCAAGTTGTCCGTCCGTCCGGTGGGTGTGTTATTTGTGGGGTGTGGGGTGTGGGGGCAGAGCAAAGGTTCGGCAATGCCCAGTCGAAATTTGGAAATTGATTTGCCAGTGACGCAAATATGAGTGCCTAAACGTTGTCTGGCCAGTGGCCACCAACAAATCCATGCACCCGCAACCCAAAACCCAGAGCCAATTACTACTACGAATAGTAGCAAACGTGCGGAATAGCACGCTAAATTCCCAGCAGCAGAGACCAGCGCAAAAATTTGATTTGATTTCTTTCTGTTCGCTGTGGCCCATTGAAGTGTTTTGGCATAATTGCCACAACAAAATAGTTTAGAGACAGGCCACACACACACACGCAGGCACTTAAGTGATTCATCGAGTGCCCAGTCGGGCAGCTACTGGCTGACGGATGCTTTCAGATGCTGATGGAGGGGATAATCAGCTGCAGTTGGATAAAATACTGCAATCCATTGGGTGTATAGGTGACAGTTTGAACCTAGAGTAGGGGGTTCTCTGGGGTTTCAGATTAGATTCACTCCCAATCAATTAATGGATTCCACAACGGTAGCTAATCTCAGCATTTCCCCAGCTTGGCTTGGTGTGCTTCCGCTTGAAGGGCAGCGACAAGCTCAACGAAAAGCTACTGAGCATCATCAACGAGTCGGGCAAGCTGCACATGGTGCCGGCCAGTGTCAACGATCGGTACATCATACGATTCTGCGCTGTGGCCCAGAATGCCACGGCCGAGGACATTGACTATGCCTGGGACATTATTGTGGACTTTTCGAACGAGCTGCTGGAGAAGGAGCAGCACGACGAGCTGTCCGATATCATCAACCGCAAGAAGCAGGACACTCTGGCCCAGAAGCGGTCGTTCTTCGTGCGGATGGTCAGCGATCCGAAGATCTACAATCCAGCCATCAACAAGGCCGGCACACCGAAGCTGTCCATGGAGCTGCCATCGCCGGTGGTGAGTCGCGGGAATGCACCCATCATTCGCACCCAAAGCTCTGTGGATCACAATTCGTGGATATCTTGGCCGCTGGCCTTCCTCTTCAACAGCGGCAACAACGAGGACAAGGGCAACAATGTCTCGCTGCGGTGGGTACCATAACTCCACCCACAGAAGTACTTTCATTGGTTATCCACCTGCCTCTCGCTCCCTTCCTGTTCGCAGCTTCCGACATCTGGACACCAATGTGCGCCACTCATCGTCGCGCCGCAACTCCGGGGCTGGGTCCTCGCCCTCGCCAGAGAACGAACTGGAGCTTGGGAATGTCCAGCAGGAGCAGAAATCACCACGCAGGTCGCCCATGGTCATGCGCAAGGCCTCTTCCACCCGCGATAATCCCAACTAAGAATATCAAATATATATATATATATATTATGAGTATATGCGCCTCCTTATCCCTGGCGCTTAGTTGAATTATATTGTAGACAATTTTACGATATCTAGTAAGACATAAATTCAATATTCCCCAGGCTTCTCACGATCTCCTCCCCCCTCTAATACCAGCGTAGCAAAACAAACCAACAAACAGACAACAAAAACACGCGAATAACTTTCTTGTTAATGAATGGCAATAAATTTCATTTCAAATTCGTAAACTCTGTTGGGGGGGTATCTCAATGGGGCAAGGTTGCAGGTTCTCGTAGTAAAGGTAAGCCAAATGCAGGAAAAATTCAACCTTTGGGTTTTAATTAGTTCATTGGTATTTTTCTATCTGTTAAATCATTGAACCAAATTTGTCTTAAGAATCTTTATTTGATTTAAAAATATATTTTTTGTGAGCAAAGTTCCCCCGTTTTTCTGCTGCTTTTTCCGGATGTGTGTCACTGACTCGAATCCACCTGGAAGATGCCACAAACAGCTAACAAAAACGAACAGAAAGTATACGAAACGTATACGCGGTAAACACACTTATCCTGTGATTTTTTTTTTCGCTTTTCGCTTTGCCTTCGCGAAGTAAACATACCGCGAAGATAATCTCATCTTGCTGATGCCATAGATATGACGTAGGATTGGCGGATCGTCATGGATTCGTATGAATATTTGAGTGAATATGGGCATGGGCATTATTAAATGGATTATGACTCAGAGAACGCCCCACAAGAGAACTTTTTAAAGGCAAAGGCAATTAAGAAATTTTGAGAAAACCAAAAACAAATATGTGTGTGTGCATACGGGGACTCGGAGGGGGCGGGTAAAGTGTGGCATCTGCTATGGAGGTGCGGTGTGCAGTTTGATTTGTTTCTCCCGGAGCTTCTCCTTCTCCACGAACATTCTGACCAGCTTGTTCACATAGGCCTCCTTGACGACGGGCGAGTATTGGATGAAGTGTTTCTTCTCAATGTCCCAATTCAGATAGCTTGGCGCCTCCACGTCCTTCGAAGGATTGCCGTATGTCAATTGAGTGCCTGCAGCTCTCTCATCCTCCGATCGACCAGTTTGGCCCCTGTTCGGGTCGAGTGTATCAACGGGGAGGACATTGGGAATGCTTTCCGCTCCATACGTACTGCCACTCTTGAGGGCTGGTGTCAGCTGTGGCGCCTCTTCGGCATTGGGATTTGCCCCGAACGCGTTGTGTGTGGCAGTATTGGCCTGGTCGACAGCACTCGCTTGTTCCGGCTGTTGCATTGGAGGACTTGCCTGCTTCATCATCTGTTGCAGCATTTTGTCAAATCGGTGGCCAGGTGGCTTTGATGTTGCTGCTGCCTGATCCTGCCTCAGCCGACTGGCTGGCATTGAGACCAATCGTTGCTTCATCTCCAACAGCTGTCGCTCCTGTTCGTCCTGCTTGTGTCCGGTCTGCCCCATGGCCATCAGAAGACCGACACCGGGATATATCATGCTCTGTTTGTTGTTATCAACGAGTCGGTTCTTTCTGGTGGCGTCCTTTTGCTTTATCTTCTCCAGCATTATATCCAACTGGTTCATCGCATGCGTCCCTCGGGGCAGAAGGCCCCTCGCATTGCGCATTTCGCGTTTCATTTTCTTTCTTTGACGTTTTTTGGTCTCGATGCGCTCCTTGATGGCATCCAGACCGGGCTTGATTACCGATGTGTCTTTGAATCCGACTGATATGTAGCCATGTCCCTGCAGGTATTCAATGGGTGACTCCCAGTTCTTGATCAGGTCCCGAACCACCTTATCGTAGGAATTTTTGAAGCCCAGCTTCCTCAAGTCCGTGCGCTCTGCATTGACTTTCTTGGCCGTATCCAAGCCACTGTAGGCCAATAGATACCTGCGTACGATTTCCGTTTTAGATGGTTAATAGTCGGGAGAGAATATTATTATTAAATTTACCAAAATAAAAGTCGCATGGCAGTCGGGGCTCAAAACAGTTTGGGATGGAAGGAATTTGATAAGCTATACAGATTGAGATTTTATTTTGGAAATTCATTCAAAGCAAAGTCAAAGCCAGGCTAAAAATAAAACCCTGTTAAATCTTCGCCATTAACAATTCATCGTAAAACGCAACATCATGAAATTCAAACTACTATCCATATCGTAAAGTTCACTCGCCCAGTAAACCCAACGATCTTCTGCTACCTGTCTAAAAAAAGGCTTAAACAAACATCAATCAAGAGCGCCGCTTAACTTTTGCATTTCAATGATGACAACAACAAATTAGCATGCCTAAACCGAATCAGAATGAATGAAATGCCTAAGGTATGATGGGGCCACCAATGCAAACAGACGAAATTGCCAAAAGTATAGAAGACGCCCGAAAATTTATGCAACATCCGTCAGCTGTTGTCAAGCGTGTGCTTATTCAATTTTCAAGAGAAGAGAAGAGGAGACTTTGGAACGATCATTGAATGGTTCGTGTTTGGCTGTGCCAACTGCCATAATTAATGGGCATGGGCAGGGGCAGACACAGACAGACACAGAGCCAAACACCGAAAGCGTTAGCCGGGGCTCTCCACAGAGACATCCCAAGCCGCACGTAGTGTGAGCCAGCAGCAGCAGCAGCAGCAGAGGCTGCCCACAGAAGGCGGATGGATGGATGATGGCAATGGCCCTCAAGCATTTTGAAGTGTGACCGCGTAAACTGAATATATTTTTATATTTAGACGCACGACGTCATCTGGAGCTGAAGCTGGCGGCTGGAACTGGCGATGGCACTGGCGATGGCGCTGGTGCGGTGAATGAAAGTTTAGGCAAAGCTTCGAGCCGCAAAAAAAAATAAGAGCGCCAAAATACGCCAAGTCATGGTGTCTCTACACCGTTCTCTCACAGTTCGTCTTCCTTCGGCTCTCTTTATCGCTTCGATCTGGCGCGTGCGACGCATGAATCATCGCCTCGCATGGCTCTGCTGCAGCTAGGGTGGAGTGGAGTTCTGAGAGACAGATGAGGAGTGTGCTCAAATGTGGGCTGTGAATCCTCATGGATATATTTTGCGCGCATCACTGAATATTATTTATGGGCGCTCGCTCAACGTCAATTAACACCCATTTCCATTTTGTGGCCGGATCTACTGCTGGCAGCTCAATCAATCGCAAATTCTCACCATGTGGAGTCAATAGCCACTGGCAGTTAGAAATTGTTATTAAAAGTTATTAGAACATGGAAGATTTTGTGGTGGCCAGGAGTTACGCCTGCCTCCACCTAATGACAGGGAAATCCATTCATTAATTTCTACCCATTCACCCCACTCCCACACACACTCATAATCTTTCACACCCACTTGCTCGCTTGCTTGCACCCTGAATATATCAGAGAAAATAACTCAAATTCATTTTGCAATATTTGTTTATTTGTTTGTTTGTTGTTTTCATCATGATCCACCTAGCAGGAGATTCCGTGAAACAATGGGCGTTCTTCACGGCTACGTCACAAGTGAGGACTGTTGCCAGGGATTCGTCATGCCTCATGCCTCATGCAACACCTGCTCCGTGCCAACACCTCTTTCCGTTAACAGATTTGATCAATATTTGGACAATTATTTGCCAAGTTGTTGAGCAAGTACTTTGAGTGATTCCCCTGCGCCATGGTTGATGCTTGCCCAAAGACATCGACCGATGGAAAATTTTGGCCATTGTCTAGAGACTTAAGGGAGAGCGGAAAGAGAGATGAGAGAGGAAAGAACAAATTTGCACGTGACTTTTTTTTCCCCCTATTTGGATAATTCTGACAGCTTCGAAAGTTCCCCTAAAACCCAAACCACAAAATTAATTCAGTTTCGGCTGACATAAAAGCAGCTCAAAAGCAATTTAAAAATCATAAAAATTCAACGCTAATTTGAGACGAACGAGCGTATTGAGGTAGGCAAGAAATAAAGAAAGAAAAGGGTTAAATCAGATAGAGATAACACATATATGTAGCACCTCCACCTACTCTCATCATATGGTACATGCATTCCCTTGATTTCCCCACCACACATCATTGATTTCTATCACCCCTAAGGTGTAAACTATTTCTGGTCTCTAACAAACATACAATTAAAGATAAATGCCCATTCGTACAGCATCAGAGTTCGTTAATGTGGCAAATTATATAGCAAATGGCGTATCACTCACCAAAATAATAATGGCAAAAAACTAAAAAACCCTTTCACGCCAGGCCAGGGACTTTTTTGTTGTACAAATCAAATGCAAAAGCGCCGCTGAGGCGTTCCGCTGGAAGCGACTGCGAGAGAACTGAAAGAAAGAAAGAGGGCGGCATAATGACCAAAGCGGGTTTCCCAGCCAACCGATCGGATCGACCAAGTTGAAATCTCCGTGCAAGTAATTTGAGAGTGATCACGAGACAGTGAACGTCAATAGAGCACCTTACATACAGGTAAACAATGGAGAGAGAGAGAGAGCGAACAGTCAAGAGCCGAGAGTACACGACGATGCGAGCGGCACACGAAGCCTCCCAGTAGTACAGTTTCTATATAAAGACGAATGCAGCATCGGTGTTCAAGTCATTCGCGCAAAGGAAGCAGAAGCTGCATGCGAGCAAGGCACCCACGTGATAACGGGATAGTACAGTGATCGAGAAAAGTTTGTGCGCTCTTGAATTGTGTTGAAACCAACCCCCAAAGAAATAACAGTACATACATACACCCAAAGCGAACGAGGTGCCAAACAGTGTTAACAGGGGAAAAAGTGTTAATTAAATTACCAAAATGAATGTGGAAGAATTTCGCAAATATGGCAAGGAAGTGATCGATTATATATGCCAGTATAGCAGCAACATAGAGGAGCGCGATGTGGCACCAACACTGGATCCGGGTTACCTGAAAAAACTACTCCCAGGTAAGCAGAAAACAAAAACAGAAAATTGAATTGGAAATCAATCACTGGTGGATCTCGCGTAACTGAACGGATTTCAAATAGAATTCTTCCTGGATTATATTCCAAAAACTCTCAAAACTATTTTGCTTACACTGTGAAGAGTTTGTGCTTTGCACATCAGAATGAAGGGCTTATTTATAGAGCAAGTGATAAATTGTATACAGTAATTAGCAAACTATTCCTAAATAAATTGGCAATGAATCCGAAAATACCTACAATATTTCGCTTCGCACAAAATAATTAAAGAAAGTCGAAACGCCAAAACCGAAACCACTCGAAAGCCAACTTGTTGTTAAATCATGTTGACTAATTGCTTCGCTCTGCAACGGCAAGTGAATAATGTACGAATATAAACTATTCGAAAATCCCCAGCAATCCCACACACCCACGTACAGCACGGGGTACTACATACATGCCTCAACAACAAGAGAGGCGCGGGCGTGGGCGGTGGGGACCCAAAGCATAATTGGGGCACACACTCAGCAGCCGTCTTCGATGAAGTTGGCAGGCTGTGGCAGGCAGGCCAACAGCAGTCAGGCAGGGCAGGGCCGGAGAGGAGAGGAGAGCGGAGGAGATTTCTGCCGAATTCCGCGCAGTTTGTTAAGTTAAATATTTACGCCCGAATGGACGCCGCAATTCAACGCCGGGTTCAACTAAACAAATCAATTAATTATGCATACGCAAACACACACCTTCGGCCTTATACTACTCGTACTACTCGTAGATATATGGACTTACTTGTTGATCATTCAACTCACTGCCAAAAATAACAAATTTACCATAAATATTGATGTCTGCCGGTCCGCTGCTGCTAGTCTTTATAGGTGATAAAAGAAATATTTAGTAGGCACCACCAATATATATACATATATCCAGGCTGACTCTTTGTTTATCCCCACAGCGGACGCACCACAATCGTCGGAATCATTCAAAGATGTGCTCGAGGACTTTGAGAAGAAAATCATGCCGGGCGTCGTACACTGGAACCATCCCAAGTTCTTTGCCTACTTCCCCTCGGGAAACTCGTTTCCCTCCGTCCTGGGGGACATGCTGAGCAGTGCCATTGGATCGATCGGCTTCAGTTGGGCCAGTTGTCCGGCAGCCGCCGAGCTGGAAACGATTGTGATGAACTGGTACGCCAAGGCCCTGGGCCTGCCCAAGGCCTTCATCACGGATGCACCGGGCAGCACTGGCGGTGGAGCGCTGCAGGGCTCGGCCTCCGAGTGTGTCCTCGTCTCATTGATTACGGCGCGAGCTCGAGCCATCAACGAGCTGAAGGGTCAGACCACTGTGCACGACAGCGTCTTCCTGCCCAACCTGATTGCCTATGCCAGCCGCGAGGCGCACTCCTGCGTGGAGAAGGCCACCAAGATGGCCCTGGTCAAGCTGCGCATCATCGACGCGGATGTGCATGGACGCATGCGCGTCGATCTGCTCCAGCAGGCCATACAAAATGATGTCAACGCTGGTCTGACGCCCTTCTTTGTGGTGGCCACGGTGGGCACCACGGGAGGCTGCGCCTTCGATGACATCACAGAGATCGGCAAGGTCTGCCGACAGGTGTCCAGCATTTGGCTGCATGTGGATGGCGCCTATGCAGGCAACTCCTTCATTCTGCCCGAGATGCGCGTGTTCTCAGCTGGCCTGGAATACGCCGACTCGTTCAACACGAACCCCAACAAGCTGCTCCTCACCAACTTCGATGCCTCTGCCCTGTGGGTGCGCGATGTGATGAATCTGAAGAGTGCGCTCAATGTGAATCCGCTCTACCTGCGGCACGAGCACATGAGCGGCGTGGACTACAGACATTATGGAATACCGCTGAGCCGACGATTCCGGGCCCTCAAACTCTGGTTTGTCTTTCGCATTTACGGCGTAAAGGGCCTGCAGGAGTACATACGCAACCACATGGCCCTGGCCAAGAAGTTCGAGATGCTGGTGAGGAAGGACGATCGGTTTGAGGTGCGCAATGATGTCCACTTGGGTCTGGTCTGCTTCCGCATGCGGTAAGTTGAGAAAACTGAGGCTTTCCACAAGAATTCCTTATAAAATCTCCGTATTTCCTTGCTCACTGCAGAACTGGCGACGAGCCCAATCACACGCTGCTGGCCATGATCAATCATTCGGGGAAAATGCACATGACGCCGGCCAAATTCAATGGCCGCTATGTAATCCGCTTCTGTGTCACCTATGAGCACGCCTGCGAGAAGGACATCCTCGATGCCTGGAGCCAAATCAAATGCTTTGCGGAGGAGATCCTGCGCGACAATCAGCTGGAGATCAGCTCTGCCCCGGCCTCACCAGAAGCAGAGCGCACCAGCTCAGAGCCGACGGCACCTGTGGCCGGCAAGCCGCCCATCAAGAAGAAGCTGACGAGAACCAAGTCGCTGCGCTTCTCCTTCACACGCAGCATCTCGCGGGAACAGTACCAGAATCAGAGCGAGCATCTCGGTGATGGCGCTACACCGATCCTCGTGGTGGACCCAAAAACACTACAGCAGAACTTTCAGAAGGCGGCAGAGGAGAACGAAAGGTTAAATAACATTAAGAACGGGAACACCGCCAACAGCAATGCGAAGCTCAAAGATATATCAGATGTGGACACCGATGAGGCGAGTAATTGAGTGGGTGGCCTCTGGAAAGGATTTCCCGACTTACCTCGAGATAGTATTAGTTGTGTGTGTGTGTGCGTGTGAGTGTGGAGCTGAGATGAGGCCAGTACCTAACGTTGCTGAACGTTGAATTTAAGTACACTTATTTATGCATTTAGAGCCTAAGTTTCGCCGCTGAATTTCATTCGATTCAACTATGAAGTCATACCATTTTGTATTTGATATTATTTTGTATTTACATCTAGTGAACTATCATGAACAAAAGCACTTATTTATAAACATTTACTGGCATTTGATATGCACATTTTCTAAAAAAAAAAAACAAAAAATCATGTAATTGATTGGCTCCTGTGGGTTGTCTTTCGTAGTTGGAAAATTGAATTTGTTGGGGGCGAAGGATTTGATTGAACAGCATTCAATCATCAAACAGTATATTTGATATGGAAATCTCTTATTTAAACTTTTCAAATGGGCTCTAGATATGGTATGTATGCCAGGGAAGGTGATATTGGATGACTTACCACGTTCTGGTTTTTTGTGCTTAAAATAAGTTAAATTACCACAAAAATATAAACAAACACACTCAACTTCACAACATGTGATTACCATCGATATGACCGGCTTTTTGGGCTATCGATATGTCGATACAGAAATATCGGTATTTCTGTTCTTCTGTCGTTATCGATGCATCGCAAAAACGTAAACAAAACGCTGCCGGCACGCGAACTTCTTAAATTTGTTAAGCAATTCCATTTAAATAACTTAAAATGCCCAACTGGAACCAAATTCAGTCGCAGCTGCGCAGCTCCAACAATCCAGTCGTCTTTTTCGACATAGCCGTGGGCACAACCGTGAGTGGATTGGACATACATATGTATGATTGTTTAACATATTTATTTTAACCATCTTGGCATGCAGGAAATCGGGCGCATGATCTTCGAGCTGTTTGCCGACACAGTGCCGCGGACGGCGGAAAACTTTCGCCAATTCTGCACAGGAGAGTATCGACCAGATGGTGTGCCCATTGGCTACAAGGGCGCCAGCTTTCACAGAGTAATCAAGGATTTCATGATACAAGGCGGTGACTTTGTCCAGGGCGATGGCACCGGCGTTACCTGCATCTATGGCAACACATACGCCGATGAGAACTTCACCTTGAAGCATGACTCACCTGGCTTGCTGGCCATGGCCAACAGCGGCAAGGACACCAATGGCTGCCAGTTCTTTATCACCTGTGCGAAATGCAACTTCCTGGATGGCAAGCATGTGGTATTTGGACGCGTACTCGACGGCCTGCTGATTATGAGAAAAATTGAGAATGTTCCCACGGGGCCCAACAATAAGCCCAAGCTGCCAGTGACGATTTCGCAATGCGGACAGATGTAGAATGGATGTTTTTTGGTATTTGGATTTTGTATAAATAAATAAATGTTGCTATACAGTGTCTGTAAACAAAGCGTCTTGAAGCGAATTTGCTATTTTCTAAATGTCCTTGTTGAAGTACGACGAATAGCCGCCCGACAAGACCTTCTCCTTTCGCAGTGTTCTGCAGTCCTCGATCATGAAACTGAAAAATAATAAATAATATTAAAGAAGAGCATACGGAGTATGGGAGATTTGCAAACTCACTCGTAGTAAAGCGACACCAGAGGGACAGTTGCAAAATGCCACAGCGCATGGGCATCGAGAATCCAGCATATGGGCGGAAAGTCCAACAGCTCGAGGCTCATGGCCAGAGCAAACAGCACGTAAAAGCGAAGAATCCTCTTGAAGTAGGGCCGCCGGGTGCGCACTCGATGACACCAGATGAACCAACCGACGGCGGACAGCACTCCGGTGGCAATATTAACTTTCATATTGAAGGAATAGTTGAATTTGCCGACACTCAGATAGGCAAAGTAGTTAATGTAGTAGGAGACAATGGCCAGCGTGATCACACCGCGTAGGAACAGCGAGTATCGATGAAGCATACGCATCAGCATGCAGTAGAATGTACAGAGCACTATGGAATAGGCGAAGGCATAGTCCAGCAGTTCAGTCAGGGGAAAGTCTCTCGTGTGGAATATTGAAGACCAGATCCAACCATTGAGACACGTCTGCAAATGCAACGTTAATTAGTGCTAATAGTAGACTATTTAGTACACCCCACCACTTACCACTCCGAATATGTGAGCGAGCATGTAGCATGGGCTATCTGGACGCACTTCTCGGCGAAATTTGCTCAGCATTCGGAGATGCATAATGAAATTTAGTATTGAGAATATGACTGAGGCTGGCTCCTGCATTCCCAACATTCTCAGAAATGGCCACTTGCCATAGAACTGTGGTATGGACCAGCCTCGTTCCGCAAACGCAGCCACCGTCCTCCACATGCAGCCATACTGACACTCGTCTGCACAGCTCCACTGAAAGATCTGATCGAATATCGACTGCTTATAGAAATTCACAGCCTGCTCCTGTATTTCCAGGCCGTCTGCGAAAAGAACGAAGGCTGGTCAGGTGCAATCTATGCTGTTGATTTGAATAATTTATTATGCTCACCCGCAGAGCAGTTCTGCCGCTCGCAGTTCTGGCGGCAGTTGTGAAAGAACTGAGTACGGTCGCCATTGGAGGCATGGCCCAGGGCAATGGCACCGACCAGCAGCAGTAATATTGCACAATAATTAACACTAGGCATTGCTTATACACTATTTAAATGGCCGCTGTCCGCGGCACTTGAAACTTCTTCCAAATATTCGTCCTGCTAGCATTTGCCTAGAACTGAACCTTACAGAATCGCAGGTATTGAAATATACGATATATATATGCCATCCCTAAGTGTATATGGTGATAGGTATCGCACGGGCAAAAACATTCTTCATCTCTATTTACTTTACTTCTGTATTGTGCGGACTTTAATCGTGGAAAACTAGTTAAAATGTGCTCGAGAAATGTTAAAACCAGCCAGTGAGGCTATTTTGGTGTACTTAGGGATGAACTCGGATAGCTTACAGCCTCCATCGAAGCCATTGCAGGTGTAATTTTCCCTAAGAGAGTGGGCGTCGGAGGGGAGTGCGAGTGAGAGAGAGAGAGTGTGTGGGAAACTGGTGCAATATTATTAATTTGTAGGCGATGCATCTGCCAGATCAAAGCCGCTTCACACGTGCCTATATTTAGAGCATGACTCATGGTCAGCAAGTGGGGAGTGCTCTGCGATCTCGTTAGATAGAAGCTCTGCCTCCAATGTCCAAGTATCAGACAACGAATAGTGATGCCATCGCCTTGCCCGCGCACCCACTAATACCGAGCAGGGACACTAGGGATCCACGCAAGTCGCAAAGTAATAAGGTAGGTTATTGGCATTGTTGTTAGCATCAGCCAGACCAGACCTTATCTGATTCTCTCTATTCTCTACGGATCAGCAACGGGAGCCATTCGTATTCTTCATAATGCGATTAAATTTGAAAGCTGTGATGCTCGTTCTAACCGTGGCCGTGGTGGTGATAACCTTAGGCGTTTATATGCGATGTGCCGCCTTCTCATTTTCACCGGACTTTGTGCGTCAGTTTAATCGGCACCATGAGAGCCAGGCCTCCAGCGCGGCGCTAACCTTAAGTGCGCTGCAGGACATTGAGTGCTCCATCAATCAGGAGTACAGCGTTCACTGCAAGCGAGATGAGAACGCCAACGAGGTGTACGTGCCCTTCTCGTTCCTGCGCAACTACTTCGATGTCAGTGGAGCAGTCACAACGAGCGGCACGGAGGTGGCCAAATTCAATTGGATGCACAGCACAGCCAAGGTTAATCTGCCCAAGGGCAAATACGATGCCCGTGGCGTGTTCATGTACTTTGAGAACTACAATGTAGAGGTGCGCGATCGGGTGAAGTGCATCAGCGCCGCCGAGGGAGTTCCTGTGAGCACGCAGTGGGAGAAACGTGGCTACTTCTATCCCACGCAAATAGCCCAGTTTGCCCTCTCGCATTACAGCAAGAATTTGACGGAGCAGCCTCCCCGAGTGCACGCTCTGGAGGATGGCGATGGCTATCAGATGGACTGGACAACGCCCAAGACCAGTAACATGACACGCATCTGGCATCATAAGTTCAATACCAGCGTGGTTCAGTTCGAGACGGCCATTGGCTACGAGAGCGCCATCAGCATTGCCCTTAACCAGACACTGGATCTACTTCTGAGCGTGGATCTGCTCCTGGTTACCAACAGCAGCAGCCTTATGGTCACGGTCCAGAACCGGGACACCAAGCACAGCTATAACCTCCATTATATTCCCGCCGATCTTCTGCTCAGCGTGCAGGACTCGAATATCTATTATGGCTTGGGTGCATCGGCTCTGAACAAATGGCGCCACATCACCCGGGATCTGCACATCGATGTTCAGAAGGGCATCGTTCTCGGGGACAAGCGATCACCGCTCAAGGTACGCCGCTCCGATTTGGAAGTTGTGTCTGTCGCCTTCCTGGGCATCGGCTTCTACGACAACATCACGCTGTCCACCAGCGAGCATATGTCACATTTCTATGATGCTGCCGAGTGGTTTGTCCACAATCAGGACCCCAAGTCAGGTGGCTGGACGAATCCGGTGCGCCGTAGTCTCAATGGTTTTGCTGAGCTGCGTCCAGGCTGGATTTCGGCCATGGGCCAGGGCCATGCCATATCCGTTTTGGCGCGAGCGTATTGGCACTCCGGTGGCGATGAGCGGTATCTCAAGGCAGCTGCAGCAGGACTCCAGCCATACAGGGTATTCTCGCAGGACGGCGGCGTTCTGTCGCAGTTCATGGACAAATTCTATTGGTGAGTTGTCCACAAGCATCTGTCTTCGGCTTCTAATGTGATGTTTTCGTATCAATAGGTACGAGGAATATCCCACAACGCCGGCATCCTATGTGCTAAACGGTTTCATCTATTCCCTGTTGGGTCTCTACGATCTGAATAGCACGGCGCCAGCTAAAATCGCCCGCGAGGCAGGCCAGTTGTTTGCCCAGGGCATGTACTCGCTGAAGAAGATGCTTCTGCTATACGACACGGGCTCCGGCACCAGCTACGATCTGCGGCATCTCAGCCTGGGTGTGGCACCCAATTTGGCACGCTGGGACTATCATGCAACGCATGTGAATCAGCTGCTACTGCTGGCCACCATTGACAGCGACCCGTTGATTGCACAGACCGCTGAGCGCTGGAAGGGCTACATGTTTGGCAAGCGGGCCAAGCACAACTGAGAACTAAGGAAACTGGCGACCTATCGTCGTCGAAAAAGTGATATTTTGTAAGGCTTAAGCACTATGCTTAACCATTCTAAATGGTTGCATCTTGTGTGGCTTGCCCTTTCCACATCCCCACACACTCCCGACTTGGTTATTGTTTCGCCCATCGCTTCTATGATTTTTTACCTCGTCCTTGTGCTTAATATTTGATTTATGAACTCGTTGTATGTATTAAGCTAATCTTTAATGTTAAGCTAATGTACCTTTAGCTTCGATTGCTGTTTGAAATCATCTGTTGACCCATCTTGATAGCATAATTAATTCCCAAAAAAAAAACTAGATGCACGCGTACTTCACTGGACAATATCGATCAAATGAATTAGAAACTTACACTTAACCTTCGTAGTGAGACTTTTTTACTGCGCAAACTAAGTAGTGTTCGTTACACTCCTCCTCCCCTGTATAAAGTAATGTGTAGAGAGCTTAGCGCTATAGTTGTAGAATGGATAGACACCCCATATTGTACGTAGATAGTATCACTTGGATGCATATTCGGTATTCTTACCAGCCACATATATTCCTCCTTACCGGAAGCGGAAGAGGTAATGTTGAACATACATAAGTGCACGATACATACGATAATAACCATTTTCTATATGGTAAGCATGTAAGTTAATGTAGCGTAGGCCACTTGAGGATATTTTCATACTCATCTCGACCTAAACGATGCCATTCCACTATTCATTTTAATTTGTATGCCCTGGCAGAGAGTTCATTTCCGACTCCATGTCTATCTGTCTGGTCCATCAGGCAGTACAGGCGGTAGGATTAATCAATTTGCAAGGGTATCTATAGCCTCGGCATGCCGAATCTATCTTTCTTAATCGTTACACCTAAGTTTTCACCTTGGCACTGAGCAGAATGGATCAGTTATCCGTTGTATACTTTTAAACCCAAATACGAGACTGTTAACAAAAGCCAACTATTAATTTTGTCTATTGTGTTAAGTGAATGTAATTTAATGTACTTAATTTATGTCTTGTGTACTCGCACGTGGCACTATTCACATGTGTGTGTGGTCGATGGTGCCAACGTTAAAATTCTTTCTGGAGCGTCTTCTACACACCCCAAGTGTCGTGTGGGTATATCATGTTATTTGCACACAAAACGACTTTGCGTAATGTTTATTTACAATTTGGTTAATTTGACTAACAACGAAATATAAAACGACTCTGTGTCAATGAAATGTACAAATACACGTTCAACTTATGTTATTAAAGAGAAGAGGTAATCGTTTGGGCCTGGCACCGTCAGGATCTCTGGGAGGTCAGCACGTGCGAACGAATCGAGGGCGGACCATTCCGACGACGCACTTCCGCAATGAAGGCGTTCTCCATTTGGTCGCATATCAGGTCAAAGAATATGTTGGCCACGTTGCTGTGCAGCAGCGATTTAAATTCAAAGGACACCTTGAAATCTAAGACGCAGGAGTTGGGTATGTCTTTCAGGCCCGGACTGAAACGCCATTCGTTAAGCAGATAGTTAAACAATCGTCCATCGTGGCACTCGGACTTGACCAGGCTGGGCGACTCCAGCGTCACCATCGATGTGTACGCCTCGTTCAGTGGTGGAAAGCCAACAATGAGGTCGGCCTTGAAGCCGCCACCGCATTTCATTACGGAGTGCACGTGCGATCGCTTCACATAGGGCACAAATTTGTAGTAGTTTCTCACATCGGCGACGACTGTGTACATGTCCTGCATGGAGTACCTGTGGATACATACAGTTGTTAGGGCGCTGCTTCAGGGCGGGGGTGGCACTTACCCCACAAGCTCCTTTTTGGTGTACCAACGATTCTTGCTGCGGAAATCATTGAACGTTATGTAGGACCTTTGGATGCTGTTGGCGAAACTGCGCTGCTGGCGACAGCTGCAAAGGTTAAAGCACGCTCTCAGTGACACAGACAATTTTGCTAGCCAAAAATAACAACTCTCCCCTTGTTGTTGAGATTATGTAATTGGCATTTACCTGCTGACCTTGTTTCAATAAGGGGCCTCAGGATTCTGACGTCCAGGACTTTGAGTTTGCTGCCCTTTAGCATTTTGAGCAAGGCTAGATTGATTGGGATACAAGATATATTGAGGTGTTTACGTTCCCTCCAACGTCCGTCCGTTTGTTGTTTTTATTTCGTCGTCCATGAGAAACCTAACCCACTCAGCACCCCTCTATTAAAACAGATGAGTAACTTGAGTTAAAACGTGGAAGCAAATACTGTTTTGATAGGTTTTGTAGTTCCTCTTTACTTATAAAAAAATATTATAAATATCTTTTACCTGAAATGCGTAACAAAAGTTTCAAGTTTGATAATATTCATTCGTGCGTAAGCTGAAATAGTGGGTCGACAATGGGCTAAATGTTATCTGTCCATGATCAGAAATCATATTCCTCGATTTTGATATTCGCTTTAATATTACTAGCAAGCAAAGACTCTCGGCCCTAAACATATAATTTTATCCGATAGATACATAAATTTTCTACAAGATTGGCAAGTTTTCAGAAGTCCTTTTTATTGGATTATTTACATATTAAGGTTCAAACAAAAACAACATAAAACGAATGTGATGTCGTTTTGTGGCGCTGCCAGACTCGTGCAATTCGTAGTTGCTGCGGGCTGCCATACCATGATATTTTGCTACCCGTTTCATTACCGATTCGCTTTGAACCGATCTGGCAGCTCTAACAACAAAAGTAGGAAAAAATGAAGAAGATAAATTTTCCGCAAATAGGAAGAAGAAAACCCTCTCAGCCTAAAAAAATAACAATCCCTTAATGTATTTTGTTTAGGATTGGCTAGTTTTCAGAACTATTTTTAATGGGATTATTTAGATAATAGGGTTCAAAAATAAATATTTTACTTGATTTGTTTTGTCAAGTGTGACCAGAACCTCAGAAACGTCATTTTCAAAATATGCCGATGGCACGCCATGCCCGATTTTAGCCTCTTTAATTCGCCATTTAACCAAAAACAAATAAATAAACTATATTTATCGAAACTACTTGTAAGAGTCACGGGTCACTGTCGTGATATTTCGTCATCACGAGCATCTCTATTTTGGGCATTTGCCAACACTGCCCGGAGATTGAGCGAGTGGGAGAGAGCTAGCAACAGACTGCTCGGCCGACACACACGAGCAAGAGAGAGCGCAATATTCTGCCGTTTTCAACGCAGACTGCAGCGCCGCCGTCTACGTCGACTCGCTTTATTTCTGCGTTGCGTTCAAACTAGAGCTGTGCTGCTTGCTTCACGCGCTGCTACTGCATTCTTGGGAAAAAATTTCACTGTTGGCAGCGACTGAGAAATAAAATTGAAACGTCGACGTTCCGTTCCTTCCTCGGAGAAGAAACCCCCTTCGGAATAAAAACAAACACTAAGCGTGCGTTCGCGCCAAATATTTATTAACAATTAGCAAGCGTAAGAAGCAAAGTGAGTGTGCCCCCGCCCTGCCCCCCTTCCAACGAGTTCGAGTGGTCAGCTTCCATAACTCAAGTCTTGTTACCCACCCGTCCCCAGTGCATACACTAACGGCTGCCATCGAGATGGACAAGCTGGATGCCAATTTGGAACAGCAGTTTGATCTGAATCTCATCGAGGCTGTCAAACTGAATCCCGTCATTTACGACAGATCGCACTACAACTACAAACACTTTGTCCGCAAAGCCCAGACATGGAAACAAATCGCCGAAACGCTCGGAGTGCCTGGTAAGTGAAATTCGTTATTGTCCGACGACTGCTCGACTCGACTCCCAGTCCCAGGTCCAGGTCCAGGTCGGTCCGTGGTATATTTCACTAGAGATACGGTATGGGGCAGAGACGTCGCGACTGGTGGTGCCCCAACAACAACAAAATTGATTAATTCTGCACGGTGGGTGGGTTGGGGAGGTGGAGGGGGTCGACAGAGGGTGAGCTAGCCGACGACGACAGTGGCTGAGACGGAGGCGGTGGCAGAGAGGCAGCAGCAATGGCAAGCAAGTGTAAGTGTACAGAAAACGACGCAAAAGTGAACGTTGGCGACAGAGACGGTTTAAGAAATTACAGGAGCGTAGCCAGCGTAACAGGGGTAGTTTTTCAACATTTAACGACCCTCGTTCGAATCTTTAGCTCCGCCCCTGCTCTCTCTGTCGGTGTAAAAGGCCTCTGTGGCAGTGTGCGCAGTCCATATTTTTGAAGTTGCTGTACTTTGCCGTCGCGTCGCAGTAGTTGTCTCTGTCGCACTCGCAGTTATTCTGCTTGCGCTGGCGTTTATTTTTGTACTCTGCCACAGCGCCGTTCGTCTGCATCTGCTGACAAACACACACACACACACACGCGAAAACACAACGGCACACAGAAACAGCTACCGACCAGGCAGCTTTCGTTTCTTTTTCACGAGTATACCAACAAAATTTACCGTACAACCACCCCCATCCCCACTCCACCCTCCCTGTTCGTATTTTTAATCGAAAGATTTTAATTTTCGTATATATGATGCACTTTTATCGCATTTTTTGTGAGCTTTTTCCACGGATTATGCAAGACATTCAACATGGAAAAGTTTAAGCCGGGACAGTCAATTAGACAATGCCACAGGTTTCCTTCGTCTTTGGCAGTGGGTGGTGGGCCGACTTCGTAGTCGAAGTCGGCAGTAACGTCACCGTCAGACATCACGTCAACGCCTCTGCTGACGCAGCTTGGAAGCTGCTGCGGTGCGACTGCTGCTGCTTCTGCTACTGCTCAACAGCTGCTACATAATTGCAGGAGTGTGAGTGTGTGTGGTAGCAGTAGCAGCAGCAGCAGTGGCAACGCGTCGCGACGCTTTGTGGTTTGTTTTGGTTTGTGATTTGATGCTTTTTTTCCCTCCCCACCTGTCACATGCAGTGACATTGCTACCACCCGCCGGGGTCAGTAGTATTTGGTGGGGGCTTGATGGGGGACCTGGAACTGGACTTTTACTATGCATTTTCATTGAAGAAATAAACTAATTTCATGTTTCCCAACAGAACAAAAATGTACAAAGCGATGGAAGAGTCTGCGCGACAAGTTTGCACGCGAGATGAAGCTGTGCCAGGAATCGCGCTGGCGCTACTTCAAACAAATGCAATTCCTTGTGGACTCCATCAGGCAGTACCGGGAGTCGTTGCTCGGAAAGTGTGCCAACGGCAGCCAGGGCAACCAGGTGTCTGATCCGCAACAGCAGCAGCAACAGCAGGCCGTGGTGGACATCTTTACACAGCCATTCAATGGCAGCGCCACGACCTCGGCAGGGGCATTGACCCATCCGCACGGTAGGATTGACGACTTTCTACCATATGTATATTTGAAAGTTATTTAAATTGCGAAATTATTTGCAGAAATCACTGTTACCAGTGATGCACAGCTGACGACTACGGTGGGCAAGGAGCAGAAGCCATATTTCTACGAGCCTCCGCTTAAGCGGGAGCGCGGCGAGGAGGAGCACAGCGACAACATGCTGAACTCCATCAAGATTTTCCAGAACACTGTCTCCCAGGCGGTCAGCGCTGAGGATCAGTCGTTTGGCATGGTCGTCACAGACATGCTCAACACGCTGGGCGTGCGACAGAAAGCCGAGGCCAAGGTGCACATCATCAAGTATCTGACGGACATGCAGCTACTGGCCCAGCACAACAAGTACTAACTATCGGGCGGCGGTCACCGACAACTGCTTCAGCTGCTGCAATTGGAGAGTGTCTTGTCCTGAGATCAAAATAACTGGCAGCCACCCCCCACACACACACACATACACATACAAACACACACACACGAACGCTTGCGATTCGTGCGCGTTTACTTTCTCTAGGTTATAACTATTAAAAGTCAAACTAAAGTTTAAAACTAGACCTTAAGCCCTGCGGCAAATATATATAAATACATATATAGATCATAATAGTACTTCCCTTAACCCAGACGTAGACAAACATATATATATTTATATGCTTAGTTGGCCCCCAGGATCGATTCAATTCGTGCCCAGTTCTCAGCTCTGTAAAAACAAAAACAATGATGAAAAAAACCGATTATAAAATTATGCGTAGCATTTGTCAAACAACAATGGGAAGCACTTCCTACGCGGCGATGTAAATTTTTGACTACGATTTAGTTGTAACTTGCCATCGGGTTTTAGATGTAATTAAGTACTTGCAGATACGTTATATTATTTTTTTAAGTTCTGTTGTAATATGCTGAAAACGCTTGAGAGATACTTTGAAATGCTTTAAACAAGTACGTCATTAAAAACCATTTTACATAGTGAGCGCATATTACAATCTTTATATGGATATACTTAATATAAATAGTTGCCAGCAACTTTCGTTGCTAACAATTTTCAATTGCAATCAATTTACTGTGCAATTATTTTGTATTAAAAGACGGAACAGATTTGAAAATTAACCACAATGTTGTTTCCATCAAGTTGGCCAAGGGGCCATCTAAAATTAAAACTACTATCTGGGTTTTGATGCCAAGAAAAAGTATAACCTTGTGGTCATAACCAAAATTATTTCTAATAAATTATAATTTATTATATATCGGGCTCATGCCGGTCGCGATAGTGCGACATCGCCTCATCTCTAGCCCATACATCCAAAAATATAAACACAACCAGCTGATTGAGGTGCACGAATTTTTTATGTAATTAAAATGGGCAAGAAAGAGGAAAATTCTGACACAAAAGATCCAAAAAACCAAACAGATTTAGATGATGCGTGGGCGGTAGGTAACAGGCTTTGCAAATGATCAGAAAACTAATGGATAACTCCCTTAGATCCGACCCTGTCATCTGTACAAGGATGAGTACGACGATTGCACGAGTTTCAAGGCACGTTTCCACCAATACTTCATATTCGGCAAGGACACCGACTGCTCCCAGTGGCTGACAGACTACAAAAACTGCGAACGTTATCATCAATCAAATGGCAACGATGTGGCGGCCGGTGCCGCTGTCGTCAAAAGCGAGGAGGAACGCCGCCAAACCCGACTGCGGGCGCACTATGCCAACAACATTTGGGAGAAGCGCAAGCAGCCGCCAGCAGATTGGGCCAAGCCTCTGCCGGAATGGCTGGAAGAGCGCAATAAAAACACGTATCTAGAGCTTAAACAAAAAGAACTCTCTGGCCTCAGTGAGCCGCAGGATGAGAAGGGTTCGCTGTGTGCAATCATGTGAAAATAAATGTATACATACGTATGTAGTTGTCATGTAGATGTACAAAAAATATGCTGAACATCGATAATTCACAAAGATTCGATGTATCGATTCGATAGTGTATTATTGGTGTATGGGAAAAAATTCAGCAACATGGGGAAATGAAGTAGCAGCATTGTTGAGCAACTTTGGCACGGCATGAGCAACAATCTGCATACCTTGGGAAAATGGATATTATGGACTTGAGATATTGTTTGTAATTTCAGGCTCCAATTAATGCAGAAACTACTCAGTCTCTGTTTTCAGGATAGTAACGAAATTTTTGCAGCTCACGGGTTCCAATAATAGGTATCAGAACCGGGATAAGTGTATATATAAAACACAAACATATGCATTAAGAGGTAAAAAACATGTCAATCTATGATAAAATCATAAATAATGTTTCAATGGAGCTTGGAACAAAACATTTAACATCAATTCAAAGGAATAAGGTATACAAAAGTTCATACGCATAGAAGAAACTTGGTTGACCAGCAACACTGACGTCTCATTTAGTCAACATTTACGTTTAATGCTTTGGCCGTTTTTGTTTGAACCCTATTATCTAAACAATCCCATTAAAAATAGTTCTGAAAACTAGCCAATCCTAAACAAAATTCATTGAGGAATTGGATAAAACTATTTTTTTTAGGGCTGAGAGGTCCAACTAGCTAGTAATATTAAACTGAATATCAAAATTGACGAATTTCATATCACAAAATATCATGGTATGGCAGCCCGCAGTAACTACGAAGTGCACGAGTCTGGCAACGCCACAAAACGACGTCACATTCGTTTTATGTTGTTTTTGTTTGAACCTTAATATGTAAATAATCCAATAAAAACGACTTCTGAAAACTTGCCAATCTTGTAGAAAATTTATGTATCTATCGGATAAAATGATATGTTTAGGGCTGAGAGTTTTTGCTTGCTAGTAATATTAAAGCGAATATCAAAATCGAGGAATATGATTTCTGATCATGGACAGATAACAATTAGCCCATTGTCGACCCACTATTTCAGCTTACGCACGAATATTATCAAACTTGAAACTTTTGTTACGCATTTCAGGTGAAAGATATTTATAATATTTTTTTATAAGTAAAGAGGAACTACAAAACCTATCAAAACAGTATTTGCTTCCACGTTTTAACTCAAGTTGCTCATCTGTTTTAATAGAGGGGTGCTGAGTGGGTTAAGTTTCTCATGGACGACGAAATAAAAACAACAAACGGACGGACGTTCAAATCATTTATTTTCGCGAGCGCACGTTGTTGTTTTCGGACGGCGTACTTTGCGGTTTGTGGCGCGCTAGAACACCATTGACTACGGAAAAGGTCATTACGCGGAGGAGCCTCGGCTGTTGTGTGTTGTGGAAAAATCAATTCACTCGCGTGACGAAATAAGTTGGCACCATGACTGTGGGAACGTTTGATGCGTGGGATGCGGCCGTGTTGATAAGCATTTTGATCATTTCGGCACTGATTGGAATCTATTATCGGTACACGGGGGGCAAGCAGAAGACGACAAAGGAGTACCTGATGGCGGACCGGAGCATGACGACGTTCCCTGTTTCCTTCAGCCTGATGGCTAGCTTCATGTCCGCCATCTCCCTGATGGGCGTCTCAAATGAATCGTATCAGTTCGGGACCATGTTTTGTGTCATAAACATCGCCTATTGGATCAGCACGCCCATTGCCGCCTACATCTTTCTGCCGGTCTTCTATCGCATGCAAACGACCAGTGTGTACGAGTACCTGGAGCGTCGTTTTGGCCAGGCCACCCGTCTGTGTGCCTCCTTGGCGTTCACAATTCAAATGATCCTCTACATGGGCATAGTACTGTACGCACCAGCGCTGGCCTTGGAGGCGGTTACCGGCATATCGCGGAATACAGCCATATTGGTTATTGGACTAGTCTGCACATTTTACTCGACGCTGGGAGGCCTCAAAGCGGTTCTGATCACGGACGTCTTTCAGTCGTTTCTCATGTTCGCTGCCATCTTTGCGGTGATAGCTGTTTGCGGGATAAAGGCTGGCGGCTTGGGCGCGATATGGCAGGTGGCCGCGGAGCGTGGCCGAGTCGAGTTCACCGAATTTTCACTTGATCCAACGGTGCGGCACACCTGGTGGTGCCTTATCATTGGCGGCATGGTCACCTATCTGTCGCTCTATGGCGTCAATCAGACGCAGGTCCAGCGGCTGTTGAGCGTCCACAACTTGAAGAGTGCTCAGTCGGCGCTCTGGTGGAATCTACCTATATTGGGGCTGCTAAGCTTCAGCACCATATTCAGTGGATTGTCCATTTTCTACTACTACCGCGACTGCGATCCCTTGCTGGAGGGACGCATCAAGTCGCGGGATCAGCTGATGCCTCTGTTTGCAGTGGACACCATGGGTAAGTTGTCTGGACATCTATATCCATAGCTTCTGCTCTAGTTGATTTATTGTTGCCTTAGGTCAATATCCCGGCCTGTGTGGACTCTTTGTCTCGGGAATATTCTCCGCCAGCCTGTCTAGCATTTCATCAGCAGTCACGTCTCTGTCGGCCGTGACCTTGGAGGACTACCTCAAGCCATTGTACAAGCTCATCTTTAAGCGGACTCTAATCGACTCCAAGTCCACGCTGCCCACCAAAGTTGTGGCCTTTATATATGGCCTGATCTGCATTGGCCTGGCGTTCGGCGCTGGCTCCCTGGGCAGTGTCCTACAGGCCTCGCTTACCATATTTGGTGTCGTGGGTGGACCTCTGCTGGCAGTATTCACACTGGGAGTCTGCACGACGCGCAGTAATCAACGCGGCGTGCTCCTGGGCTTCATGCTGTCGCTAGTCTTTGCCTTCTTCATTGGCTTCGGTGGACCCAAACCGCAACCACAGACGCTCTCGTTCAGCACTTCAGGATGTGGAAACACCACAACCACCACTCTTGTCGCAGAGGCTCTACGCCTGGCCACCGAGAGCAGTCCGGTTGCCCCAGAGCAGCAGTACATGTGGCTTTACCGCCTCTCCTATATGTGGTTCAGTGTCCTCGGATTCCTCATCGCTTTGGTTATTGGCTACAGTGCCAGCAGAGTTCTGACGTACTTAAAATGGGCGGACAACTCACAAATCTATTTGGACAAGTACGGCAAGCAGCTGGACTACGACCTCTTTGCTCCTGTACTGTCCCGCCGGTGGCGGCGCCAAGAGCAGGAACGGGTCCAGTCCATCCAGGATGAGACATTCACCAAACTAACAGAGCAATAGTGTGCCGTCGCGATAGCTTTAGTAGAATCTATTGAAAAAATCACTCACCTACTCAGAAAACCGCTTTAGTCGTAGGGTTTTAGGTCTAATTACTAATGCTGAATGTCGTACCTAAAAGTGCATAACAATGTGACCTGTGTGAACAAAGCCAGCATGCAGATGCGACCATTACAGAGTCTTCCATAGAGAAATAATTACATATAATAATTGTTAATTACAGCGCCACATATGTTCACGCTTGCCGCCTACATGTGCATGTATTTACTACCTCGTTGGCATAATCAACAGATTGTTATATATTGGGAACCCCTTAACTCGTTTGAAATCCGACCAAGTGCTGGCCGATCCTTTTGTTCTGAATGCCAAGCATTGACAGTCACAATGCCTAACATTCGTTTTTTACCAATATACTTAATTTTATTTATTGTTCAGTTAAACATATATAGTTATAACAATAAGTTCAGGGTTTCTATAATCTAACTGCGTGTAGGTATATATTTTATAAGCCGAGAGTAGCTCGGGTGAATATCAGGGTTTTATAAATGGACTACAGTGGACACCCCTATTAATAGTTATTGAAATGTTCCGATTTATGTGCGAGAGGTTGGGCAATTTGTGACCTATTTATACATACAAACACATACATATACATATATCTATCTATATACACAAATGTACAAAACTATACAATACTAGATACGAGTACGAGTACGAGTATGCGTACTGTGTCGTGTCGCCACCAATTATTGAATAATACTATGTATTTGTATTAGCGAATAGAAAAAAACTATTAAAACGAAGTGTTCAATGATATGGCAATGTGTTTTACCCACTCTCAAAACAGACTCTCCAAATCGAAACGCGTGCACCTATAAATCCCGATTAGTCGAGCAGAGCAGAGCAGAGAACTTCCCTTCCGATAAGCAAATTTGTTTCGCTATCAGCGGTGATTGCGTGAGGCTTTCCCTTGGCCATTCGTTTCTATTTTGGATTGAATGTCGTAACTCCGGTTGTCCGGTTTACCTTTGCAATTTGGCTGTGCTGTTCTATTGCGTTGAGCCATGCGGGCACAAAGTCTTATTGAGAGCCAATTCGTTTGGCAATTGGAGACGTCAAAGGTTGCCTTCCCCATGTGAATCAATTGATTTGCCCATAAACAAATTCCAATTGAAATAGTAAACTTAACGTTAATTGAAACTTTTCTAATGCTGTCTCTGTGTCTGTGTCTCTGGTGTGGATGTGGAAAGTTTTCTGATCGAGGGTTCAAAGTACCAATTCAGAATGACACACATTTCACCACACCACCAAAAGTCACTGCCGAAAGAATATGAAAGAAAAGAACAGCAAACGCAAAACCCGTTTAGCCAAAGTTCGGTTACCCCCCCCACCTGATTTTAGGGTATTTAAACCAGCAGATAAATATATTAATAGAAATCGGTACACTTTTTTCTATGCTTATTATATTTAGCAGAGAACTTTCTACTCCATGGTTGGGAAGAGGAAGTTTCCATATTCAATCATGCCCCCATGATGAATCGGCGAAATCGACTTGTCGCTGTCTGTTTATTGTTCCCGATACCCATTGATTATTGCATAGATCACGTGATTGGCATGCTTTTATTCATTGGTCACTCGAGTCAGCTGGGGAAGAGATTCATTGGAAGCCGTTTTGATGTCTTCCAAGCCTGTAAGTCGCTTTAGGGCTTAAATCAGTATCGAAAAGATAAAATATTGCATGACTCATAAAAGTCAAAATGATAGTTGTGGGACAAAGTGCGAATATATGCGGATATCCACGAGCATTCTCTGACTGATTAGGTAGTGCAATAGATAAACTCCTGCTACTGGCAGTCGATAGGGAACCAACAATAAGAAATCATTTTCAAAATGTAGCTTAAAATTTCAATAATACTGTGAATAATACTGAATTCGATGCGACGCCATTTCACGAAGCACTGTGATCTTCTCGTGGTGTAAGTTTAATAAAAACCTTGAGCTGCCTCACACTATTCAAAAAATCAGACGAAGATCGCGCCATATCGATAGCAGCTAATCGATAGTTGGCAAAAGTGTATCAGTAAACCGTTAATCATTCCGCCCTGGTAGTCAGCTGTTCGCTGCAAATTTAATAGGCAATATTCCAATCAGAAATTAAATAAACATCCTCCGATTAGCAAATATGGCCCTGCGACGCTGTCATCTTAATCCGAAGAAGACCCTGTTCCTGCTATGCGACATACAGGAAAAGTTTCGGCCTGCCATGCCGCTTTTCGACAACATGATCAAGAATGTCGACAAGCTGGTGAGTTTTTTGAACTTTGACTGGGCATCGGACTGCGCTCTTATCTGCGGGGCTGTCGAGATTAACCAAGTTCCATTGCAGACCAAAGCGGGCAAAGCTCTGGATGTGCCACTGATCGTGACCGAACATTATCCGGAGAAGCTGGGCAAGACTGTGGCCCAGCTGGATGTAAGCCACGCAAAGCTAGTGTCCGGTAAGACGCTCTTCAGCATGGTTACCCCCGAGGTGAAGTCAGTAATCAAGGATATATTTAGCGATAAGCCGGAGGATGTGGTCCTGTACGGACTGGAGGTTGGTTCTTAGTCAAATTTAGCCTAATCCGTAAACTAACTGCCTATCCATTCCCTTGACAGTCACACATCTGTGTAGAGCAGACCGCCATTGATCTTCTGGAGCAGAACATCAACGTGTACATTGTGGCGGACTGCTGCTCCTCCCGGCTAAACCAAGATCGGGACTTGGCCCTGGACCGATTGCGGCAGGCAGGCTGTGTGATAACCACCAGTGAGAGCGTAATCTTCGATCTTGTCCGGGATAAGAACAATGCCAAATTCGATGTGATACGCAAGCTGGTCAGTCAGCCCTCGGTGGACATGGAACTGACGCGCACTGGTGCCGGTCTGCCGGTGGGCAGTGCAAAGTTGTGAGCCGCCTCTTGTTTGTCCTTTTGTTATCCTGTTTTCGTGATTTCGAATGCATTTGTATAAAAACGAAATGTTTTGCGTTGGAAACTTTTAATTTTTGAACGCGCCAACGGAGTGGAGACTCCACGGAGAAGAGCAGAACGATGGACCACTCTGGAATGCTCAGTGGTGCCGACGGCTTGGCTGTGGGTTGGTTGGATGGGGACGCGTTGGCTGGGGATGAACCAACCGTGGCTGGGAATGGGGATGAACAGGGCGTGGTGGCTCCTCCTTGCGTGGATGCGCATCGATGTACGCCAAGGCTCTGAGAATGGCCTCTGGTGTGGGTGGTGGCGTGGGCAGGAGATCACCTTGCGGATGATATCCATTCTCGTCGGCCGTGTACGACACCTTAACGGGCAGTCCCTCCTTGGAGGTGAAGTGATATTCGCCATGGACCTGATGCTCGTCCCCAGCCTCTCCGGCACCGATGCCATTGGTTATGTCATAGCCGTAAGAGAACTTTCCGTGTCCGTCCTCCTTCTTGTACTGCTTCTCCACATGGGCATGCGCATCGTCGTCGGCGTTGGTGTTGGTGGCGATGGCAGTGCAAGCGGCAGCCGCCAGCAGGATTAGGGCCAGCTGGGATACAAATGCTTTGAATGAACATACAGCGGGGTTGGGTTGGGGCTTCAGCCTCCACTTACGTATTGGAACATTCTGAAAATGTCTGTGAAAGCAAACTGTTGGTCAATGAAACAAGGCCTAAGGCTTATATACTTTCAATCGATCGTTCTCGAGTGCCGAAATTCCAAATTCCTGTGTAACCAGTTGGGAGAGTGTTGTGCTGGCAGATCCGCCCGTGAAGTCATAAATTAAATGGAGCAAAATGCTGCCAACGTTTTAATTGCACTTGATAACAAACAGATACAATTTCATAAATATGTACATATGTACCATGTATATATAGTCAAGGTCATTTATCTGATCTGGTGATCTGCTGATCAGTTGATGTGGGGATGAAAGCCGGTGGCATCCGCGGTGTACGTCACACGGATCTGCTTTCCATCCTCACCCGGCAGAAAGTATTCGCCCTGTATGCCATTCACATTTCCCTGGGCCTTCACCGAGATGCCATTGCTGGTCTCGATCTCGTGCTGAAACTGCCCGGCTCCGTCCAGATTCTGCAGATTCTCCGACTTAAGCAGCTCCGCATTGCGATCGTCGTCACTGGTGCCGCTGGCCAGCACCACAGCCAAAGCAAAGATCAGAGTCTGTTGAGTGTGAAATGTTTAGTTTGGTCGAACATTTTGTCCTCAGCTTCCCACTCACATATTTCAGCATTTCTAGTGTGAACCAAATAGATGTGAAACAATGAGCTAGTGGACGGCCGCCTTTTATACTGTGACAAAGTTGCTCTACCAAACGGGTTTGCATCCATCGCATCTGCTAATGAATATGAAATTGGCTTCGTCTCAATCGAGTCTGGCGGTGACGCGTGCCTCGGTAGCCCTCCCCCCCTAACTAGAGAGTTTAATAGTCGTTTGGTTGCCTTTTTCCTAAACAAATTTATTTCAAATTAAACAAGTCACTGCGTGCCCTGAGCGGCCTTCTGCTCCTGTCTTTGGGCTGTTGAATACAAGTGCTTGTACATCGCCGCATCTCCTAGTTGACGGTTGCACAGAATTTTGCCAAATCCTTTGGCTAATTGGTAGGGTTTCTTGTGTGGCGTGGCAGCCATCACTTCCTTCTTTTTGACATTATTTTTTTTTTTGGGTAGAACAGAGGGATAGAGCTGTGCTATCTCCGCATCGATATCGGAATCAAACTGCTCGTCCGTGACAGTCGGATGGGTTGCATCATTCTGTGTGCGTTTCTTGCAGAATTTCTCATAGCATTTCTCGGCTTCCCTGCGGGCAGTGGCCCTCAACTGATTCATGTCCCAGGATACGTCCAGCTTGGACTTGAGTTCATCGGATATGGTATCGTCATTTTCTGATGAGAAAAGCCTGCGAAACATTTTCTTCACGTCGTCGGAATTCTGCTTGTCAAAGGAGCGGACTAGTCGATCGTTTTCCGCTTTGGCTTCGGCTTCGGAGGCAGATTCTTGGAACTGTTTTTTGGATATTTCGTTCTGTGGCAAGTCTTGGGGTGCGTTATTTTGTGCATTATCAACATTCAGGTCGGGAGCGTACTGAAGATCCTTGGGCAGGTAACCGCGACTCTCCAGGTAACCAATCGGGGACTGCCAGTTGTCTATGAGGTCTTGAACGATTGTCTTTGCCGAGTTCTGGTAGTTGAGAACCTTTAAATTATCCGCAGTGGCGGTATAAAATATAAGAAAATATGAAATATAGGAAATCATTGTAACTGCCGTACTTTGAAATCCAAAATACTTTTATTTTTATAAATTTTGACATCGTAGGTATATTTACGGTATATAATGGTTTTTTGGTGTATTACGGTATATTTCGGAGGGTCAGGCGACAAGCACGCGGTCACACTGAACAGCTGTTGTGTTTGGCAAAAGTAAATTTGAAACATTTTTAATTTAATATCAATTAAACGGCCCATTGTAGACATTTGAAACAACGGGAAGAAGAGAAGCTTCGCCATGGTCATAACCAACAACACAACGCTGCCGGAGGAGGCTGAGCTCAATGTCCAAGAGCTGAATCTTTCATCAGCGGCTATGCGTGCGGGCGCCTTCCATTTGGGCAAGCAATGCGAACAGGAAAATAACGTTAGTGCATTTAACTTACTTCACATTAGTTCTATATATGAGTGCCTAGCTGCTGTGCAACTAAAAGATTAATTAGGAGCAGTCGGGACACTGAAATTGGTCCGCTTCAGTTATATAACCTAACCTCAAAACCCCACCGTTCTGGGTTTGTTTACGTTTAATTCCCATGGAAATTTCAGGAGTTTATGCTGTGCAGGCAAGAGCTGGACGATCCGCGTCCCTGCTTGGGGGAGGGAAAGGCCGTCACCAGCTGCGCCCTGAACTTCTTCCGCAAGGTGAAGAAGACCTGCCATGAGGAGTTTATGCAGTACGCCACTTGCCTGGACAAGAGCAGCGGCACAATGGCATTTGGACAGTGAGTTTACGGCGCTCTTGGTACGGATAAATGCTAATCATTCGCTACTTTATTTAAGGTGCCGCAAGACCCAAGGTGTGTTTGACAAGTGTGTGAAGGATAACTTTGACTGGGAGCGTCCATCTTATGGCTACTTTTCCAGGGCCAAAGTAAGATAATCCTAAAAAGCATATTTCTTATGCACATGTAACACGTAAAAATGTATTACCCAGGTCATTCATTCTGCCCGCGAGGCTCCCAAGAAGGAGGAGATCAAATCGTATCCCGATGCCACGCCCGGCCTGCCCGAGGATTACCCCAAGCCACCAGCCAAGTACGGCTCCCGCTTCCACTGGCTGGAGTAGACAGCCGCCGCTTTTGTATAGTGAAATTGAAAGCGTTCATCTTAACATAAACTATTGTTTCCATTAGTAGTCGAATGAGATTTTATTTTATTTTATCGCACTTTCGTTCTCGACAGAGTTTGCTTAATCTTTTCCATAATGTGCAAGTACTGATTGTTGAGGCAGCAGCCGCAGTAGCTCACCGGCAGGCAGGCACTTCCCTCGATGCGTCGATGCACTGGAATGTTGTTATAGAACACCCATGAAATGTTCTCCTCGCCGAGCACCAGCATAATCTTGTCGAAGCAGCACCCCTGCACCTTGAAGAGGTCCACGTCTCCGGTGATGATGCGCCACTCGGAGTAGCGCAAATTGACACCTGGTGGGAGTTTCGAATGTTCCCTTAGCATTACATGCTCGAACCAATCACGGACTTGTATAATTGATCCTGTTGGAGGATGTTTTCTAATCTGATAACTGATGCGTGGATACAACGGATGGCTGTGGATGGGAATTGCTTAGTGATCATTTCGCAAAGCTTGCCATCTGGGCTATCGGTACTTACATATATGGCACATACGACAGGCGCACCAAAACAAATTCAACTTTTTCACGCGGAGCCATATTCAAATTTAGAGCGCTCGAAACGCTTCACAGACACTGCTAGGCAATACTGAAGAGCAGACCATGTCTTACAAATATATATACCTCATTGGACAGGTAGAATCTCTTGACTTGTAGGGCGGCCTATACGGCAGATGTTCATATGGAGAAATGGCGACATTTACCTGAGGATTGAGGAGGCACCTGGATTGGGTTTCTCATTTACAGTTTTATTGCTAACGTTATTCTTAGCCTAGACAGGATGAAGCTTATTCTGCGTACCACTTTGTGCGCTTGGGTTTCTTAATTTTACCACCCAAGATACCCTTGACACCGCCGCCATCCTGGTTGCCAGTAATCATTTTCTTATACTTATCGATTAGGGGCTTCAGGTCATCCATCTCCTTTTTGCGTCCCTGCTTGGGCCGATTATCGGCCTTTCTCTCCGCCAGATGGGATTCACGTATCTTTTTGTTCTTGGTCTTGCGTTTCTCGGTCTTCACGCGCTTCATGTGCTCCTGGGCTTGTTCCATAATCTTTTTCTTGGAGCGCATACGCAACGCAGTTCCCGGTTTGGCGGCCGCCCCCTCAAAGTCTTGGGCGTCGGTGAGCTGCTGTTGCTCCTTCTCCTTGCCTTCTGCTTTAGCCGCTCGCGTGGCCTCCAGTTTCTTGATGTGTTTCTGCAGCTTGGTCTTGTTGTCCGCTTGTGGTGGCTTTTCCTTGGTCTGCTGCTGCCCACTTCGCTGCTGCTGACGACGCTCTTTCTTCTGCTGCAGTTTGGTCTGATAGGTGGGATTATTCTGTTTGGAGCGCTCATCGCGTTTCTCCTTGATTTTGTGAACCGCACGATCCTCTATACTGAATGCTACAATGGGACGCTGGAAGATTGAGAGAAATCATTCGATTGTAATCGTTGCTTTTATGATGGAAAATATTTACATGTTGGGCGCCAAAGATGTTGGGATTGTTGTTCAGCTTACGCAGTGCAGCCAATGCCCTCTGATGCGTCTCAAAGGAGATGAAACCAAAGCCCTTGGACTTGCCCTGTGGATGCTCGGGCGTGATCTTGTGCTCGCGCATTACTCGACATTCATGGGGGCGGAAGCCTGTGTAGGTCTGAGCCATTTGCTTCAGCTTTTCGTCGCCATAGTTATAGGGAAGATTGTGTATGGACAAACGATTCCGCGAAACGAATCTGCAAGAATGGCGAACGGTTGAAAAAAGATCTGATCTGAATGGGGGGAATGGCAAACAAGGCTTACCGATTCAAGTTCTTCAGCACTTGAGTCTTCATCTGCTCCAGCTCATGGCGCTTCGTCATGTCCGAGGCAGTAACGCCATCGGCAGCCTTAGAGCCAGACATGATGAGGCCTTCTCTGGCCAGATACAAATTTCTCGAATCCTTGCCAGTGTCATCATCCTTGTTTTCCCGCGACTGCTTGTTCTTCAATTCATCTCTGCTGAGAGCTGGATGCGGATCCAGCACCTCATCCATCAGCGTGAACTCAGTCCCTGCCTGCAGGCAGAGATCTGCGGATTCTTTGGCCTTGAACTTGACAAATGCCGTGCCCCTGGAGTGGCCAGAAACCGCTTCCCGATTGATAATTGCATAGTTGACGAGCCCAAATTTACGGCACACCTTCCGCAGGTCCGCGTCCTCGGCATCGAATGGGACATTCTTGATGAAAACTGTGCAGCCCTGTTGGACATCGTTGGATATTACTTTCTCCTTCTTAATGCTATCGATGTCCAGTTTATCCTTTTCTTCCTTTTGATCTTCATCATCATCATCATCGCCGTTGTCATCTTCACCGGACCCTTCAGTGCCTGCCTCATCATCATTTGCGTCAGAGTCCGATTCTCCTTCAGCCTCTTCACTGTCATCATTAATGGCTGCTTGTTCGTTAGCTTCCACCTTGGGCTCATCCTCCTCGCTTTCGTCTTTAATCTCCACCTTTGGCTTCTTCTCCTCCGGCTCCTCATCCTTGGGATTCTTGGCCGAATACTCATTTTTGCCCAACGCCCAGTCCACAAATATCTTTCTTCCCTGCAGATCTTTTCCGTTGGTTTTCAGTATAGCCTTTGTGGCCTGGTTTATGGTCTCGTATTGCACAAAGGCGCAGCCGACCAGCTTGCCGTCGCCTCGCTTTAGTATGTGTACATCCTCCAGTGTCCCCCATTGGGAGAAGTATTCCCGCAGTGAGGCATCCGTGGATTTGTAGCTGATATTCCGGACAATGAGACGAGCGCGCTTCTTCTGTCTCCGCTCCTTCTCCTCCTTTAGGCGCTGTGTGTTGAATGGATTGCGACGTTTCTTGGACTTGTCCTCGCCTGCTTCCTTCGGTGTGGGTGTGGATTCATCCGTGGCATCCTTCAGAGGTTTCATTTTTTTTAGCTCCATTTGCGCCGCACGTGGGATTTGTTGTTATGGTACTATCGATAAAATATACCGCCTCGACCCCAGAAATATACCGTAAATATACCATAAATATACCGTAAAATTATTATTTTTATTTATTTGTAATTTCGCGGTAGTCAAGCTTAGAACTTGAAGTTGAACTTTTGATTGCGCCGCAAGGATATGAGGTGTGACGTATGACGTCACAAAATCCGAAATTTTCAAGGATAAAACGCACCTCACCACATAACTCACCGTGGGCTATTTTGAGCTTTCGGCTCCCACGATACATTTAGTCCTTCGGGGCCAGTTTGAGCTCCTTACGAGGCCCTTAAAAAAGCTTGGCCGTTTTAATACTGGGGCCATACCTTGCCATGACCCAGTCGTAAGCGAGCACTCAAAATTCTCTCCCGACTCGTTTTTGCGTTTCCATTGTGATCCCAAAAATACCCCAGAAATATACCATTAATATACCGTACATATACTGACAAGATGCGTTGATATTTCTCGGTTTTGAAATTCGGTTTAATATTACTAGATAGTTAGCCCTCTCAGCCCTAAACAAGTAATTTTATCCAATTCATTTATAAATTTTGTACAAGATTTGGTTAGTTTTCAGAACTCCTTTTAATTGGATTGTTTACAAAATAAGGTTCAAAAAAACACAGCCAGAGCATAAAACGAAAATTTTGAAAACCACCACGTCTTGAGAGAGAAGCAATATCGATATTTTGTTGGATTTTGGCGGTTTACCAGCACTAAATTTGATTTCAAATTTTAAAGCCAGTACTGGCTAGAAAATTGCTTATATATATTAGACGGAAATTTGTCTATTTAAAATATATTTTTATCTATTTTAGGGCCATATTTGATGGCAAATACAGCTATGTCTTGTGGTTGTCATGCAAATATATTTATATTATCCAACACTGCAAAGTGGGCGCAAAAATCGTTTAATTTGATTTATGTAAAATTCATGTATAAATTCCTGCATCAATGATTAATTCAGTGAATAACTATTTTAATAAATATTAAATATAATAGAAAATTGATTCGGTTAAAAATATTTGTTTATTAAAAATTAATAATTTTCTCGGACCGAAAGAAGCAAACGTATTTTTACTATGTACATACATACATATGTATGTACATATCCCAGCTTATCTTGTGAGCAGCAACCTGATTCTTTCTTAGTTGTTCTTCGGCTCTGAACACGATCGTTTCGTTTTCTTTGTTTGTCTACCTGATCTATTCGTTATGTCTGAACCCAAGCCGATTCTTTACTATGACGATCGCAGTCCGCCGGTTCGCAGTTGTTTGATTCTAATCAGGCTGCTGGCCATTGACGTTGAGCTCCGTTTCGTGGATCTCTTCAAGGGGGCTCAGTTCGAGAAAGATTTCTTAGCCGTAAGCCATGAAAATGTTGTGTAGTTATATTTGATAACAGTCCGATCCACAGGTGAATCCCCAGCACTCTGTTCCCGTGCTGGTCCACGGCGAACTTGTGCTGACCGACAGCCATGCCATACTCATCCATCTGGCGGAGAAGTTCGATGTGGCTGGCACACTCTGGCCCAAGGAGCACGGCGCCCGCATGCAGGTGCTGAATCGGCTGCTCTTCGAATGTTCCTTCCTGTTCCGTCGTGATAGCGATTTCATGGTGCGTTGCGTAGTTGCACAGGCTCCAGCCTCCAGCCATATGCTCTCATTCACTCTCGTTCACAGTCGGAAATTGCACGCAAGGGATTCGCCAATGTGGATGTGGGCTATCACGAACGCAAGCTGACCGAGGCGTATGGCATCATGGAGCAGTATCTGGAGAGGCACGACTACATGGCTGGCGACCAGGTAACCGCAGCACTTAATGCGATTCCCTGCCCTGGCAGTGATTCGATCACGAGGAGAGTAGAGTTTCAACGCTGTTGGTTTTTGTGGCTTTCAGCTGACACTCGCCGACATATCCATTGTGACCACACTGAGCACGGTGCATCTCATGTTTCGCCTGTCGCGCTGGCCACGGCTGGAGCGCTGGTTTGCCGCAATGCAGCAGATGGACGCCTATGCGGCGAACTGCACGGGATTGGAAAAGCTGCGTCAGACCATGGAGCAGATCGGCGACTTTCAGTTCCCCGTCTCCCACACAGCTGCGGACTAGAAATTAATGACTATTAAAACCGCGTGTTTACTCAGCCCCATGTCTGTGGAAGGGGGGTGTACTCGTAATTCGATGTTTGTTCTGCTGCTGAAGGGGATGGACATACGTTTGGCTGATTTCAAATTAATTTCGTGGAAGACCAACGCATTAGCATGCCCCTACACTTCGGATGGAGAGCTGGTTGGAGCAGCCTGTTGACCAACCAACTGGGATCCGGCGGCAGTTTGTACTTCAAATGTTTGGCAAATATTTGGTGGCGCGGCTCTGGGTCTGACATACTAATGACAGCATATCCCGGCCTAATAGCCGTATCGAGTACACCTAAATTGAGATGGGTAATCCTTTGAGTGGGCGGCGGCCCTAATTGCTCTACCCAGTTCTGAGTGCCCACCACATGTAATTCAATGCCATGCCACGGCGGCGGAGACCAGGACACCCAGCTCAAAAAAAGTTTAAAGCACGCATTCCCCCTCCCAGCAGGGCATCGCGACCACTTTATGGGTACGTGCACCTGGTCGCTGCATTTTCTCATCATTCTGCAGCGCTTTCGCTGGTTTGACTTTTCGCTGTCATCTGTCGGGCGGGAGTGGAGCAACTGGAGCTGCGTGGCTTGCAATTGCTTTTTGTGGCACGCGCAGCAAACTAAACTTTTCGCTCTGCAAGTTTTTCAATTTTCCTCAGCGTTGTCTCAGCAGCATTTAACCTGCCCTTTGTACAGATTTTCTGATGGCCCGACATTTTAGCTTTCTGCAACTGGACCCCGCAGCACATCCGCTTGGAGTTGCTCTTCTCTGGCGGAGAGTATAACCCACTATGGTCTCCGATTTGCATCGATTTGCAAGTCATATGTGAGTTACACATGCCAGTAAATACATATATACCTGGGCACTGTCAGGTCAGCGAATTGAAATTCATTTTTACCCTTTCCTCTCGGTCTAGCCTATCAGTCAATCTTTGGAGTGGGAAAGAGGAACTTCGCGTCGACTCGGGAAAATGCTGCTCGTTCCTGAATATTTTTAATGGTTTGCATGTCACGTTGAATTTGATTAAAGGCCACGTTGGCCTCCCCAAAGAACGAATTTATTTATTGGCGTTCCATCGTCACAGCGAACCGCACCGAATGATGCAACTGCTACCAAAAAATAAGGTGGGTGGCTGGCATATATTTTTTGTGCTGGGCAAAGATGAAATTCATTTAAATTGTAATTATTGTTATTATTATGATAGGAACAAAAAATTTGAATGCGTTCTGGCAGATACTTTTTCATTCCGAATAAATTACGTGCAGCATTTACAAGGAAAAAACTTTGCGAAAACAATTGAAATTGAAAGCAGACAACTGGCAGGCAGCCCTTCCCACAGGGTACTCGCCGAGTGACAGAGTATCTTGGATTCATTTCGGGTTGAAGCCAGTACTCGCATGAAGCGACTTAGAAGACAGTTCCAACTGTCGGATGTTTAACAGCGGAGCAATGTCAACCAATTTCATTTTGTGTGCTTGTAAGCAATGTCAGGAAATTGTTTTTACAGAGCCAAAGAAGCAGAAAGAAAACTTTATAACTCAATGGGTATTTGACATTCGGTACAATATCGTACATGCTGTAATTAGGCACATAATGGGCGCCGAATTAGCATAGCTGCTGAAAAAACTGGAACTGCCTGGTTCAGGGCTCAGGGTTCAGGGTTCAGGACTCAGGACTCAGAACTGAACCCTAATGTGCCACACATTGCATGCTACAAATCGAGTTACGGATGACATGACAGACAACGACTTTTGTTCCAGCTAAAACTTTTCTCTGCCAGCGACTGGGGAGCCAGAAGAATGGTCCAGAAGCTGCTCGAATCCAAGGCGGCTGGCAAATACTTTGTGCAAATTGATTTAGTGAAAATGTTGCTTTGAAGTCGGCTCCCCGTCAGTCAATTTGTTGAAATGGAAAGTTTTTCGCTAGACGAGGGCTGTGTGGGAGTGCCTGGAAATCTCATTACAAGCGGCTATTAAGTAGCCCGGCAGCAAGCTTTAAAGTGTTAGCCGGGAAATTCAATTAGGCCAAGGCATTCGACATTCTCCATTCGCCATTCAACATTCAGGATTGGTCTCTGCGACTCCAGGGGCCACCTCAGGACCTCAGCCAGCCATGCGTGAGGCTGAAATATTGACAAAGTTTTCGCCTTTTACCATTGGGACAAGCGATTTTGGGTTTAGTTCTCGGCCTCGGCATTCGATTATTACTCGTAGCTATATTTGTTGTTGATTTTATTTCGGGTTGTTGGACAACGGACCAGAGTCCTTGCTGAGTGGAGGCCCAGTCACAGTTGAATTATTGATTAACGAGTTTGCTGGCTGCTCTTCTGCTAGTCCTTGACATACCCGCACATTTAATATATATATTATGTTCACCTGCCTTTGGGCCCATCACAACACTTATTCTGGCAAGACGAAGACCTTTTTGCTGTGGTTAAGTGCCTCCCTATCTCTGTTGCGGTCCTGCTGAATTTCTAATTAACCTTTTTTGGTTTCAGCTGAAGGTTGGGCGCCGGCCCACCGCTGCGGCGGAATCATTTATCAGACCTACCCGGCTGCAGATTAAACAGACAGACACTTCAAGTAAATGATATTCACGAGGCGGGATAGCCAAATAGAACAGACCAAACAAACATCCAACGAGCAACAAAGAAGTTCAAAAGATTCCGCATCGGAATAATTGCAGAGCCAAAAATTTCAAATAAAAGGCAGACAGGCGATTTTATTTTGTTGTCTGGCAGACTCATTAATACTCTCATGAAAACAAAGGCAGGCAGGTGGGATATTCGAGTATATTTATTTATTAATTCCGAGCAGAGGGCAACGCTGGAATGAAGTTACCCAGAGAAAGAGTCCTGAAGAGTCCTAATATTTACAATTGGAACTAAAAATGAAAATGTATACCAAGAGATTTGCGACGAGTGTGGTAATTAAAGAAAACAAAGTAATGTAAATATTTCGAATACATTTAAGTTTAAATCAAAGATAATTCTATGTAATTTCACTTTTTTTATATTTAATAACCGCATATTTAATTTAAGTTCATACGGTTCTGCTTTACCTTGCCATCTATATACTTTTCTAGGGTATACAAATAAATTGTGTCAATAAACGAATGTAAATTGAATCCAAAGGTTAGCCAAAAGTCGTCGCTCCAGGAGACGCTCTGCCGTTTGCGGTTCGCAATTTTCGCTTGAATTGTTAGAGCCAAAATTGGGCAAATGGTAAACAGAAGGTATGAATAATGGCAAAGAATATTCCCAGCACTCAGCTTTTGTCGAAAACTTTTAGCTGGCTAGCGCTGGGACAATGTGAAAATGTGAAATGTATTTAATTGCTTTTATCGGAAAGATGCGATGAGGGAAAATGTCTACAGAAATTATGAGGAAACTTATAAATAACTGCGACTATTCCCGCCGACCAATGCGAGCCGTCTGTTTATTTCTGTTGGCCAAATGACGACATTGGACGTGATTTTCCAATTAAATGTTTGGCTTAAATAAATAATGTTGCTATTCTGGGCCGAAGCAACTTACTCGGACACTCGCAGGCCCGATTGCCGTTTCAGTTTGTTAATAAATACAATGATGGCAGGACAATGCTCGATTCAATTTCCGTTTCCGCTCCGCCTTGCTCCACTGTGAGCAGCCAACGGAAGCGCCAGAAATGCCAGCAAGTGGTTGGATCCCCGCCCAGATCCTGTTTCAGGCAACCGCTTTACAACCAGCTCCAGCTCCAGCTCCAGCTGCCCCGCTATATCCCAACCCAAAGACCTAATTTTCGCCTGACTTCATTTGGGATACGCGTCGGCCAATTTTGGGTTGTTGGCCATTTCAGGGGATCGAATTGATGGGATGGGGGGCGGTCGGGCCTTTCGCTGGCCTTTGTGGAGTTTTTATGCTGATTTATGGGAAAATAATCCCCACGAATTTAGCGTCAAGTGCGTCTGGATAAACTTGCTTGCTGCTCTCCCGAATGTGTTTGCGCACTAGAATCGAATTTTCCTAGGCAAACACAAGCCGCCCACATGCAATTTGCAGGCCGCCCAACGATGTCCTGTTGATGGGGTATGGGGTATGGGGAATGAGAATGCATGACCCGGCGAACCGGCTCACCCATTTAGGGGATATAACATTAAACAGGCCATCTCAGAGAGGCGGCCACGATGCAAAGATTCAGTTTGTATTGCATTTGCAGGTGGCTGGACCGGGATTGTTTGGCATATCTCCATCGTAATTTAATTGGAAAGCGCCATTCGGTGCGGTCCCCACAATAAAATTACAATAATTTAATTGGTGTGAAAGATTGACACACATCTGCGGGGCTGGGCGGGGCACTAATTAAATTTGCGAAAGACAATAGGCAAAGCAGGACGACCATGGCCCAAGGCAAATTTAATTCACTTAATCGAAATGATTATGGTCTCTTTTTTTGCGACTCGTTAAAAATATTTGTTCATTAAAAAATAAAGAAGAGTCCTCCCGTTGTCCGTCGCCGCGGGCCAAGGAGGTGGTAAAAATAAACCAACACGCCATGGCCCGAGAATTTCTCTGTTCTGTGTCTCAGTGGGGCCCGAGTGTGAGAAAAATAAAAGAATGAGACGACCAACCCAGACCCCCAAGAAACTGAGAGCGAAAACAAACCGTGGCGTGGCGTGGTGGCTGGAAAATTTCGATGCTGACGCAGCGCCACACTATTTTGGGTCCACCTGTTCGGAGTGGGACAGAAATAAGCAGCAAATCAAATACTACCCAGAGCACAACTTTGTCGAGCCTTTTGCGTGCACGTCTGCCGGGTTCCGAGTGTTATCGAAACTGTATCCGCCCTAGGAATAGTTTATCGCGAATGCCACGCCACTCTCAGTGTAGGTGGGTGGGGGATGGGGGCTCCGGTCTCTGTTTATTTGTACTCTCGATTCTGTGTTAGAGCCCCTTGGCCGCGGCAGCCTTGTCGTGTCTTCTTCGTCTTGTCGTGACATTTGGACATTTTTGGACAGCAACAGACAGTACTGTCGCTTGCTGTCCCTCCCCACACAAAGTGTTTTTCAATAACACACAGCGCATAATTCAAATTAATTGTCTGGACATTAAAGCAGCTCCGCTCCGGCCATGGATATTTTGAATGTAAAATGCTTCTCTCATTCTGTTATTCCCAGTGAATTTCTATTGAGTTGTATTCACAGATTATAGTTATAAATTAATGTTAATTTGGATTGTCGAATCCAATGATAGGAGAAATGGAATGACTTTAATTCGAATGGGTTCTTGAGTAATTTTCAGGAAGCTTGTGAGAGTAAATCTATAGACCAAAAAGAATATATTTAAATCCACGTAAAATCTGAATGCTAATAAATAACTCTTCAGTGTACATATTTTGTTTCAGATGAAACAAAAACAAGGAAATTAACTAATCTGGAACTTTTGATACCCTATCATATTGATTTAGTTTTTGTTAGCTATAATATAATCAGCAAATTTGAATACAACTTGCACAATCTATGGAGAAAACCATACATTTTTTTCTTACAAGTATTTGTTTGACGGCTAATTAATCCTATACGATAGCTATACGATAGATCCTTTTTGGTCATGAATTATACGAAACTAAAAAAAATAGAATTGATCCATCTATGCGTTGCAAAAATCTTTCCAAAATCGTATTATTAGAATATAAAAGCATAAACACAGTTCCGGAACCAGAAAAAGGCATCCATTTTAGGATCTAACCATAATAAAACTGATGAAAAATTCCACACGAATGGGACTGTGACTCCCTTAGCCAATGTCACAATGTCACTGGAGCGTGTCCATGTCGAATCGACCCAATGCCATTTTTAATTATGACCCAATGCATGCCAATCGCATGGAAATTACGAGCAACAAATGCACGCGCAGACCGAACAGCGAACGCAGAACGGCAGCAGGACAGCGGGCTGTCCGGCTCCGTGTCCGAGCAAGAGTCCGAAAAAATGCAGATGAGCAACGCATTTTGGGTACACACATACATAATTACACATGTCTATTAATTAGAGGGCAACAACTAGAACAACTTTAACACACTCGCAAGACGCGTGTGTGTGTGTGTGTGTGTGTTTGAAAATTATTAAGCACTTTGCTGTTGTTGGTGCTATGGATGGATTTTTCGTTTTTCTGTTGCTTTTCTCTGATGATGTTCTAAAATTATAACGCACGACTCATGGGGGCAGCAGGCCTGATCGCACCAAAAAGATGTATAGGTATAGGGGAACGCCCACGCCTCAGAATTCTCGCAGGCGACTCCGAATTCGGATATATTTTTGGAAAATTCTTGAACGATACTCGTACGGCGGGAGTGCGCTCTCTCGCGCTTTAAAAGCCGCATACGCCCCGTGGCCAGGCATCAGTGTTAGCTTGCACAGGCTCTAGAGAAGTACAGAAACCGACAGCCCCCCTAAAAAACCAACACAAAATGTCTCTTGAACGTGCCGTTCGTGCCAAGGTGAATACCAGCAGTGGAAAAACAAAGAAAATTAAAAGAATGCAAAAAGAAAAAACTAATTTCAAAATGAACTGAATAGAAAAATAATGATAAAAGTGAAAGAAAATTCTGTGCGGCAGTTACTAAAGTTTTGTTTATTCTCGTTTGATCCTCGCTTGATCCACATAGATTGCCGGCAAGCGCAATCCCGAGATGGACAAGGAGGCCCAGGGTTGGGTGGAGTCCATCATTGGTGAGAAGTTCCCCGCCGGCCAGGCCTACGAGGATGTGCTCAAGGACGGCCAGGTGCTGTGCAAGCTGATCAACATCCTGTCGCCCAATTCCGTGCCCAAGGTGAACTCCTCCGGCGGCCAGTTCAAGTTCATGGAGAACATCAACAACTTCCAGAAGGCCCTCAAGGAGTACGGCGTGCCCGATATCGATGTCTTCCAGACCGTCGATCTCTACGAGAAGAAGGACATTGCCAATGTCACCAACACCATCTTCGCCCTCGGCCGTGCTGTAAGTTTTGCCTCTTGACCCCTGATCCTTGATCTCTGCTCTCTCTCTCTTGCTCACCTGCTCTGTGGATATAATTGACCGCGACTTGTTCTCGTTGTTCTCAGACCTACAAGCACGCCGACTTCAAGGGTCCCTTCCTGGGCCCCAAGCCCGCCGACGAGTGCAAGCGCGACTTCACCGACGAGCAGCTGAAGGCCGGCCAGACCATTGTCGGTCTCCAGGCTGGCTCCAACAAGGGTGCCACCCAGGCCGGCCAGAACCTTGGCGCTGGCCGCAAAATCTTGCTCGGCAAGTAAGCGGTTGCTTTTCTTTTTGCGAACGGAAGCAGGATGATGATGGACGAACGATACGATAGATGCCCCACCATCTGTCTATCTGTCTTTGGTTTTTTTCTACACAATATATATCTATATGTATGCTAGGTTTACAAGAAAACACACACACACACACACACATAATGCATACATTTATATATGAAACATAAACACAAAAATATTCCTCACCAACAAAAACAACAACAACAAAAATCACTCACACAAAACAAAACACAAAAGCAACGCAAAGGCTTGTAGAACCCTTAAAGAGCCTTTATATTAAGTATGTATACTCGTACGCCTAAGTTAATCTATATACTACAATAAAGTAATGAAAAAGAACCCACATTTCGATTCCCACTACCAGTTTGAATTTGATTTCGATTTCAATTTCGATACATACCACTATTCAATCACCTCTATAACCTTGAGGCTCTCCGATCGTGTTCTTGCTTTTGATTTTGCTTTGTGTGGGTGTTGTCTTTATTTATTCGCACCCTGCCCCAACGGACACCAAATGTTCGCAAGAGTCCGTTCTATAAATGACTTTTATATATATTCGGTTTGGGTATATATTTATCATCATATCGTCGTTATAAACAAAACATAAACAGCCCAAAAAATAAATTCCACTGAAGCGTGTCGAGGTCAAAGCGTCAGCAAGGGGCCGATTCAGCACGTAGCTTCGATATATGTACATCTGGTATATATACATATATTCAAATAGATACATATATTCAGGCAGGAATTTCCCAGAACGAAATCAAATTCTCACCTGTCCGAGGCGTGAAATGAGTCTATCATATAAGCATACCTATACCTATGGATGTCGGTGCATATATGTATATATATAATATGTATATTGCAGGTGCCACAATTATGAGAGAGTGCCAAAAATGAGAAAGGCCAGACGGCTTTCAGCATATTCCACGTCCTCCTCCGCTGCTGTTTCTCATGATTTCTTCATTTATTTAAGAGGTAAATAAATCAAATACATTGTACATATTATTTGTTGGCAGGAGGTATAAACACTTTGTCGGGAAGTTTGCAGTCCAAAAAGGAATACAATCGAAATCGTAATTAATTCACGTACTATTGGTTTGAACTTTATACGGAAGCAGATATATAATTTATGTGCAATGTTCAATTTTCTATATTCTTGGCTCTAGTTGGCACTCATGATACTCATGTCACTTAGAAAGAGTATTTTTGATTTGAGGCTGCCCATTTTCTAATTTTTGACATTTTGTACTGAGTATTCATAAGTGATTTATTTGCTTAATTATTTTAAGCTAATTGGAGCATTTACATATATATATCCTATATAGAAATAAATTCCAATAAACAAACCAAAAATGGGGGAAAATGCACGCAAAATGTTGAATTTTTATTATTTCACCAGAGTTCCGAAATTTCCAACAAGAAATTTCTTATTTTTATTTGTGTTGAATATGTACATTGTACATACATATATGTATGTATGTATTTAGAGGGGTGGTGAAGAATAAATAAAAACAAGCAAATAAATATCAAACTTGACACTGAAAATAATGGGGAAATACATTTTTTATAATGGTTCATTAAGAGATTTTCTGTGCCAATTCAGGGTTATTATTAATGCATAAGCAAGCTTATATGTATGTACAATAAGTAGGAAGTCTCGAGTATTCCTGTAGATAATCAGGTGTTTTTTTCTTTATTTTGCCTCTTTCATAATTTTCATCACATAAATAATGTCGTTTGGAGAATGTTGATAGGGAAAACGGGCTATGGTTGACAAGCCACTCACGGAGGATGTGTCCATCACTCGCTGTGATAATATCTGGTCTATCACTTGGTCTATTCAGAATTTCATCGTTTTCAAAGGGGTAAAAAGAAGGCAAAGGAACGATCCTATTTTTGTATCTTGATTGGTTCAGTATTTGGTGGATGGAGTATTTCTAGATGGAGTACGACTCATACTCTTGGATGCGACGACTGAGGTTCTTCAGTGTCTCCCTCAGCTTGAAGACGCTGGCTCGCTTCACCTTCAGCCCCTCCACTGTCTTATCGTATTCGTACATAAGGGACGGCATCGACAAGATGCCACCCTGGCACGACAGATCCTTCTGCTGTTTGCGTAGCTTTGTGCGGTCCATTTTCACACGATAAAGATGCTCTCTCATGGCGTGCTGCTTTTCCAGAAGCTGTGTAAGGGAGGCCTGACTGTGAAGCAGCTTGTCGGCGAGAGCCAGCGCCTTCTCTCGGTTGTGCTGAGTCAAATGCAGGTCCACCTGGTACTTGTAACGCAGCTTCTTCTCTTCAATATTCCGTTCTGGGGGATAGCACGATTAGAAATGGCATGAGCCACAGCTAAAATAATTTGCTATACCCTCGATTTTCTTGTCCAGAGTGATCACCTTATTCTGAATGGATATGAAGTCGTTTATGTACAGATCCTCGCCCACACATTCCAGCTGATTGATTTTCTGTGTGGAAAGAAGCAAGCAAAAGGTGAACCACTGGACACCGCACACAAACACAAGGTGCAAGGTGCAAGGTGCAAGGACTTACAGTGGTTAAACGAGCCAAGGTGTGCTTCATGGTAATGAGAACGAGACGCGAGTCGCTGATCTCGTTCCGCTTGACAGCCATAAGTCTCAGCTCACGATCGACCAGCCGCTTGCGGTACTCAGAATCCTTGGGCGAGAGATAATAGCGTACGGTCTGCTCCAGATGCGATTCACAGCGCGAGGCATTGTTTTGCGTGTAGTACAGTTCCATGAAAATTTTGTTCAGCAGAAAGCTGCTCTTCTTCTTGGCGGCAGTGAATCGATTCTTCACACAGTCGAGCTGATCCAGGGCCTCCAGGTACCGCTTTATGTAGTTGGCTTCGTCGCTATGGTCCAGTCGTGAGAACACCCGCATATTCCTGACCCGCTTGTAGTACTCGGCGACGCGACCATGCAGGAAGATGTTGTCCAATTTCTCAAAGTAGAAGGTGTTCGTGACGGTGATGAGCTCCTCCATTAGCTTGCTCTTGTCGCAGCGAGCTCTGATGAAATGGTCCACACCGATGGCCTCGGATTTTTTGACCAACGCAACGATGAGATCTTGAAGAAAGCCTTGGGTAATCATCAGGAGCTCGGCCCGTTGCATGTTGGCCTCGGCATCGATGTCTTCCTTCTCTACCAGATCCTGCACGTCGAAGGTTTCTCGAAAATGGTCGAAAGCTTGGTCGTCGTCCTGATCAATTATCGAGGCTGGCATATCATCATCAGTAATCTCGGGGCATTCCTCCGGCTCATCTTCCACGTCTGGAGCCACCTCTTCCGCCTCCACTTGGGCCTCTTCGAGCGAGATCTTGCTTGAGCTGGTTATAACCTCGCCAGTTAGTGGGTCCACAAAGACGCCAACATCGGCTGTCGCCATCTCGACGAAGGATTCCGCTCTGAGAACACTTGAAAGAGGTTCTTTCTCGTCCTCGGAGAAGTCTGACAGACTGGGCATATCGAATTCGTTGAGAAAGTCTTCCTTCAGTTGAACGGTGTCTGTACCTATGCTCATCGCGATGCTTATGGAAGAAGTTTGCGAATAAAGGGTCTGGGCGTCCTCCTCATACTCCACATCCCGGATCACCGCCTCCTCGTATTCCTCCTCTAGCAGCAGCGTGTGGCGAGCCCGTAACTTTTCCTCCCGCTTGCGCTCCTCGCGGAATGCCTGGCCCGCCTCGTCTTCGTCAGCGAGTCGTCCCTCATTCAGGGCCCTGACATCAAAGGATACCCTCGAATCGCTTGTCTTTAAACGATTTTCTTCCGCATCTTTCATTCGCAGCTTTCGCTCAGCTTTCTTCTTCCGTTTAAAATCTTCCTGCGAGATATACAATGGCACCCCGCCATCTTCCGCAGCCTTCACACCTTCTCCGTCCGGTAAAATGTCTAATTTTGCATCAGTTTCCTTCTGCTCCGCATCTTTTATTTCTTGTTCTGATGTTCGCGGTTGGGGAATCGATTCAAACTTGCCTTGTTTCTCGGGCTCCTCCTGGTCCTGTGCCTTTGACGCTGGTACCTCAGCGGCAGCATTATCATTATCTTGGGGCTGGTCGTCTGCGATCTCTATGATATCAGTATCGGTGTTGTCTAAAATAGGTTTGAATTCGGGATCCATTTTTAATGTATGTTTAATTGTTGTGAATTATTTGTTTAGTGTTTGTGGTGTACCTATGTAAGCTGCTCGTAGCACATGTACTAAGAATCAGTGTAGAATCTATGGTAGTGACAACTAAAACAAAGTAAACTCAGAATTACAGTTTTTACATAGCTCGGTGTAAATAGGGATCTGATTTAAGAGTTTCCCTATAATTTGGCAGTGCTGTGAGTGCATTTAATCTGTAAATTTGTTTGCAATTCAATGCTTCGCTACATTGGATGGCAATTCTACAGCAGTATACGAGTATGTATGCAGTACGATCGTTTTTAGTTCAAGAAGTGGCCGCTGCGAATTGCGTTGGCGCGATACTATAAATTTAAAAAAAAACATCACTGCACAGCACTTACTGTGGCGCGCTTTTTAAATTCGAATTTCCCCAGTCCGATTTCCATTCCAAATAAAACAATTGTCATTTGGGTCCCACTTACTTACAGCTCTTAAATTTTTGGAGGTGTATTGAAAGTTAGCATTTACATCTCTCTTCCCAGCTCTCCACTTAAATTAAAGCTTCACCTTTCGAGTCACATTTGCGGTGTCCTTTGGGGCGGCTTTAAACTTGATTGATCGTTCCCTTTGTCCGTGTGTTTTTGTGGGGGCAAACTTTATGACATTGATAAATTTTTAATAAATATGACAAAATGTTACGAGGCGTGTGGCACATCCCCCCCCTACCCCCCTCCGACTTATTCGGTTTTACTTTTTGTTTTATTTTGTGTATTGTTTTTTGTTGTTGTTGTTGTTGCGGCATCAGGTGCCTGCCCGCTTGGGATTTGCATAAAGTGCTGCACTGTTCGAAAGTGTAATTTGCATAGAAAATGCTGCAGCACTTGGAGTGGATTTCGGCACTTAATACTTTACATCTTATTGTTTTGGCGTTGGTTTGGGACTCAGCGAATCCAAAACTCACTTAAATTATGCATGAGACGGCGGGAGAGACTTTTTCTCAAGCTTAACTCGCGCGGCCTTTGATGTGTCCAGGACATCTGGGAATCATATTCAATAAGCCGGTCCGTTCGGGGTAGTTAAAGAAGTTTGCGTATTGGGGGTCTCCTCTCCGCCCAGGGCCAATCCAATCCAATCCCCTTTGATGGCTGCCAAATAAATTTGTCTTTCATTTCGTTCAGGGCGCGGTTTCAGTTGGACTTTATGGACGTGAATAAAAGTGCTTTATCGTCCTTTAATGGCCGAGTAAACAGTTGAGTCACGGAATAATTGCAGTGGACATTCGTCAGGCGGTGTCATGTGGATTCGATAGGCCGCTCACGTTCTGTTCTTGTCTTAAAGTGCGGCAACACTTGCTATTTATCATGCGACCCAAGACCCAAATGGATATCCTTTCGGCTCTTTTTTTTGCCTGCCTTAACTGGTATTTTCAGCCTCCGCCCCAAGCCTGGACGCTAGCTGGTGGATACTTGAACTTGAGTATTCGGCACGTTCCGCTTACCGAAACTATAATTTATTTCGCCCGCCAATTGTGGCCAGTTACGGCTTCCGTGTACAGCGATTTACATATACGTGTATTTGTGCAGTGTTTTGCTTTTATTTCTGGGAACGCGTCGATAATTACAAATTACGCCTCGGCCTGATCTTCTCATGATCCGCATCTGAGCTGGTCTCGCTTCTCAGAACGGAGGCTTATCAGCTTGGTGCTGTTTACGGGTCCTCATTCACCCCCCCCCCACACACCATTCCACTCAATTTGTTTTTATGAATTATGCAACTAAGTCTGAAATCGCAATTGGCACAAGCCGGCAGGCAATTGCGCAGTCTGCAAAGGGGAATACTGAATATTCGACGGCAATCTATTGGCTGCAATATGCAGCAGCAGCAGCAGCAGAAGCAGCGGCAGCAGCAGCTTAGCTCCACTACTTATAGACGGGGGATGGATGACTGTGCCAATGGGGCCGTTATCAGGCGGGACGACTTGCTTGATGGATGCTTTAATTACACTTAAGACGGACAATCGGATTCGTGGCGATAATAAATTTGTTGAGGTTTCGTGGGAAACCTTTCAGGGCACCCACAGTCAGTGAGAAAACACAAGTGGCAGCGCGAGGTTCACACACAGAGATCTAGCGGCAAAAGGGCGTCAATTTCATTTCAGAGTATCAATTATCAGGATTATAAGCAAACTCACAATGCAGCAATCCTTGCTGCTGCTGGCGCTGGCCGCCTTCGTCTTTGGGGCGGCAGTTGCCATGCCCCTCAGTGTAGAGGAGTCCGCCGAGAGGGGATCCAGCCTGGAGAGTGAGATGGAGAGTGAGGTGGTGATGGAGATGGAGAAGGTGCTGGCAGAGAGTGTGGAGAGCGAGGAGATAATGAAGACGGGCTGGGATAGCAGCGAAAGCACTGTGCCCAAGACTGTCGTCAAGCGATCACCGGAGGCGGCTGCCAAGGATGCCAGCAGCTCCTCGGAGGAGCATGGAAAGGACAAGGAGAAGGACAAGGCCAAAGACAAGGCAGATAGCTCGGGTGAATCTTCCGAGGAGTTGAAGAAGAAGAAGGAGCAGGAGCAGCCGGCACAGGATCAGCACGAACAAACACAGGAGAGAAAAAGAAGATCCACTGAGGCGGCTGCCAAGGACGCCAGCAGTTCCTCGGAGGAGCATGGAAAGGACAAGGCCAAAGCCAAGGCGGACAGCTCCAGCGAATCTTCCGAGGAGTCGAAAAAAAAGGAGCCACTGGCTGAGCCCGAGCCGGAGAAAAGCAGCAAAAGAAGGCGTCAGACCATCAAGGATCCGCACAGCGTTGAGATTGTCGATTATGAGGGCGATGGAGATGAGGATCCGCTCCATCTGGGCAGTCAGGCTGAGAAGGAGGATGGTGCTGCACCTGCCGTCATTCCACCAGACAACACCAGCATCGAGGACTACGCCCAAGGATGCGAGGTGATGGAGGTGAACTCCAAGGAGGCCAACGAGACAACCTACGTCGAATGAGTCCACAAATTTAGCATAAAGTAGATTTAAATAAACTAGAAAAAGCCCCGAACAGGCGTTTCCAACTTTTGACATTTCTTCGGCTGTGGGGAGCAGCTTATCAGCGCCCGCGCCTGCCCTTATCACGACAACGGCGTCGCCTCAATGTCGTCGCAGCTCAGTGGCGATGATGCGATGTGCCAGTCTGATAAGGGCCTTGTACGTGTGTACTCTTAAAGAGGGTATTGGGACACCCAGCAGAAAGAAGAATGCACTTTTCCATACTCATGGTTTTACATCACCATTCACCAGCAAAAGCTAAATTTATGGCAGTTTCTATCTGTCTGGGAATTTCTATGAGATATTTGTAGCTGTACTCTTGACGTTTCCTTCCATTTAGCAGCAAGCTGTTTGCCAGCTTCTGAGTTGTCAGAGGAACGAGAGCGATCTGCAAGGGTATCTAAGGCTTCGACACACCCGAAGAAAGCTTTCTCGATTGGGTATGGGTATGGGTATTGGTCTCGGGTACGAGTAATCCCTCCATGCCTTCAGCTGTTTTCGTTACTTGGTATTTGGAGCCATTGAAAACTTTGCTCTTTTCTCACCATTTTCCTTTTTGGGGCAACATCCTTTTTGTGAGGGCTGTCTCCTGGTTGTCAGTGCCTGTTGCCTGCCCATTGCCTTTCTGCTGTTGCTTTTGGTGGTCATGTTTCATTTTGCTGTTCATGTTTCGGTTGATAGGGCGCACGTTCTGCTCAGCTCGTTTGTGTTCTGTTTTCGGCTCTGCCAATTTTGTGGGACAACTATTTTGCTCATAATCAAATTTACCATCCGCATGACAATCATCTGTGTCTGTGTAGAGCTCTTTGACGTCACAGCAGCCCACGACATACGAATTTTTTATTGCTCTTTATTTAATTAGCTTTCTCAAATTAAAGTGAAATATTATACACAGAGAAATTCAAGTAATTAAATTGAATACTATGTTTTTAAGCACAAACATAGTGGAATGAGTCAGAATTCAATTTGATTTGAGCATAAATGTATTTTAAAGTATTCTCAATACGGGGCGCATACTTAATCTAATCATAAAACATTTTTAAATAAATAGAATAACTTAATTCAAAATTAATTTAAACATGAAATATATATTAATAGAATATTTTAATATTCATATTTACTATATAATCCATGCTAGGTGGAATGTTAGTACGGGTACTAATGCTTAGATCGACATTTATCGACTTCTGCTATTTCTTCCATCAGCAGCCAGCAGCAGGCGGGCCGCTGGGGATTCAATTAAATAACTGTTAGCCTCACATTCTACACACAAATTGGATGTTCGCTTAGTTCTGCAACCGATGTACATACATATAATCTGCGGGTAAAAAGTGTAGACAAAGAACTCGGCAAAAAGTGCAACATTTTGTGAGGCATCCCAGCTACGCAGCAAAGAGGCAGAGGCGAGAGAGATGGAGAGAGGCAGGAAAAACTAAATGAAATATACTAAAAGGGGAGACGCTGGCGGCCGGGCGGGCGGTCAGGCGATCAGGCCATAAAGAATGAAGAAACAAAAAAAAAACCTGAATGCAGGCACAAAGGAAAACTTCTCGAAAATTATTTTAGTTGCCCGAGTCGTCGTGCAGTGCAGTCGTGTGGAAGTTTTACGGAGAAGCCAGAGCGAAAGAAGAAGGAGCAGGAGAAGGAGGACCAGCGCCAAAGTGTTAATACATTTCTCATAAATATTCGCCAAGCAGGAGGCAATCATTCCGGTAGTATCCGGTGGGCTGCAGGCGATTTCCATTGAAAACGAAATCCGAAATTGCACAATCCGTCTGCACTGCACTGCACCGCTCTGTTGGTTATATAACACGCAGAATTGGAAAAGATTGAAAGTTGCTTATCCGAACAAAGTGGAAAATCTGCGATAAGTCGCCTCTGGCATTTGTGGAAAATGAAAAAGACGCTCGTTTAAAAGCCGGCAAGCCACAAAATACAAATAATATTTTTGCACGGGTGCAATTTTGACAGCAAAAACGAAAACAAGCAAAAGAGCAGCGGCAACTAAAAGAACAGCGATAAAAGTGTTGCAAGCCAAAAGAGCAAGCGAGAGAATAGATAAGAAAAGAGAAGAGAAGAGAAGAGAACAAGTGCCCGCAAGCAAGAGCACAAATTTATAAATAAAAAATAAAATCAGCAGCGCGAGGAAGAGAGTGCCAGTGGAAGACAGCCACAAAAGAGACAGTGAGAGTGAAAGAGTGTGTACGAAAGAGACAGAGAAGAACGCACACAAAGGAGAGACATGCCGGAGCAACTGGGTCTCCAGTGGTCGACGCCGGAGTCAAAGAAAAATGCGCCCATTATCAAGATGTCCTGCGGCATCGGCGACACTGATGGCTTTCCCGCCTTCGATGTCGATTCGGATGCGTATGCCTCCAAGGACGACACCAAATGGGGTTTCCTGGTAACCGGTGGCGCCGAGTTCCACATGCCGCTGACAGTGTTCCAGGTGAGTGGGTCACAGTCTGGGAAACCTACCAGCTGCTGCCCCTGCTTGATGGGGTGCACTTGGGCTACGTTATTGCCCGTACACGAGTATCCGTACCCCATTGCAGAGGGTCTTATGATTTTCCAACAAATTACGGCCAAAACAGAGAAGAAAACGTTACGGAGGCCCACAAAACTTGGCAGCTAGGCATTCAGTCTTGAAGTAATCTTTTTATCAGTCTTGGCAGTCTTTTAAATATATTTTAAACTACGTAATAATACGCTTTAAAACTTTCCAAGTGTATTAATAGCTTCGGTCCTTCGGAGCGAAACTTCGTTAGTTCGTTGTCGATATTTGTTGGTCGAGTGCCAAGAAGCGAAACTCGGAGTCAAATTTGAATTCAAATTAAGCCATGACGAAGTCACATCCAATGTAAATTGAATGGGCTACATACCCCCCCCTAAAAGAGAGAGGCACATTTGATTGTTTCAGCCCGCGTTGGGCGTTCCCCGTTCAGCGTTTTTGGGGGCATCTGCAGCTGCCGTGCCGTGCCACGTTTGGCGTCTCCCCTCCGCCTCTCTTTGGCTCACTTGAGTCAAGTGAATGTACAATATTTGGGTTAACAAAAGGCTGCTTTCTATTCTTTTACATAGTGCATACATGTGCCTCGTACATTGCGCTTCACTCATATAAATCGATTGAGAGACCAAAGTAAATATTTTGTATCTGATATTTCAGATTATAATCATCGATTAGTGTCTTTTCGTATGATTTTCGTAGAATATGGCATGCTCCGTGCTACAGCTATGAAACGCACTGTTCTCATGATAGCCCAAAATATATATTTGTATTGCAACATTTTACTTTTGACGTTTCGCGTTTAGCTTAAAAGAAAAATATATATATATAAATGTTTTGTTTTGTTTTTAATACAATTGAAAAATGGTCCAGCTGGTGGGAGGGTATGCTAGGCCATTTGGGAGGTATGTTACTTGCTCTGAAGATCGATTAAATCCTTAATCAAGTTGCATTTTATGCTTGCAGCAATTATTAATTAATTTGTCCCTAAATAACGTAGTGCCAGGCAAGGGATAAATAAACAATAAACTAGAAGAATACGAATTTTCCTGCTTTAGTAGGCATTTTCCATGGTACGCCACAAGTCGCATTCTAGAAGTGTTTCGTGTCTGCTTTGCCTTCAGCTTCCTTTTTGGTTTTTTCTGGCTGTTTTTATTTTTGAGAGCAGGCATCTGTACATCATATGTACATACGAGTATGCACGTACATGTCATCTGTATCTGTCGTTCTCATATCGCGTATTTCTGCCCCAAAACCTAAACCAGAGACCTAAACTTACGCAGCATTCTGGTCAATTGCGCCCCGACAGTCTTATTGCACGGTTCAAGTGTGTTTGCTCCTCTGATCAGCGGAAAGTCCAAAAGGACTTTTGGACAGTTTCACGATCAAAACTTTAAACTGATTTCGCAGGTAACACCCGATGGTCTGGCTGACAAGGCGGGCATACGTCTGGGCGATATTATACTCGAGATAAACGAAGAGGACGCCACGCAGCTGACGCTGACCCAGGCCCACGACAAAATCAACGCCTCCCCCAAGAAGATACATTTCCGGCTGCGCAAGTAGGTTGCCCCAGATAGTCATCTATGTGTGTGTGTGTGCTGTGTCTGAGTTACTTTTAGGCTCTTTTTAATTATGTAATGACAAAAATAATATGTCTGTGTGCATGTCACCCCACAGCATGGAGGAGGACGATCCCATGGGCCAGTTTGAGGCCGGCGAGGAGAAGTCGATTGTGATGCGAGTGCCAAAGCCGATGCCGCCGCCTAGTGAGTGTTTTCTCTTGGACTAGTCCACTTGCATGACCAACCACCCCAAATCCCGCTCCAGCCACCGCTTACACTTCTTGGTATTCACTTGGATTTGTATATCTATTTTTTGTAGACTTCACCCCAACCCCCCTGCTTGGCTCACGTTGTTGGCATCCGATCATGTGGCAAGACCCGCCCGAGCCGCCAAAGCCCAAGAAAAAGAAAACCAAAACGGAGCTCGATGACGAGGGCAACGAGGTGGTGATTGAACTCAGCGAGGACGAGTCCTCGGACGAGGAGGAGCAGGTGAATCAACACCCACACAATTGCATGCCAACAACATTTGCAAAGCGAAACTAACCCATTCTATCTTCCACCCGCCAACCCCCGCCAATCCGACAATCCGTCAATCCGCCAATCCGTCACCTGTTGCATGTGACAGGAATTGCCACATCACCGCATCATGCGGAACATTCGGCGCTTCTTTTCGGAGGTCGGCGACAATAAGGAGCTGCGCAGCAGCACCATCGAAAATATGCTGTTGGCCCTGCCGAGCGCACCCAAGACCAAGTGAAGAAGCCCCGCCCCCCACGCTACAGTCCCCCTAAAGCCCACTCTATTATGTACATTATTTGGAATTTATTTTGTGTGTGCGTGTGCCTCTGTGTCGTGTCGATTGAATAAAACGAACCCCCAACCGCAACAACAACAACCCCAAACAAAACCCAAAAGTTAAACGAGTGAAAATCCTTTAGCTTTCTTGATGGATTACCCTGCAGGACGCATTGAGGCCAGCTCCATTGAGATGCGACTGCTGGAGATGCAGCGGAAGCTGTCGGCCATTGCCGAAATACCCAAAATTCTGTCCTCCACCCTGGCCACGGTGTCGCAGAGCTTTGGCAGAATGAGCGAGGAGGAGGCACAGGCACAGGCCGCGGCCTATATACAGCGAAAGTGCTCCTACGACGAGGATGCCCTTGACTACGAGCTGAGGAATGGGGGAGACGAGGATCTGGTGGGTGACACTGACACCGACATTGACACTGACACGGACACGGACACGGAGGGTGTTGACAGTGCTGAGGATGATTTGGTACTGGTACAGGTACAGGGCGGTGTGAAGCAATCAAAGCTGCTGAAGGATGTCACCCCGGAATCGGATTATGCATCGGAAGCCAATTACCCGACAAATGATGGAAGCGATGCCAGCGATGACTCCGAGAAGGAGGACCAGGAGGATGTGGAGGGGAGCGCGGCTGGGAATGCGGTGTTCTTTATGAAGCTGCCTGCAGCGTCAGTCGAAGATGCCACCTCCTATCCCAGCAGTGGCTCCGAAACCAACGACGACGGCGACGATGACGATGACAGCGACTTTTTGAGCACCACTTACACATGGAATCTTCGCAACGTGCCCAAGCTGCGCATCAACGATGAGGCTGAGGTAACCGATGAAACCAATGCTAAACTGACGCTGGGCCCGCAACAAGCAGCAGCAGCAGGACGAGGAGCAGCTGAAATCTGTGGCTGACACTTCAAAGGTGCGTCCTGCCACACCCACACCTCAGGCACCGTCGCAGGAGTCGGCCGAGGGGCAGACACAAAAGGTAATGCCAATCATTAGAGTTACGTTAAGCGCTTAATGGCTGATTTCTCACACACACACACACCACACGCAGTTGCTGTTCAAGCTGGACAAGCTGGAGCGCTCCTGGCCCTGGGCAGACCGTGAGAGAATCATATACAAGTGAGTTAGTTGGCTTCGCCAACCGCACCCCCACCCCAACACAGGTCTCTCAACCGTGTCTCTGCAGGCAATCCACATGCCATTTGGTGCCCCGCAAGCCGCTGGGACTGGTCGGACAGCGCATGCAGTTGCTTCTCAAGGCGAAGAAGCAGTAGTCCCGACTCTAGCTTGAGTTCAAAAGGCAGTGCGGAGAGATTGGAGTGTGGAGGCATCCAACTTTTAATTGAGTTCATTATGTAACAACAACAGGAGCAGCACTGACTCAGGCATCAGGCATCAGCCAGAAGGCAGCAGGCAGCAGGCAGCACACTTCAATTAACAGCCACACAGCCGCACACCAGGGCGTATGTGTAACAACTTGATGCAAAGTTATTCGCTCCTGCCACGCACTCACCTCCCTCCGCCCTGTCGATCTTTCGTAATTAAAGTGCACTCCCAGATGCCAAAAAAATGACTGCCAAGCGAAAGTCAAGTTAAAGGAAAACCAAAGCCCAGAGCGAGCCAAGCCAAGCCAAGCAAATGTTATTTTCACTCCTGCTCCTGCTTCTGCTGCTGCTCCACTCTTGGCAAGGCTTGTGCATTATTATGTTGGCCATCTGTTACGTACATTTGAACCAGAAGCACTTATCCCTCAAAACATCTGAACGTGTGCCTCGTTCTTGCCACTCGGGGGCACAGACAATGCGTTTTGTTTGCTGCTTGCTTTCTGTTTCCCTTACACTTGGAATTTATTCAACTTTGTTTAATATTTTCCCCTATTTCTGTAAGTATATTTTGCTAGTAAAGACATTTAAATTTATTCAGGTGTTCTTTTTCTTGGAAACGAATTAAATAATACTGTGAGCACAATTTAGATTGCTGGGAATCGGATTATCTATCGACTAAAAAATGTTAAGTACTTTTTGATGGATGGGGTTTTTTTTTTTACTGATTATTATGTACACTTTGAGCTAAATTTAAGCCACTGGGAAAAGCTTTCCATTATGTTTCCACCTTAAGGAACGCAAATGTCCTTTCTTGGCACCCACTCGTATGTATGTATGTACATTGGTATGGCATACACTCGTTTATTGCTCTTTGCGCAAATGTTTTCCTTCAGAGAAATGCACTTTCAAGGTTGCCAGCACTTAAATTACACAAAAACACAGCTGACACGTAAATTAAGCAGCTCATTTATTTGCCTGTTGCTGCCGCTCTTTTGATCCAGCAGCTGCATGCGATACGACGCCGTGGCTCAGCAGAGCAAATTAAAGCACAGCGAAGAGGAACTTCATGTTTTCTGTGTGCTTTTGAGAGCGCAAATAATCTGCGAACAATGAGTGAGTGCTCACGTGTAGCTGGAACTGATACTTACAGCCGTGAAGCGGCCATAAAATGCCACTTAATGCACCAACTTTACACGGCACAAAAGTTAAATACAGTACAAATAGCGACCACCCACTGACTCGCCGCCATTCGCGTCGTATGCCATTTGCAGTGAAACCACACACACACAGCAACACTCACACACACACACACACAACGGCAACAGGAAATGGCCAAACAAGAGCCACACCGCAGCGGATAGTTCTGTTCTCAATAAATGTCAACAAATGTTGAACAGCAGCGCAGTGGGACCGGACCTGCTCGGCACTGGAATTTCGTGTTTGCACGAGGGGCACTTTGACTGTGATTACCTGTGGGTTGTGCTGTTTTGACGCACTTAAAGCTCTAGGGATGAAAGCCAACACTCGAAAATATACCATTTGACTCTTAGAATTAAAACAGGCAACAGCAAAGAAACTTGAATGCTATAAATGAATGCTCTACTCTTTAAATGTTTTTCTCTTCAACTCAGTTCCGGCTTTAAAATAAACAAACTTTGCAGCCTGCGGAATAGTATTTGCTATGATTATTGTGGAATATTTGAACGAGTTTCGTTGCAATTCTGTGTACTCTATCGAAAAGAGGATTTAAATATAAATGTATTGTTTATATTGACAAATTATTTAGGTGCAATCAGTATTGGTAACTCCAAGTGCTGAAGATATAAAAAGAAATACTTTTCATCCTTGCAGATCAGAATCTTTAAGCTAAGCTAATGCTAAATGTCAACTGAAGATATATTGAAACCAGAAATTGTCTGAAATACAACCATAGCATGTTCGTGTTGTTTTCCTCACAGCAGGACAGCTTGGGCATAGTTCAGTGCCCGTGGCTGGAGAGAGGGCCCACTCATTAAATAAGCATTAGATGCTGCTCCGCATTGTGGCTGTTGATGGCGCGTGGATCCATGAAACAAAAGTCAAAAGTTGACTAATTGGCAAAATAATACAAAGGTTTCTTGGCATAGATACACACATAATTACAATTTTTATTCCATTTAATTATTCCGTACGTACATAGCACACTAAAAGCGATTGCCAGAAAGCTCAGCTTACCACGGAGAGGGACAGAGGCGGGGCAGGAGAGGATGTATGTGGTACACCTAACACTTAACACTTAACACTTAAGACAACAATGATATTTGATATCCACGTTAAAATCTAACACTCATAAATACTCGTACAATAAATATGTGCATGCCCGCATAAGCTGAAATCAATTTCCCAAGGAATGCTTGGGGCAGAGACTTATGACTGTAAACTTAACTGAGGTACTTTGGGTACTTGGGATAAAAGTTGGTGGGCTGCAGGCTGGAGACTGCACCTGGACTCTGGGCGAAATTCATTTCAGCTATGCCTGTCTGGGTAATTAAGATTACTCGATTAATCGATTAGCGTTAGTCGATATTGATGATTTGGTTTAGTTTCAGCTGCTTAAGACTATGAGATGTTGTGGGGGTGTGGTGGGGTGGGGTGGCTATTTCACTTAAAGTGCCTCATCGGCCATCTGTTGATGGCCTGCTGCTCCCTCCATGCGGACAATGACAATGCCCCTGGCATTCGGGCAGGGCTCTCCTGCTGGCATCTCTGCTGCATCTTCCGCTATGGTCGTCATCTGTGTCGGCATTCTGCCGGCGACATCTGCCTCGCCGCCTGCCACGAGCACTGCATCCGCGGCCGGAGCCACACAGGAGGCTGGCTCCCGCTCCTCCATTAGGGGCTGCTGCTGGCGCGAGTTGTCAATGGTTTGCCGGCGCTGCCGGAAGGGGATTCTGTTGCGCCAGCTCTCGAGAAGACTCCAGCTACCCGTCATGCTTTGGCTGCGAGCTCTCTGGTCCTGCGGCTGCTGTTGATGCTGGTGCTGATGGTGTGGTGCCGAGGAGGCGCGTCGCTTGGCCTTGGCCGACAGGTCCTTTAGTCATACCTTCTCCTCGCCGGGCAGGGGCGGTCCACAGCGCACGAACTACAATCAAAAGAACTGAGAATTTGCTATCATGGTGGTTGGCAGGTGGTGGCAACGGTGCGTTTGGTTTTAGTTTTAGTTTCAGTTTTCAGTTTCAATTTCTGTATCTTTATCTTTGTATCTTTTGCATGCGATTATTTTGCATCGTGCAATTGTTAAGAGCCAATATTCTGCAGGTGAATGAAAAGCTGATGTCAGTGTGTTTGTGTGTTTGTGTGTTTGTGTGTGTGTGCATTACTCATACGCGCCGTAACCCGTGGGACAAAATTAATAGAAAATGCTTGAGGCTGAGGTTGGAAGGGGGATAAAAAAAGCGTGACAAGCTTTTAATATAAATCTTACCGAGACCTGAGTGGCTGTGTAGGAGTTGGTCCTCGGCCGATTGCTGAAGCACAGCATCCGCCACTTGCGCTTCACCTGGGCAATCACCTCCCCGTTGAAGAAACAGAATAGTGTGGCCACGCACAGACCCTGCAAGGACACAGAAAGAGAGCAGAAGCAAACGTTAGGGGGAGATGTTTTTCTCGTGCACATTTCGCAGTTGTCCTTTGTCCTTGTTAGAGTTCCGCTACAGCTGGCAGATGGTCCCATAATACAATTTTGTATATTCTCCTCTTATTTCTATCTATCCATTTTGGCTCCCGGACTCAATATTCATTTCAGGCTGCCAGACAGCCTGTTCGTCCGTGGGTTTGTCGAACTGTTTGCCATTTTTCTTCTCCACTTTCCTGCCTGATTGTCGCAGGCGGCCATCCCGCACATACCCATACCCGTATATACTTATGTAAATGTTTAATGTTGCGGCCCGGGTACGTGCATGGACTGCCAGGAGAGGACTTCTGTGGGAACTGTCGGGATTTCTTGTTCGCACTTCTGCTTGGGGCTTCCTTTGATTGCCACTACTCACGAGGGCCCATCATGGACTCAATCAGCCGCAGTTGCCCATTCATTCCAAGGCTTCCAAATTGCTCTACCTTCCACTTCCCCCCACATCGCAGATAACTTCCACTTTTGCTGGCTTTCGGCATATTGCATTGAGGCTCTCTTTGCAGTTACTTACACTTGAAGTGGAATTTTGTGTGGCCCTTAGCCGTTTGCGTTTGTCATTCTGGCATTCGTCATGCACAGAATTTTACCTTAAACGGAACAGAATCCGTTCCTTCAGTATCAAAACTGCTCTCAAAAAGTATCAAAAACCGAGCGACATACACTTAGATTCTTGCTGAAGTTAAAGTCTCTGGCTGAAGGCATTCCTGTAGGGTCGCCCTTTGTCATTCAGATAATATAATCAACTTCCGATGGCTCCTTTCGGATAAGCAAGATGCTCTGCTTGGCAGTGAAATATAGCTAAATAGTTGGCCAAGTAAACCAATTAGCAAAGTAGACAAATTTGTCGGGCAAAAGTCAAGTTCCAGCCGGGAAACTTCAGACCGTGCATACTCTCTCGTATATCACGATGATTTTTGTTGACATCTGTTGTTTGCTGTCCCTGCCAAGCGGAAGTTTTTAATTCAATTTTAGTTAAATGTGTTTTTGTCGCCCATCTGTTAAGCTGAAAATGTCCCAGACATCTCGCCAAGAGCTGGGAGTGGCTTAGGCGACACACTGGGGAAATGTTTTGCAACTGACAAAATGCGAATTGCAGCGAGTTTTCCCCCGCTCCTGCTGTGTGGCCCCAAGAAAAAGCAACTACATAAATAAACGCGCTTACATACATATATAAAATTTCATTTTTGGCCAGGAATCTGCTGGCTTTTTCCAGCACTCCCCTCGACTGCAGCCCCCTCAACCCGACCACCGCACGTGCAGCTGAAATTATTTTGATATTCTTTACGGAGCTTAAAACTTGTGGAAAGTCTTTTACGACTTCAAGCATTCCTACAGCTGCCTGCCACAATAAATCCAAATTATATGCAACCTCAGAGTGCCACAGAGTGCGGAGCGGGTAAAAACTTTGCAATTTGCCGAGCAGATACACCCAGCATGCAACAAAAAATAAGCCAAAGAGCAGAGTGAATGACGGGCGGAAAAGCCACTCACAAGCTGACTTTAAAAAGTCAATCTTTTGAGGGAGAGATTGTGTCAGACAGCCAACAACAACCATCGATTGACATTGATAAAAACGGCTCAGCCAGAGGTGACATTTTTGTTGTACAGATTCCTGCTCAACATTCCATTCTTCGGCTCTTGAAAAAACAACGCCACCGAAGCTTAGGAGGATTTTATATTAATGCCAATGCGAATGGAGTGCTTTTGTTTTAGAGTCAGCCGCCGTTGTGAGCACACAAAAGCAATTCGATTCTTCTATTTGCCTCATCTTATCGGTTGTTACTGTAAGCTGATTTCAATGTTGCATGTGTCTAGAATGCAGTATTTGCCACTAGGCGGACTCGCGATAGAGAGCTCAGTCAGAGGGAAGATTGTAGTCTTATTTGGATTATTGCAGATGCTTGTTCAGTCCGCAGCGAGTATTTGCTCCAATTAAGATACTCAACCATTCTTTTTCGGAAATAATTCTACACCCGAGGGTCTTACACAAGGGTATAAAAGGTACCTATAATCCTCATGGTAGGTTTCATAGCAATGAAAGTTGTTTTCGTTTGCTTCTCGTTTCGTGTTGACCATAAGGCCAGCGGATAACGTTCCGAAAGCTCTGCGATTCGCAACTGAAATTGTTTGCAATTGCAATACGGGAACCCAACTAATGAGGCAAATGTATCAGAGAGCAGACTGAAAGCAGTAATCTCTGGTGCTCTTCAATGTTAATCGTTAATAAATGCTGTTTTACGTCCCATTGAGAGACAATCTTGGGGGGTTATTTGTATTTCTATGCGATCCAACCGGGAATGCATTTTAAACGAATTTTTGCTGGCTGGCAACGGCAGCAGGAGCAGCAGGATGTCTCAATCTCTGCCAGAAATTTAATATGCTGCAGCTGGTGAAAATGCCAAAGGAGGAATTTCCGCATTTCCATATGCTTGCTCTGTCTTCCCCTATTGATTTTCAGTCCTCCCCGCCCCCTCTAATGAGCTGGGTCCATGGCATATTAGTAATTCCTGCCTGAAGCCATGCCCGAGTTGGCTTATTTGCATTCCCAATCTTTTGCTGTGGCCATGGAGTCGCCGATCCATGGCTAACCCACGGGACTGAACTGAAGACTGAACTAAATTCAGAACATAACTTTTTGGCTTAAATTCGCAGTCGTAAAATGATTTTATGAATGCCAGAAAAACAAAAGCAGCCGGAAAAGGCGCTAACAAGAATGGGAATGGGAAAACATTTTACTTACTTGGAATGAGGCCGTAAACGCTGAGATGATTTCGTATGTATTCTCCCAGGGATGTCCTGGCGCAGGACGGAACGGGGTGACGATATACTGGAGGCCAAGCAGCGGGACAAGTAGTAGCGTGGCCCTGCAGGAGCAAAACGGAGCGATGTATAAAGCCTTGGTCTTTTTTGTTCGTCTCTCGTCGGCAATGGAATGGAGGTATTAACATGCAAGCCAACGCGACGCGGCGCGGCGCGGCGTATGCGTAATTTAAAATGTAAAATGAGGCAAACTTCCAAGTGCAAAACGAATAAGCAATAAGAGAGCAGAGCTCACAGGCAGTGAGGGGAGGGGATGGGCTCCACTCCAAGTAAATAAAAAAGTGAAGGAAAACATAATTACGCATACGCCCCGAGGGCTAGCGGTACGTCGAGTCGCGTCTTCCCGCTTTGTTTTCAGCGTTTCTCTTCGCCCCGTTTATCCAACAAAATGAGCAAAAAAAAACCTACCGAAACGCCTGCAGGACTGTCCGCGATGGACCGCAGCTGCCCTGGATGCTGGCCGGGGCATTTAGCTTGAGCAGCACCACGCGCACAATGTTGCACAGGAACAGCAGATTGAGGAACATCGATATGCAAACGGGCACCACCAGAATGTTGTCGTAGTCAGTGGGGCTCATCCAGCAGCTGCAAGAGTGGAAGGGGAAGGGGAAGGGGAAGGAAGAGTCGATTCAATTATCGATGATTTGATGGAACAAATGGAACGGGCTAACCAGCACACTCATCATTCATTCACTTACTGTATCTTCTGGTCGGTGGAGCCGCCCAGACCACGGGCCAGGCTGTAAACGAATATGACGACGGCCGGCGAGCCCCAGCCGAAGGCGATCAGCCATTTGACAAGCCTCTTCTCGGAAATGAACGCGGACACCAGCACTGTGTGCAGATAGAAGCCCTCGCACAGCATCCACGAGTAGTTGGTCAGCAGGAAGTAGTGCAGGTTGATGTGCAGGGCCACGCAGCGGGCCTGGAAAAGACACAAAAGCAGTTAATATGCAGACATTGGTTGGTGGTGGGGGTCGGTGCCAGCTTACCGGACTGTCCTGCAGCAGCTCCGTGTTGGGCATAACCATCAGATACCAGAGCAGCCACAGCGAGTTGTTGGCCGCAAACGAGGCGAACAGATTCATGTGCAGCGTGATGCGGGCGCATTTCAGTGTTCTGTGCAAGAGAACAGAAATATTTGAATAAATCAGCATAGGCATCAGCATCAGCAGTTATTCGACTGGAATTGGAATTGGCCCAAAATTCAGTTTTCATCTTCAATTCTTAGTTTTTGAATTTTGCACTTCGCCTGCTAGGAGGGGACTGAGGAGGGGGAAAAAAGCAAAGTTCATCTATAGCTGCCAGCCAAAATAAATGTATTCGTTGTCATTCTCAATTGCTTGCCTGCATTTCAATGCAACAGTCCTTTTTAGTCCCAGAGGAATTTTAGTAGTTGAACCCATGCCACATGGGCTCTGCCACGCAGAGAAAATTGGCAAAGAAAAAAGAAGCACACCCTTAGCCATACCCAACCTTAGGCTAGGTTTTATTTCATTTGTTTTATATTGTTTTTATTTTATGACTAACTGCATAAATAATCCTATCGGCAGAGGGGCACCCAATCAAACTTCTTGCAGCTTGTAGCGAACTTTTCTATCGATTATCCTGCCAATGGCACATTTGTGGTTTATCCTTTCAATTCATTGATTTCCCTACAAATTTTTAATTGAAATTCCTGGAGTTTTTCATTAAAGTTTGGTTCTCTGCGTTCGTTTGGTAATTAACTTTTAATTCTCCCACTTTAGGGCAGCTGAAATTCTCACACGTCGTTGGCCCTCGTTCCTTTGGCTTTGGCACACAATTTAAAACACTTTTAGCCATTGCGTCCTCCTCTGTCTGTCATCTTCTGTGTCTCCATCTCCATCTCCATTTCTATCTCCACGTTTATCTGCCCGAGCTGATGGCAAACAAAACGAAAGAACTAATTGTGCTGCAGACACTACAGGGAAATTAATCGATATCCTGCTTGAAGTCGACACAATTCAGTTTGATGGATTCGCAGACAGATAGAAACAGAGACACGGACAGAGAGAGAGAGAGAGAGATAGGGAGAGATGGAAAAGGGGATGAATGAGCGAGAAGAAGACGAAGTATTTTCTCATTTCCGACACCAATTGTTCCGTTTTAAGTGAGTACAATGAACATTTGCTACAGGAGCCACAGCCTCAGGCTCACAGATGATTAAGTCATTGGCGCATTTGTTTGCCAGTACATTTCTTTTTTTGTGTGGCGCCAACAGTCCAGCGCCCAGTCATGCCATAACCGGAAACGGCAATGACAACGGCAATGTCAACGGCAGGAGTAGTACCTCATTAGCCCTGAGTGGTTTTCCATGCTGTGACATTAAAGTTGGGGCAAATGCAAAGATGAAGGAGGTTTGCATTGGAAATGTTGTGGGGGATGAGGATGAACTGTGGCTTACTTACTTGAAATAGCCGAGTATGGCCAGCGAGAGTAGGATGGCCAGAAGAGAGATGCCGTAGCCGACCTCATAGATCAGATTCACGTTGTGCTTCCACTGCGGAGCGGGGTTAGTGCATTTGCTGATTTATCAGGCTGTTGTCAGTAAATCAAGTGGATGGAACTCACCTCGAGGTCATCGAGATTCACGCAGGTCGTGTAGTTCGACCAGGTCTTGTTATTCAGCGGATGCTTGAACCACTCCCCATCGCTGCCGCACTCCTTGTGCGCATATCCTGCGGCATAGAAACGAATAAAGGATTAATTTTGTTGACACAAAGACAATACATACTAAAGTACTGCACATATTTCTACGTATATTAAATGCAAACAGTCCCGGGAACTGGGAAACTTTTGGGGCTCCATCCTCGTAAAACAATACAATTTCCCCAGCTTATAAAAGTTGTCGCCTACGCAGTGCATGCAGCAGATAAATATTTGCAATCAATAAATATTTGCTGTTCTTGGATAAATATTGCAGACTCTCAGGAATTTCGTGTGCATTTCCAGTGCTTTGTAGCAACAAAAGTACACTCAGAGAATACCTATCCAGGTTTAAATTAATCATTCGGGTTTTAAATACAAACATAGTTAAATTAAATTTAATTAACTTTGATTGAAGCATAAATATAAATAGAATAAATACAATTTGTGGGTTACATATTTAAACTGTTTCGAATCTAAGTGCAAATCTTCGAGTCTCAGTGCTTTTTTCTCTGGGTGTACTTTTGTGCATCAAATAGCATTAATCAGTACAGAGAACTGGCAGACCACAATCCAATTTATATTTAGGATTATGGCCAACACTGAGTAAATGCCAATGGATTATGTTATGTTTACCTTTATTTGTGAAAGGGAAATATTTCAATTGATTTGTAAACAAAAATCAAATACAGAATTTGTGACATAATATTTTGGTTTTGCTTGTGGCATGTGTGGCACAGTCAATGAAGGAATTTTATTGGCTGTTCGATGACCAATCCCATTGCCACTTGTTGTGGGAAGTGCAGCCAGGAACTGGAATGCAGTTGTAACTCTGTTAAAGCCGGAAAGGAATTTTCAAATTGGATTTTTTGTCTGTGTTTTCTTCTGGTATTTTGTTCGCTTTGTTCTTATACGAGATGATCTTTGGCCAAGCTCATTTATTGCCAGTTGTCACGTATACGCTCCGCTCCGTGTGGCAGATAAGTAGCTGCTGCCACAGAGCACGGCTCGGCTCGGTTTGGTCTGGTTTGGTTCGACTAAGCGCAGCACCACATCGACATCCGTCGACCGGAAGTGCCATAAAAGTTAATGGCGACGCAGTGCCAGAGCACATAATCTTGTACGAGCTGGCGGCGACCCCGGAAGGCGTGGCAGAGTGTCGGTCGGGGCAGGGCAACCACAGGCTAAATGTAGCGAAAGTGGCACTTTCCTTACCCTCTGCCTCTTGGCCTTTGACTGGTTTCCTACACTGCCCTTGTTTTTTTTTGACACAGCCACAAAAAAAGTCATTCAACTTTTGCTATTTTAGTGTTGTCCTGGTCACGGCCACAGTGGGAGGTCTGGTGTGGGAGGTGTGGGTGGCTTGTGGCATGTCGCATGTTCTTCGCTCGCCCCATGTTACACAGTCGCGATAAATGCAAATTGACATGCAGCGCACGGCAAATGATTTATTTCCATAAATTGCTTAAAATATTTATACACATTTTCCTATATTCATTATTCAAGTTAATTTTCCTCTAGACTCTTCATTTCTTTTTTGATTTTTCAATTTGTTTTTTAATTTTTTTCCCGTTATTTTCTTGTTTGTAATGTTCGAGCCAATTATCATTCGGCCATGCATAATGTGTGCATAATTAATTTGTTTTTCTATCGAGAGCTGTTCGCTTGAAAACGCCTCAATGATTCATGAACCACTCATTATCTAATTAATTATTAAACTGCCAGACACATGTGAATGATACGTGCAACCGCTGCCATCTCGGAGCCTCTTCTAATGGTTCAGAAATGAGTTGACAAAACTATTTCGGTTTGAAGGATTCTTTTCTCTAATACGTATTCTGTTGTATCATCAGGGGACCAGGACCTTTTTATGTGTGCTCATAAAACTCGCTTTGCATTAAAGAGCAACTCACATATTTAAAGCTGGTAATGTCAGCTCTGCTGCGCCCCACTTTAAATTTCTCTCAGTTATCCGACTCCACTTCAGCTCCACTTAGAAGCCACACACACACACACCACACACACACATAATTGAATGCCCTCTGAGAGCCCTGTTTATTTGGTTGGCAAATCAGGCGAAAACTTTTTAGCATTTTTCTCCTGCTTCTCCTGCTGGATAATTTAGTGGCCCCAGGAGCTGAGACTTTGGCTCCTCAAGCCAGAAATTATGTTGCCATACGACGACGCACGAAATCAAAGCACAAACATAACAACTTTCCAATTGATTTGTCCTGGCTGGGAGCGTATACACATAAACTCGTATTCTGTTTTATTCATATGCATATAAATCTGCAGATGAGCTGTGTCCTGGAAGGAATAAGGCCGGGAAGAGAGAGCGCTCAGGTTGGAGGCCAATTAGAGGGCTGCCGTGTGTCTCATTCCACCGGTGAACGAGGCTGCTTGCGCAAACAAATTTCCGTCGGCAGTTTCGGCTTTCGGCTTTCTGTTTCGTTTTCGGTTTTTTTTTCTCTGTCATATGCAGAACCTCGAGCTGACCCCAAAAACGGATGTTCCTTTGTGGAACTTAACAAACAACCATCCAGCTGCCCCGCCCAGTCCGCCTGGTGGGCTGTACTTACGTGTTGGATCGAAGCCCGTGATGAAGTCGGGGCAGAGCTCGTAGGCGGATGTGCCGGCGGCCGTATCCGGCCAGCAAAGCCAGCCATCAAAGGTACCTGGACAGAAAAGGCCGGGAACGGTAACGGGTCCGGGTCCGGCTGCGGGTGCGGAGTTGGGTCCTGAGCCATCGCAGGGTACGGAGGGATATTAAGTTTAAAATTACTCATGAATAATGGACACGAAAATTGCAGTTTGAAATACTCACCCAGCAGATGGCTGCTGCTCCCATTCAGGCGGGCATTGCACGCGGCGCGAAGTGCATCGAAGTCCGGGCCGCTTTCTGCGGCACTTTCAGCAATCGCTGCAGTGCTGCCACTGCCACTGCTGCCACTGCTGCTGCTGCTGTTGCTGTTTTGCTCACTCATCGCTGCATGCAACTGGAGTTGCGTCGGCTGAAAAGTTGCAAATATGTGTGTTACGTGCGTCCATCAAATTGCTTTTGAAAATCTCATAAATGTTTCCAACAAAATGCATGTGGTTGTGCCACCCGCCGCCCTTACAAGCATTTTGCGTTTTGCAGTCCGTTTGCATTGCAATTTAATTGGTTTTCCAACTGCTAGATTGCAGTGCGTTTCACAGACTTAAGTCAATTGCTTAAAGCAGGGAAACAGTTATTATTTGTACTGCTCGTTTGTTTTTGTTTTGGCTCTTCTTTCATCCCCTAGAATGGCGGGTCTCTGCTTTCTTTTGCTTGCTATTCCATAAATAATAATTATTTATTTCCCCTCTTTACCATTTGGCTCCCATTTGGGAGACTTAAAGACTTAAATATTTGGAACATTAGGATAAAACCAGGAGTGTCATTCAGTGGTATTGAGTCGTGAGCTTTCTTCTCTTTATCTATTGAAATTATTTATTGCTTATTTAAGCAATCGATTGATTTATTTCGATGAAAAATAACGATCAAGACCGACTTAAAGTGCCGTTACGGACTGTATTTTCCACACACATGTACTTTATCTACTATTCCCATTTAATTTGCTGGCGGGCGATTTTCATGGAAATATTAAAATGGTCAGCCTGTAAGCAGGCGGGGGATCAGCAGAGGTATGGAGAGAGCTGGCTGGAGTTTATTGAACTGAAATCCGCCAGTGAACCATATCTGGTCAGTATCACTGTAAAAGAAATTCAAATTTTGTCACCCGAAAATCAACAAATGAAGCTCAGGCTCTGTACCAACCCCGACATTGCTTTGTTTTTGTGCAGTTGCTATGCAAACCAAAAGAGGGGGGGCCTTGTGCCAACATAGGCTAACATTTGCTCAACAGGAGGTGTTGCTGCGGCTGGTCCTGCCGCAAACCGATGTATGCACTGAGGCTGAAACAAACAATGGCCCAACCGATGGCCAGCCCACAGCAGCCAGCCCTTTTAGTAGAGATGTTTGATTGCGAGAGGGGCAGAAGTGCCGAATGAAATCCCAGCAGCAATCAGGCGTGTCCGCATGATATGACTAGCAGCAGGAGACACTGTGCCACACTCAATTGAGTCCCCAAAAAGCACACACTCCTCCACTTCTCCACTCTTCCACTCACACTCATGCGCTCTATGGGTGACTGTAAAGCTTACCGTTTAGGCAAATTGCTGACTGCACTTAAAATCAGATGCGACAACTGTACATCCGAAGTACCGTATTCTGAACGAACAACATGCATATAATATGAAATTGCAAATTGTTCGAGCACCAAAGGAGGGTGAAGCTGAATGCACTCTCCAGTGGGTGCACAACACTTTCGCTGGCATCGATCTAAAAGCATTTTTATGACAGCTGCCACAAGAGTTTTCGACCTCCCACCAACCACCCTCTATCCCCCCGGCTATTGTGGCACAGGGATAAATAATAAGAGTTTTATATTTATTACACAAATTACATGAAATCACATCACATCACTCAACACTGCTCCTCAGTTCTGTTTGGGGACTTCACTCATCTGAAGGTATTTTCAGTTTAATGCCAAAGCTGAGCAGACAAATTTGGTTATTAACTGGCTATAGCCATAAAAAAGATGTCGAGAGAGAGAGAGCGGGAGAGTGAGCGGAGGAGGGTAAGGTAAGGGCAAGGTTCCACTTAAATTTAACGATGCTATGCTACCTGAGCCATTGACTTGGCCCAGTGCTCCAGTGATCTAATGAATGAGCTATTTGTTCGATTGGCATGTGCAATAATATGGCAGAAAGTTTGGGGGAAACATAATTGATGAACTGACAGCAAGTGATACAAGTAGAAAGCGTTACTCTGAATAGCTACGAGTATTAACGTTTTTTGATGGAAAATTGCGACGGATAATATTGCGTAGCATACTTTCTAGCTGGTAGAAGCCGCCTTACATGAAGGGGCGTGGCACTCACACATACTGTGCTGGGTGTGGGGCGCCCTTCTGTGACCATAAAAATATTTTACGACAATGCGCGAAACTCACGCAAAACGTTGGCAATAACAGAAATTAGCAATAAAAACCAAAAAAAAAACGTGCGTAAAGTGCCATAGGCGAAAAATAGCCGGGAAAAAAGTTGCTGCAAGATATCGTAGAGCTGCGGAGGGGGAGTGGGGTTGGATATAGAAGTGGGAGGGATGTGGTGCGTTAAGTAAGCTTGACTCGACTTTGACTCCAACCCCCCCACCACGTGCTAATGTCCGATGCGAGGGAATCCGTAAATTGCATTTGATAAAAGCGAACGAGAGGAAACTGCAATAAAAACAGCGCCCAAGTAGCAGGGGGAAAAAGAGAGGCAGAGCAGACTCGTAAAACGGGAAAATGTATTTCACTGTACTGCCGTGTGTGTGTGTGTGTGTGTGTGGTACACCGTTACATGTGTTACGGCATCTATTTTAGCACTCAGCTGTGAAGTGCCGTGGACCGCACAACGCATTGTGAAAAACTCTGCACGGAAAATGTTTTCGATGCTGACGGATCGCCGTCAGTTGTGTTGTATGAAAACAAAAAAAAAGAACGAAGCCAAGCGAAATTGTGCCGTCTGCATATGTCACGATGTTTCACCCCCCCGGCCCCACACGATGGTTTTTCCTCTTTGTGTGTGTGTGTGTGTGTGCATGGACCCACACGACGTATGAGTAATGAAATGTTTGTTTGCTGATTTCCAATTCGCTGGCTGTCAAAAAGCTGAATCGAAGTTCAGAGCTCAGCGGTACGGAACCGAGCACCAGGTACAGTATTGCATCGCATCGCTATGCTATGTAGTGGCGTTTATTTGTTTTTATATTTAAACATCCATTTATTAGGCACATAAATCATCATAGGGCCGAACCCTGTGGCATCCACATATCTGCACTTCCCTTTTGCGGAGAGCTCTGGATCTTCCGTTGATTTATGCGGAAATTTCTCTTTGATTTCTGTTGGCCGTTTTTAAACAAACAACAACAGCATCAATTATTCATTTGAAAGAACTGCGGGGGCTGGGGCTGGGGCTGAGGCCCCTATAAAGTGCCAAATGAAAGCGGCCAAATAGAGCATAAATCAAAATTTGGTATGCCTTAACAGTTCGCGTTGAAATCGCTTTAAATGGCATTTCGTTCGAATTTCATCTAGTAGCTCTCCACGGCTCCAATTTACGGTTGGTGGGATTTGGCTGGAGAGCTTTTAGCATTTTTAAAAATATTGCCATTCCCATGGCATATGTCTAAAAAAATATTTGTGTAGTGCCTGACAGCTGCGCCCCACACTCCCCCCCCAGCTTCAGCCATGGCGCAAATAGTTGGATATTCATTCAGAGATTTCACTGAAACGATGCATTGAAACGTTTTCCGATTTTTGCCGCTTTTGTTGCAAATGAAATAACGGAGCAGAAGGGCTTCCAATTTCTGTTTCTGTTGTGGATTACGGCAAGAGTCGGTCGCTGGGCTTATAAATGGAAAATACCCTTGATTGAGGTGCCCATTTTGGATTTCGTGGAAGCGTTTTTACGGGTTGTATTCATTGTTCGAAAAGGACCAAAGCGTTGCAAGGAACATAAAAATGGATTAACACGTTTCGTTTGAAGGAAGTTGGGAAATTAAATTGATTTATTCATTGGACTATAGGTAAAAGGATATAAAAACAAAGGATTTTATTTGAAAACAGTCAAGTATTCATCTAGCCCAGGAAGAGATTTATTCATAAACGTATTCAGTTCGTTTGACGCTTGATTGAATCTACTATTTTTTTTATTGAAGTCGCATTTGAGCCCATTGGAGTTCCGAGAATCTTTTGTTGTCCGACTGAAAGTCTCCTGCGGTGCGATTTGAGTGCACTTTCTGCTGATTTATCTAGTGAGTGCACTGGGAAGTAGCTCATATTTCAAATAAATACAAACTGTAAACAAGGAATAGCTCAACAGAGAGGGCGGAATCCCTAGAAAATTACAGAACACCCGCCCCGCCAGCAGTGATGGTATTTGCAATGGCCTTTATGCGCTTGCCTGCGTGGGTGTATCTGTGTGCGTCCACGTATCCCTCTGTGTTGGAGTGTGAGTGTGCGTGGGTGAGCAGTATCTAATAGCTGGCGAGAGCCATAAAAAATGTTGTTGCAGATTACGAGTACAAGCGGTTTATGGTATATATTTTCCGCACACTTTCCAGTCGCCTCCAGATTTAAAACAGCGTCAAAGCCGAGTCCTAATGGATTGGAATAATTTATAAAAACGGCCACACAAAAATCCTACCAAAAAAAAAAAACCCCTACTAAGAAGGGAAAGCCAGAGATGAGGCCTTAACCTAGTCAGCCGGGAAAATGAAGTTTTAAACGCCCCGAGTCCTGCATTGCTGGGTCTGGGGGTCTAGGGCCTTGTGCCACACTCTTGCTTTGTCTTTATGGGCCTCCCGATGCTGGCATGTTCATCTTTTGCCCCCAAAAAACCCCTTCACCCTCAAGCCGACCGTTGTCCTGCTCTCGTTGCGGCAAGGCCCAAGGTTCGTGGCTTCTCAGCTCAGCTTGGCTTAAGCTGGGGCAGTGGCCTCTAAAATGAAAAACGTGCCACACGTGTTAAATGCCTCGTTCTCGTTTCCTCTCAGCAACAATTGCACAATTTGTTCGCATGCAAATTTGCATATTTCTGGGGCAAGGTGGTGCTTCAGAGCACCCAATGGAGAGCAGAATACGGGGGAGGGAATGGACTTTGCTGGCTGTTATTTGTTCTTTTAAGAATGTCTTGCGGTCTACTCAGATGTGCTTACCGAAGCCAGACGCCACACATGTCCAGAGCAAAAAAAGTCGCTTCGAAGATTCCGATACCCTGCAGGATTGTATTCATCTTTCTTATAGATTAAATATTGGCTGTATTTTGGCTGGAAGTTAATATATATTCAAAAGCAGAACAGTGCCAAATAATACCCATGAATGGCTTGTGCTGTGGCCAAAATCAGAATACCTCTGGATGGGTATTACGATAAGAGTAGCTGCTCAAAGCCACATTTCGTGCGCTGGATCCTTTTCAAAGTGTGACAGTCTTGGCAACAAGCAATAACAACCCCCCACACCAACAGCCCCAGCCCCAGCCACCCCATCTCTTTGCCTTTATTTAACTTTGTCATTTGGCCAAAGCCAGAGCTGGCCCCAAAAGAAAACGAGAACATTTTTTTTTATTTTAACGGCGCTTATTTGTTGTTGCTGCTTATGTACTCGTACTTTGATTTTAGCAACTTTTCCCCAAACTGCGGCAAATTCACTTTCCCTTATTCGTTCTCGGGGTTTCTGCGATTGTGGGGCGGGGCTGAAGAGCACATTTCTTTTATAAGTAATGCCAATTGTTTTTGCTTGGTGGGGCAGGCTCTTCAAGTAATGCCAACAATAATTTCATTCGAGGCGTGCCTCACACAAAATTTGATTATATTTATTTCATGTTTTCTTGTTTGTTGCTAGGATACAAGATTTTCCCAAAAATATTTTGTATGCCCGCTAGAGAGCGGGGGAAGGTGGAGAGTAAGCTGGGTTTAATTAAAAACAAAAAGAGCCAGCCAATCCATTTTGTTGAAGTTCTAGCAGTTGCTTAGAAATAAAAATCTGATTTCTCAGCCAGAGGGAATTTTCCAGGAATGCCTTTGCCCAGTTTCAGGTTAGTTTTCGGGCAACACCCATGCTTTTCAATTAGGCAGAGCATTTGCAAAAGTGTCCTAGAACCTTTCTAATTTGGATTTACACAGATGGGCCTGAAACCGGACCGAAAAGGTGGCAATTAGGCACTGCAGAATAAAATGCCCAGAACGAATGCGAGAACAGAAACCAATTAATTCGCATTGATTTTAATTGAATCCAATTACAAATCCAGAAAATATATTGACAGATTTGAAAGCCATTCGAATGGATGGGTAACCTTGTTGCATTTATTTAAGCTTCAAGCTCAGATCGTTCTTTATGAAATATATCCAAACACATTGGTACAGAATTATCCTGAAGTAATTTGTGTGTGTTTTTTCCACACATCATCCTTTAATTATTGAGAATTGTTCATTGGCTTTCTTGGCAGTCTTGATTTGCCCTTGTGGCAGTGTTAATTGTTATTTATGATTGCCCATTGACACCGCGGTCCAATTAATTCAAAAGCCACTCAGATTTCCCCTCTGCCCGCTCGTCCTGCCGAAAAATTCGCCGCCCAAATTAGCCGTGGAATTATTGCTTTCAGGGCACGCGGCAGTCAACAAAAATTATTTGGCCTGCTCACGCACTTTCACTTCCTTCCGGGCCGGGCCGGGCCGGGCCGACTTCGAGACGAGCACAATTCATATCAATAACATTGTTCTGGCGTGGATGCCTTCACTTCCCCGCTTGTACGTGTAATACGAGAATATTGGCAACACAAATTGGCTTTGGCAGCGCACTTTTCACATTTCATATCAGACATTTTCCGCACGTTTCGCTGAGTTTTGTTTAAAATGTGTTTACAATTGACTAAACCCGGTCCAAAGACATGCCACGCCACGGCGCGCCGCGGCGAGGCAACTGTCAGCTGCCTAAGTCGAATTTTGTTGCCCCCGTCACCTTGTCCATCTTTTCAATTTCTATACCCATTCAGAGTTCCTCCACCTTTGGCTGTCAGCCAGTCAGCCAGTCAGCCGTTAATGGCGGGGAGGAGAGGCTGTTTGATTTTCATATTCCATTTCATTTGCAATTTACTTTGCGCTCAGACAATTGTGGCTCCTTTCATATGGAAATGGAAATGTCTGGTTGCTGGTTCTTTTGTTGTTCCTATTGCTGTTGTTGCTGTATCTTTGGCCTTTTGCTATTTCGTTAGCGATAGCTATCTCTGTTCATTAGTGCTTTGGGTTCGTCTTTTGTTTCTTCTTCGATACTCGTAACCACTTTTTGAATGATTCTACGATAATTCAAACCTATGTACATGTAGGACTACATACATACACATGTACAAATATATGTCTTCTGCTGTTATTGTTGCCTCTTCCTATGTTTGTTTGGTGGTCTCTGTTATTGTTGCTGCTGTTACATATTTGTGTGCCTCAGCTTGTGTGCGACTTGTGTTGTTGATGGTGTTGCTGCTGTAACTACGAGTACAGCAGCTATCTTGGATGCCTTTGTGGCAGCTGCTATTTCAATTGCCGCTTCCTCGAGCATGTACTCCTGTCTGTTGCTTTGTTGCTGGTGGCTCGTCTGACTTGACATTTCCACATTTCGTCGTGCGGCCCCCTTGCATGCATAATGGTCGAACAATAGTCGCCGTGGTTCAATAATTCTCAGAGAATGAATGTGTTTGAGTTGCTCTCAATTCCAAAAAGTTTGCGCCAGCTCGGACAAAGGAAAAGATCGCGCTGCGGGTCAGAACTTTTCCCTGGGCTTTTGTTGTCTGATTTGAATTTATTTATTTTTGTGATTTATTGCTATTTGATGTAGCGTAATTTTGTAACAATCTCAAGACGATTAAAGTCGAGTCGGGAAACGGACACCCTGGCCATGCCTCGCCCTCGAGGTTGACATAGCTCCTCCTTGTAATTTCTTGTCATGTCAGGCCAAAGTTTTTAATTAAAATCACTAAAGTTGAGCGGCCCAAGTGCCGCTGAAGTGGTGGCCAACTGATCGGAATGGTTCGGAGCTGGTCCGGGGCCAAACTATCGGGCACCGGTTCGAGCTGAATCTAATCAGAATCAATGGACAGAAAACGAACTGCGTCAATCGCAGACAGCTGGATTTAGTCTGTCCGGACTGCTCTGTGCCGTATCAAATATTAATTAAATGTATCTTTGAGATACAGATAGGAGTAAGGAGCGGCAGTGGCAGTGGCAGTGGCGCGTGCTAAATGTAAACTTTTTGCGACTTGTTGCGCTCCCCCCTTTCCATTCCTTTCCTTTCCTTATTCTTCTTCTATTTATTTCTTTATTTTTCTTTATCTTCCCACCCCCTGCCGAGGTCAGATCATAAACTTTGCCCCACCAGTTGCCAACTTTTCGTTGTTAATGGAAACTCGCTGGTGTAAGTAGTTGGCCAAAGAAGCTTCAGCTGTGCGGGTGCCGGCTGCTAATCAAGTTCAACTTATTCGGTTAATTAATTCAGTTGTAGTGCAGTTTTTGTGGCTCGAACATCTAGTTGGCCCTCTTGTCTGATGCCTGTTATTTAATTAGGCTTCGGTTGACAACGACGACGCCGACATGAGCATAAATCTGCGTGCCAAACAAATGATTCTGTTTGTGTGCGCTCCCCACAAATGTATCTGCCAGATACAATCAGACTGCCATTACAGGGCGAGCATGCGTGCTCCTGGTGCCTAGTGCCTGGTGCCTGGTGCCTTGTGCCTTGTGCTTGGGGCTCCTCTTGTTTGCCGGCCAAGCCACTCCCTTCGGGCCACATTGTGTTCTTGTCATTTAGTGCTTATCTGATTTGCCTTTTCGCCCACAGGCTACAGAACACTGAACACAGGCCACAGCAGTGGCATGGAGACCAAGTCCGTTGCAAGTCAGTTTCAACGGAACTGCTGGCAGCCTTTGGTTTCGTGGGCTATCGGCAACTGCTTTGATTGCACGCCTCGCAGCCAATTAAAATGATGTTGCCAATTTATCGCCGCAGTCAAAGTTGCCCAACCAACTGTCCACCGACGGATAATTTCAGTAAACTTTTCCAGAAGTTATATCCCCCCCCCCTGGGCCACTGGGATGGCGGGTGGCCCAGATAAATCTCAGCTCTTGTGCATTCCTATGGGGAGCAAACAGACAGAGGAATTTCCTATGCATTTAGCAAATTATGGAAATTATGGCAATATCTCTCTCTGCGACCCGGATAAGCAACGCAATTGGGAAGTTTGTCGTTCGTCTGGCTGTATTATTTTGCATATTTCATGCTGCATGCAACAACAAATGGCAACTGGGTTAACCGAATGCAACAAGCGCTCTCAGCCACAACATGTTCGGGACTGGATTGCTTATGAGCCAGGGATATGCAGGCATCCTGCTTCCGTGCATGTGAAATTCAGCAATTTGGGATATTCCTGCGATAGAGATAATCCAATTATAAAGATGGAAACGGAGAGCATAGTTTAGATTAGCCTGCCACCTACTTTTTCCAATTCCAAAATAAAGATTGTCGCTCCGAGAGGAATGAATATTTAAGTTCTCTGTGTAATGGATATCTTTTAGGGGGGAGGGTGGAAACAAGCACTCCAACTGTATACTTAAAAGTGTACAAGTGTGGTGGTATCGAAGCAGCAAAGCATTCAGTCGCTACTCAATTAGACACGAATGAAGGAAATGCCCAGACACTTGCGTATTCAACACAATTCACACTCAATTTGGCTGGAACGCTGAGTGGGAGCACTGAGTGGGAGCGATGAGTGGGTGGACTGAGTGTGAACGCTGAGTGGGAGTGGACAAACAAAACCCTTGAGAAGGAACAGGAGAAGCATATTCAAAAACACGCCAGTGGATGGCCGAGCCGTCTAAAAGGAAAGCGAAATGCCGAAATGAATTTTCAGACAGTGAATTATGCTTTCCTTCGCAACCTATTCCCCATTCTATTTAATGGCTTGTGGCGGTGCCTTAATTACCTGCAATTTGGTAGCCCCAAAAGTCTACAACGTGGGAAAATACAACAAAGGCGGCACTCAAGGAGGCAGCTTCTTCAATAAAGGCTTTTAATTTGGTCGGAATTGGGTACAAGGACTCTGCTTAATGCATGGATTTTTTTTTCAACTCTTTTTCGCTGTATATTTTTTAGCTTTTTTTAGCTTTATCCCACCCCCCCACTTGTGCCGCTCGGTCTTTGTGTCGGTCGTGTCGGTCTTTTGTAAGGGAAGAACACCAACTGTTTGTGTCCGGGCAATAGATATAATACGCCATAACTTAGCATAAATTACGCGGGCGTGGCTCTGGGGCAGCGGCATAATTGCTGTTTATGCATACTTAATCAACTGGCCCAAAGTCGAAAGGCAAAGGATTTAATGACACCGCCCCGTTCCGCAGCTGGCATTCACTCATTCTTCCTAGATTGGATCTCAGCTCAAAGGCAAACTGAAGCGGAGTGGATTATGTGGCGGCACGAAATCTGCGGACTTAAATTAGTTTCTGGATTAAGATCGCCCGCAAGCAAAGTCCTTGCTTCGGAAATCGATAGCCATATATAGCCATAAATAGGGAATGCCACTGGCACGCCCATCTGTCTGTCTGTTTGTCTGACTGTCTGACTGTCTCTTGAGCTGCCACTCACTTGAGACAGCGCTGCGAGGATGGACACTTGTTAAAGCAGTCGGCGAAACGGATGGCACCTCCAGGAAGGAGCCGCAGGAGCAGTAGTTTATTTCATTTGTTGCCGCCGCCTCTGTCTGTGCGCCCTTTGGGTGTATTTATGGGACATTCTGCATTATTTATGCCACTCTTGGATTGTTGCCCACCGAAACTCATTAGCCTGGATTTACCAAGTGCCATACAGTGGCAGAGCAGAGCAGCAAAGGGCTTTAAAGCACATTAAGTGCAGCTGGCCCCTGACCTTTGGCCGCCTTAATTCTCCTTCATTCCGCTGTGACTTTTGGCACTCGACAGCTTGATTCCATTCCGCAGAACACACACCAAATGGCGCTCTTGAGTCAGGAAATCTGTCTCTAATTGAAAGGGAATTTCGTGCCAATGTGTCCCTAATTAAGGTTGCAACATTTGTTGCTAAAAGTTTGTCCCCGTCGAAAAACAAGTAATTAGCTGTTGGCACCAATGATGCGTTCGACCATTAAACAAGTCAACAAACAAACCGACGAACACAACCAATAAGGGCGCAACACTTGGGCCAAACAATTTGCAAATGGACACACGACCAATGCCACAATTCGCTTGAGTGGTAGCCGCTTCTTCCTCTCCCTTTTTGGTG